GCCAACCCAGGGCTCTTGCATCAGAATGATGTCTGCTTGTTCTCCTTTATAGTCAGCCAGGTTGATGGCTAACTCTGTAGGGCCTGCACTCTTTTGTCCCCCTGCTGTATTCACAGAATGGATGACTAGATGCCCGTGTTGATGTGTTTCGTTTGATGTACCTAACATTGACTGACAACAATGGTATCGGCATCTCTGGGATGAGTTGTATCTGTTGTGTCGATTTGCATTGTGGTGTCTTTGTTATTATTGCTAGGTGTTGACCCAGCTTGGTTTCTGCCTGCTTCGTTGAAGGCCTTGGATCTGGCTCTTTCTCCGGCTAGCCTTATTTCCTGGATTTGCTCCCATGTGTGCTTATGGATGGTACCTTTCACAACCTTGGGGCGGGCAGGGCATTTGTCGAAGTTGGCAGCATGAGGTCCTTTGCAGTTGACACACTTTGGGATTGGTTTTTCGCACTCTCCCTGGTGTACTGTGTTGGCGCAGTGTGCACATACTTGCTTTTCGCATCGGTAATTCCTACCATGGTATCTGAAGCAGCTTGCACACTGGTGAACCTTGGGGGTGTGTTGAATATGCCTTGAGGTCATTGAGTGGGCAAAAAGCGTGAATGGTTTCCTTGCTGCACTGGGCAGAGAGATTATCCATGTAGTTTCTGGATCAGAATCAATCGTGTTCTTTGAGAGTATGCACCTCAGAGGTCTGTCGCCTGTTTGGGCTTCAACTTCATCGGCAACAACAGTGTCAGTAATATCGATTGTGAACCCTTCTGCACTGATGACCTTTCTTGGGCATCCATTGACCTTGTAATGATGCCAGACTGTGTGGGTCTCAATCTTTTGTGCCTTGAGAATGTCGGCAATTTCTTCTTGGAAAGCCAGAAGCTTAGCCTGAGTTGGCTTGTCCCTTGGGTGTAAGGTAAAACCAGAAGGACATCGTGTCACTTCTCTAAGCTCCTGAGGGTGGAGCTTAAGTCTTCTGTTCAGTGTAGACTTGATTCCATAAGGCTCTAGGTGGCTATTATCCATGCGGACAAAGACCCGGAGATCATCCTGCTTCTTCTTCAGTTGGTTGGCAGTGATAAGGGCGCCAGGCTGTGTTTTCTTTATGGTAGTGTTGACTGTCCATGGATGCTGTCGTTGGCCAGAGGAGACAGCTTGGGCGAAGGTCATGGTGGGCTTCCCTATCCCTATCCCGCCAGGAGTGGTCTTTCTTTTGGGCAGATCTCGGGTTTCCAGCCACTCGTTCAGGCATTTGGAGAAGAAAGCGCTGAACTCCTTGGCATGAGAGTATAGTTCGGTTCCAGCTTTCTCAAGTGTCTTATCGACTGCTGCAACACACTCCTGAAACATTGTCATCCTGGCTTCATAGAGATGCTTGTCTTTAGCCAGTATTTTGGCAACTTGATCCTGGCACTCTGAAGAAGAGACTTTGTTCCCTGTATCACCTCCAATGGCTTGGTCTGTAGGGATTTCGCTTGACTGAGGTAATTCTATATCAATGGTGCTGCTATTAATGATATTTCGGGATTTTCCTTTTAGAGGGGAAACAGTGGTGAAGTCAGCCTTAGAGACCTGTGACGGGCTGCTGTTGATGTCGTCGAGCAGTGCCTGGCGGAGCCTGCTTGGGGTTGCCGGGTCATGTGTTCTTTTAGGGACTGGAGATTTAAACACGCCGCCAGTAATCGTCTTTGGGACGGCCACTAGCGTGTTTGGGGGCCTGTCGTGAAAGGGTGCTATCCAGCTTGTGAGAAAAATTTTCTGCGCCTTGGCAAGGATAGTCAGGTACTGAAACAAATGCCTGCTTTAGTGCAGATGTAGAGGTTGCGCCCTAACAGCGGGGCGCCAAGAAAAATAGTTGTTTTTGGCAAGAGTGTGCCCTACTGCGGAGAAAGATGCGTCTGTGTCATACAGGTCGTCTGTGACTTGTGAGTTGCATGGGTCATTTTTGACACGTTGGCGGGCCATGCTATTAATGCTGTAAGGAATAATCGATCATAATAAGTGCAGTTTGTTAGAAAACGTTGCGCTCATTCAACTGGAGGTAATGAGGAAGAGAAAACACAAAAACCTTATTGCCCAAATAAAGCGAGAGAACTGGTATTTAAAAGGAATATAGGAGCCATCTCTGGTTATGCTGCTGACAGGCCGAGCAAACAAGGGAAGGGAAAGGACACAGCATCGGTGCTAGATACCGAACTGAATAAGAGTCCAGGATTTGGGTCGTGATCGGGGACATGAGTACTCTGAACGATACATCGAAGTATAAGGCCCATGTGCATGGTGGCGCATGATGGGGTATGCACCTTAAAGCGGCGACGGATCGCTGGCAAATGCACTGCCAGACTTGGAGGCAAAACATGCCGAAATCGGCAGCACACTCGCTGTCTCTTCGTTTAAGGTAGTGATAAATAGGTTATACTAGTTTTAAAGTAAGTATTAAAATACTTAAAGAAAAAGGATAAGTATTAAGATACTTACTATATAAAAGGGATAATATGTATTTTAATATTTACTTAAAGGCTAGTATAACCTACTTACTATTTGATTAAGCATATAACTAATTACAACATCCGTATATATTACTTAATCAAGTAATTAAGACGTAATATCATATTCTGATTATATTTAATCAAGTCATAAGTGTCAGATTTCAAAGAGTTGACAAGCCTGTGGTCTTGAGCGGTAGCTGCAATCGTTGTTATCATTTCTCAGCTATCCCAATTGCGTGCTATCTACACCTATTCGTACAGCTCCGGAGATGCCGGAGACGATCCTCCGGCCCACCTTTTCCCAAGTCAACGTACGATTCAGGGTGCTAGTTATGGCAGCCTCCTTGACTAGCCACCTGACTAGCCAGCACTCCACAGGACATACACCCTTAGAGATCCCTTGAATCTGACGATAAGTTGATAATTAAACGATATGAACGATTTAAATTAAGACCTACTTAATAAAATCAGTTTTTATATAAAAATACTGTGAAAATTCATATGCGGAAGTATTGGTGGTACGTTCGTTCGTGGTTTTGTAACTACCTATTGCAGACAGATGTGACGGCCTGCACGGACCTTCCCACATGACAAGCCGATACCTCCCAATAAGGGAAGGATCTGACCAGAGGATCCTCTTGAAGGGACAACCTCCCGCTGTACCTATCTCTCTCTCTCTGTCACGGCAAGTGTACTGGGGAGCTGGGACATGGCCTGCAGCAAGCAGCTATTACTGTATTGACGAGAATATCAAGACTAGAGACCATGTTGTCTGTTTTGTGTAAAATTTGGGGACGGTCTATATTGGAAGGAAGAAGTGTTACGGTATTACATAATACCTCCACATATTGATGTACATATATACCCCTAGCTTCCCCGTTCTCTTCCGACCTTGCCTCTTCTTCCTTAGATATCGTTGAATCTTGATATTTCATCCCATCAGCCCTGACCAGCGCAGCTGCAGGCCTGATTGTCACAAGAAGGATAGCTGATGGGGGTACCATCCTACTTAAATAGGTGGGAAAGGTCCCTCTGACAACCACATGTGATCGCACAGGATGACAACATAGTACACATCACAACAAAGCTAAATACGCCAATGAGCACGTATTCTAACACGCCCTTTCAGACTGAGGGTATCACTAAGTTTAGAAGTTGTAGTCTTTGCTGATCTCTTCAAACGAACAACGAAAATAAATTACAGAATCTTGATACATATCTACGGTTTTAGTTCAATCAAGTCTCAATGTCAGGAGAAAACAGCCTACGGGTAAGAGATAGGCTGCTTTGGTTGTGAGAGTTGCTATACGTGCACTTATTGTACAGCACGGGGGCTCTGCTTTTTGTTGTCTTTTAGGAAATTTGGGGTGGGCTCCTCTGTTACGGTCGAAGAGCTTGACAATAAAATAAATCGCTCCATATGCCTGCCCCTTGGCTTCGTACAAATCGCTGCTGCTGGAGCAAGCCTGACGAGATGGTGCACTGCAAAACCTCCATGGGATGACACCGAGCCATCGGCGCAGCCCATGGATGCAGTGAAAGACGATTGACTCTATCCGCAGGAAGTACTCGACAGCGTCCAGGAAGCTCACCTGTCGGAGGCTGCTACTTTCCAACATGGACCTCGCCGTGGACTTCGACTTACCACCGCAGTTCCGGCCCTCCCGATCGTTCCCCCAAAACCCAAAGTGAGCCCGAAGGAAGCCAAGGCAACGTTGGGCTCCGAGGCACATTCATCAGATGGCAGACATGATGTGGCATAAGCCGCATCAGAAAAGCTTGTTGGAGTTGATGTGTCTTCTACCGGTGTTCCCCAGACAAACACACCTCTGTGACATTTCGACAGGTGCGACAAACGACCACATCACCATCATCGGATCAGACACGCATAGGTTGGTTTCGCGGTAATGCTTTACAATAGGGGGCCTATGCGGTATCACGAACTTCGGACATGGCGGTGAGGTCACATGCGCCGAATCCTATCCAACGTTACACCGCCGACTGCTCGGCGAATTGTAGCTGCAGCGGAAACACGCCGCTCATCTTGTGCATCTAGACCAATCGGTGGCATGGCAGGGGGCATAGGCGAGTGCCAAGACACATGGAAGTCCAGGGTCGATACGAGATGCCATGAGTTTGATTGCAGGCCAGTGAGGCCATTTCGTGATAAGAGATCACAAGCTGACCACCCTTTGGATCTTGGGTCTTGCGCTTCGGTCAGCTGGGTTCTCCGCGAGAACCGGTTTGCAGGTAGGATTCGCCCGATGCTACCTCATTTCTAAGCAGCAAACAGTGAGTTGAAACACTCCACCGACTGTACCTGTCCCCGCGTCCAACGAGTACGGTAACACAAGGTGCCTATATAAATATGAGATCTCAGAAGTGACAGCCGCGGGTCTGCCTTATCTCTCTCTCTCTCTCTCTCCCCCAGGCAATCTTCACCAAGTCGGCGTCATTCCCGTGAACGTGTGACCCAGCTACCATATTCGAGTCCATTCTCATCGTCGCAATGCCTCGCTGGATCAATGTGCTGCTGGTGGTGGGCGCCCCCCTTTTCGGAGCGCAATGCACCAGCGCCGCCGTGCCCTCCCTGGACGTCCCCGCCTGCGTCGCCGGCAAGGGCAGCGTGCAGTACGACAAGTCGGTGCCGAACGGCGAGTCCGCCTTCCCGCTGACGCAGGTCGACCTGTGCTACACGGACAACGCCATCAACATCGTCTTCACGGCACATGAGGAGATCAACTTCTACTACAACGCCAGCCAGACCACCAACGACGCTATCTACAACTACGAGGTGATGGAGGCCTTCATCTACCGTGGCACCAATGACCCGCAGACGTACCTGGAGTTCGAGGTCAGCCCCAACAACGTCACCTTCCAGGCCTTCATCTACAACCCGACCAAGGTGCGCGTGACGGGCGCGCCGTTCGACACCTTCTACGTCGCCGAGCCGCTGGTCGACGGCCTGATCGCCAACACGGTGCTGAACCCCGAGACGCAGACGTGGACGTCGGCTGCGAGCATCCCGCTGGGCCTGTTCAATGTTGATAACGGCCAGGCGCAGGGCACGCAGTGGAGGATGAACTTCTTTCGCACGATTGTGTCGCCGGACACGTTCCCTGATCAGGGTCTGGGTGCGTGGAGCCCGACGAATCAGTCCAGCTTTCACATGACGCCGTTCTTTGGCAACGTGCAATTCGTCTAGGACGGGCGCGAGCGGGTGCGTTTGGATCTAGCTGTTGAGCTCAGTAGTTAATGATACAATACCTTGGGCAAATGGCACTTGCAGTTCATCATGTTTCTCGATGGTGAAAAATGTGTAGGGCTGACATGTTGTAGCACGCAGCAGCCTCTGGTTGCAAATTTCGAATCTGATGTCAGCCTTGACAGCATGTGCACGCACATTCGAACCCCGGGAATGGAGACAAATCAATCAGTCTATTCACAAGCCCAGGATATCATCAAATACGCTACATAATTCCAAGCAAAACAATCACGATCCGTCCCGGTTCATCGGGGCTCACAGGGTAACCACGAACTTCTTCGCCGAGACACCCCTCTTCAGCAAGTCCATGTTCGCCTGTAAGCACTCCAGATCATGTCCGACAACCTGCGGCTCAGGAGCGGCGACATATCGACCCTCTTGCAACGCCGCAGGCAAGAAGTCCTCCCAGAGAGCTTTCCCGACATCGTCATGGATGATAGCCGACCCAAACACGAACTTCTGCTTGACGCCCGTGAGCTGCGACTTCAGCATCAACGAAGCAGTCCCGCGAACAAAGCAGAACGCCGAGGTCAGTGTGCCGGCATCAGGATCGTCCGGCACCGGGTACGACACCATAGCGACGAACTTCTTCCCCTGGCTGCGCGCCACCACGTCCATGCACTTGCTGCCCGATAGGCTCCCGATGGCCAGCGCGCCCGCGACCTGGCGCTTGGCAGTCGCGGCAACGATGTCCGCGACGACCGTCGGGCTGCGGTAGTCGAAGGCCTGCGTCGCGCCCAGCGACTTGACCAGGTTGAAGTTCCGCGGCGAGCACGTGGTGACGACGTCGTACCCGGCCGCGACGGCGAGCTGGATCGCGTTGCAGCCGACGCTCGTGGAGCCGCCCCAGACGAGCACGACCTCCTTACTTCCCGTCTTCTTATCCGGGCCAGCACCAGCACCCGCAACCCCCGGCCGCCGCAACTTCAAAAAGTCCTTCCCAAATAACGCGCAGCTAGCAGTCGTAACCCCCATCGGCAGCACAGCCGCGCTCTCCAGCGCCATGCCCTCGGGAACAGGCGCGGCCATGTTATCGCACACGAGCGAGTAAAGCTGAAAGCCACCTTTGGCGTTGCTGTTCCGTCCGGGATCCGTGCTGGCGGCGTAGGCGACGACGCGGTCGCCAGCGCGAAACCGCGTGACGGCGCTGCCGACCTCGACGACCTCGCCCGCGACGTCGGAGCCCAGCACGAACGGGTACTTGACCCACGGGAACACCATGTTGCCCTTGACCTGCTTGATGTAGTCGGCCGGGTTGATGGCGAAGGCGGCATTGCGGATCACGAGCTCATGGGCTTTCGGGCTGGTTTAGGCAGCTTGGTTCCTGGGCGGTTGTGCTTTGGTGGATGCCATGGTTGGCGTTTCTGAGGGTGGTCTTCAAATGTGGACAGGTTGGCTTACAAGAGCATAACATCTCCCACCCCCCTGCGGACCACCCCCCCGCGGACCAGCGCGTTCTGACCCACAAACGCGTAATTCACCAACCACCAGGATTATGGTGATCCACCATCTACACCATCACTTTTGCATCTTTTTTTTCACAAAGCACACTATTTGAATCCTTATTTACTGCTGAATCTCATGATGTCATTTTACGACCGTCAAATAAAAGCTGAAACCGCCATTTTGGCCATCCAACGCGGAGCTCCAGTCCGCTCGTCAGCCCTTGAATGGCAAATCAGTCGCTCGTACGTCAACCGACGAATCTCTGGCACCCCAACGCGGAATGAGACCAGCGCTCTCCAACAGGCTCTCTCACCGTATCTCGAACATAAGCTGGCAAGCTGGGCCCTGGGGCAAGCACGGCTAGGGTATTCTCCGGCGGTCTCTAAGTTCCGTCTCATGGCCCAGCGGATGCTCCATGCCACCGGGGATGCTCGAGAATTAGGGAAAAATTAGGCATCCAAGTTCCTGTCTCAAAACCCGGAAATCAAGATAATGAAGTCTTGTGTTATTGATTACAACCAAATGAATGGTGCTACAGCGGCAAATATCAACATTTTTTTCGATCGGTGTGACGCCCCTGACGTGGTTAACCTCATGCCAGCACGCTGGTACAACGTCGACGAAATGGGAATCGCCAAGGGGGTTGGGGACTCCCATTGGGTGGTCTCCGAGGCCTCCGGCAACGTGGCTATGAAGAAAGGGGTCGAGAAAGGTGAATGGATAACTGCCCTAGAGTGTATGAGCAGATCTGGTGAGACCTTGCCGCCGCTGGTGATTCTCAAAGGGATTAACGTACAAGCCTAGTGGTTTAGCAACCAAAATGAGGGCAAATTCACTGACTGGAGGTTTATTACGTCGCCCAATGGATGGACCTCGAATCCTATTGTGTTAGAATGGCTTCAACGTATCTTTATTCCTCACATTCGGGAGGTCCACGGCAACACATGGGTGGTTTTGGTGTGTGATAGCCACGACTCCCACATAAATAACGAGTTCCTAGCCACCTGCTTGAGAAATAAAGTATGGTTGATCTTTTATGAACCTCACTGCTCCCATGTAGTCCAGGTATTAGATGTGGGAGTCTTCAATTTGGTAAAGAAGAGGTTGAAGACCTTACTCCAGGAGACGCCCAGCGGCTGTCTGGGACTCAGGCCATCTAAGGAGGAGGTTTTGGAGTGCTATGAGCAGGCCCGGAAGGACACAATGACGCTCCTTAACATCAGAATTGCTTGGAAAAAGACTGGGATTGTTCCTCGCAATAGAGCGGAGGCATTGAAGTCGAAATATGTGATTTTGGAGGACAAGGGGGTGGCCAGGGCATGCCAGAGGGACCCTAAGGCTTCCGAGCGAGCCACAACACCAGATTTTCTTGAGATGGTAGCTAAAACCATTATTACAACACCCTCTGGAAGCCGGGCTTTGCGGGAAAGTGCTCGAAAGCTTGAAAGAAAGGACCCTTCCTTTGGGGAGCCCTCTGAGCGCTTGTTGGTGCGGAAGGCTGGCAAGGCCATGGATGTTCAGGCTGCTACCATTGTAAATCTACGGGTCAAATGTGAGCTGCTTGAGACTCAAGTGGCTAAAAAGGCTAATACCACTCGAAAAGCAGTCAAACCAACACCAGGGGAACGATTCGTTATAATAGCTAACATAAGGGAGGCCAAAATGGAGCTGAGGAATAGGAGGGTCTATAGGGACTCCGCTGCAGGCGAAGAGGTCCCACAAGAGATCCCTGGTGAAGATTTAGGGTCGGAATCGGATTCTGGGAGCTGTATTATGGTTAGAACACCACGACCTTAGTGTATTTAGCAACTGTGGTGGTTGTAGATGGCTTCATCTGAATGAGAGTGGTGTGGTGTGGAGTGGTCCGTGGGGGGGTGGTCCGCAGGGGGGGGTGAGATGTTAAGAGGAGGGTATTGGGTGAACTGTTTTTCGAATGTAAGGCTTCCTCTCACACACAGACGTCTACATGCTGGGCGATTGATTCCTTTTATAACACATGTGTCGTCAGCTAGACTTTAAGACATTGTGGAAGCTGGCACGAAGCTTCGCCCATCTCGATCATAGGGCTCCGAAGCTCTTGATTGCATCGTGGGCCTTAACTCCGTAAATTGTGCCCGATTGGGATGCATCTTGCGCCTGGATGCCTAGCGCGGAGCCGGGAATTCGCATTCGGGAGCCACTATATCTGTCAATTTTAATGCCCGGGGGAGACCGCGTGCAGGTGGCGGTCCCAACCAAGGTCTATTCGGCGCGAGGCCGTGCTGTATCTCTTTATTTAGGTCGGCCGCCTGGACGGCAACGGTGCAGCCCTGAGCTTCCATTATCATGCACGCCGTCAGCTTTCAGCCCGGCAGCCCGGCCAAATTTCAGGCCGACTTTATTGACGTCAACGACAGGACTCCTATAATCCCGTCAGATTCCAGGGCTGTGTTTTGATCCAGAATCTCGCTCACTCCCTTGACGCTCGGATTGGGGTCGCATAACGTTGCCGAATATGGTCTCGGGCCACGATGGTGCATGTGATCCATCAGACTCCATGTCGGCTGCTTGGATGCTTCCAGGTGTCTGACGCTCGTATCGTACATCAGGTAAGGTAAGCAGGTGCGTATCACTCCCCGCTGACACGTTACCTATAGGTCAGATGCTCACTCCATCCTACTCGAGCCGTACTCTAGGCAGTCGGCTCGGTCGTGGTTACGATACGTCCTGCGATGAATGTTCACTATGCAATGACACGGTGACAAAAGAAACTATATTTATGTACTGACTGCTGTGAAACCCTAGGCACAACCAAGTAGGTAAGTACCATCGCGTCCTGGGAAACACGCACGAGGATGAGAATTCCCACCCGCCAGCTAAAACGGTTGAAGAACAGCCTGCAGCAATCCGCCACGCTGCGCATACATGCAACTAAGGGTACGCGGCCTTGATCATATCGGCTCCCTGAGCGCACAAGTCAGTCGTTGTTCCGGATTATGGGTCATGGGCTTCAACGGGGCGGGACCTACCTTCTCGGCTACCATGTACACCGCGTTCTGGATCCGGCAGTCCGGAATCACTGGGATGACTGAGGCGTCGATGACACGGAGGTTGTCGATGCCATGGACCTTGAGCTTGCCATCGACGACGCCGCCATTCACGTCCTTGCTCATGCGTGTGGTGCCACAGGGATCTATCACGGCTGGGTCAGTCAAACGAGCCAGGAGTCAGCAGTGAAGGGAGACGTACGAAAGCCAGTCTGCGACCGCTCGAGGATCTGCCTGTCCATGGCATCATCGCTAGTAAGCGGCATCGCCCAGGGGAACTCGCCCTGCACCAGATCCTTCATTGCCTCACCATTGCAGAGGATATCATAGATCTCGCGTACACCCTCGCGCATCGCCATCAGATCAAGCTTGTCGGAGAAGAAGTTGAGGCTAATGTCAGGCTGGTCCAGGGGATCAGTCGACCGCAGCGTCACGACCCCATTCTTCGACTGCGGTCGCAGCAGGTCCACGATGATGCTCATGTAGTCGCCCTGGGGCGGCGTGGGAAAGTGCCACTGGAAGGCGTCGCAGAACATGGGCACGAAATCGACCTCGAAGTGAGGCTGGCCCGCCGGTCCAAAGGGGTCCTTGCCGCCGTTGGCTTCCTTCGCTGCGACGCACTCGGAGTATTTCTCCAGTCGCGCGTCGATCCGCGGCAGGCCTATGACCTCCAACAGCCCGCTGGTCAAATGGCCCTTGTTCTTCCACTCGTAGGCTGCCAGCGCGGCCGCTTTCTCGGGGCCGGCGCGCAGGAGGTGGTTGTCTAGCCCGACGCCGTCTTTGAGGCGCAGGGCGTACGGCATGATCGGGTGGTCGAGCAGGTTCTGCCCGACGTGGGGAGAGTCGACCAGTGTCTTGATGCCGTGCTTCTTGAGGGTTTCCTTGGGCCCGATACCTGACAGCATGAGCAGCTTGGGCGACTCGTAGACACCTAGTGACAAAATGACCTCGCATTTGGCCCTCAGCGAGAGTCGCTGCCCCTCTGGACCGACGACTTCCACGCCCACGGCCTTGTTGCCCTCTACAATCACCTTGGCCGCATGTGTTCCCGCCATCACCGCGACATTGTCTTTACCCTCGAGGTATGTCCAGCTGGACGAGCGCTTGCCGTTGTAAATGGTATTGATCGGCTTTCCACAGTCCGCGCATCGTACCATTGTGCACATCGTCGGTCAGCTCGCCGCCCTTGCTAAGCCAAGCCTTCTAGAGCGCGGCGCGGAACTCTGCAGTCTCGGGGAGCAGGTTCGAGTGCGAGACCTTGACGGGCCCGTCGGCGCCGATGTACTTTAGCTCCTGCTTGTAGACCTTGGGATCGTCAAGGTAGGTCGCCGGCTGTTCCTCCTCCGTCAGTATGTCTCCATAATGGATTCGAAGACCGCGGAATCCAGCAGCGAAGACGAAAGGGGAAAACCAAGGGCGTCACTGCCAACATACCTTGTGAAGATATTCCCTGCAACCCTTCCAGTTCCACTCCGGCCACCAAACGCCTCCCAATCGTCAAACGTGCCCTTGCTGCCGGGGATCCACGTGTAATAATTCAGGCACGAGCTGCCGCCCAGCACCTTGCCGCGCGTGTTGGGCTTCTCGACGCGCGTGTATTCCTCGCGGTCGATCATACCGGTCTTGTAGCACCAGTCGTGCCGGCCGCCGCGCAGCTCGAAGGCGCGCGCCGGCGTCGTGATGGCGGCAACGGAGCCCGGGTTACCGATGCCGGCTTCGATCACGAGGGTGGAGAGCTTGGGGTTCTCGGCTAGACGGCCGGCTACTGCGCAGCCGGCTGTGCCGCCTGTGGTGTTGGTGGTGTTAGTCGGGGACTCGGGGAATGGTGTGTGATGGTAAAGGGTTCGACGTATCGCCGACGACGATGAAGTCAAAGGCCTCTGGTGCTTCGGTGACGAGTCTCATGGTTCCGGCTGTGTATATGGGCTGCTTGGTGTGATCTGATTCGACAATTTGGAACTTTCGCTTCCTCTGTTGGTGAGATGCTTTGTTTGACCTGCAGTGTGTCCCTTGGCATCTTTATATATACCACCAAGACGCTCACCATGTAGCCGGAGTACCGATATCAACCACATCCACGTCATCCACGGCATCACGGCATCACGGCATCCCCGTACGGCATCGGCATCCCACGGCATTTACGGCATTGGCATCCACGGCATTCACGGCATTGGCATTCACGGCATCCTCGGCATCCTCGGCATCCCCCATATCCATTATCATACGATCTCCATACCACCTCATCAACCACATCCACCACCACGCCCACCGCATCCGTACTCCAGCCAGTCACATCCATCACTCCAGTCAACCCACATCCGCCACATCCCACATCCGTGGACATCTCGAACAAGCTGTCATCTCTAAGACCCCCATCACTACCACATTTTGGTGCAATACCTGGCCGCAACCATGCTCAATCACTCCGGCTTCCGAGAGCTACATGAAGACACCGACAACACCCCGAAATTTCGCCGTTTAAACGACGCCGGATATCAGATAACGGCGGGGCCATATAAATGGGACAGCCCTATATGTGGGACAGCTTTTACACCTAACAGTATAATGTTTACTTATATATATATATCTCCATAGCTAATAAAGCCTGAGATATTATAGTACGGCGTTTAAATTGCCCTTTTAAAATATTTTCTATCATACTTTTATACACTTTAAACGCGCGAGATCGGCCGTAATAAGTATCGAAAGTTAATATTTTGAAGCTTAATTTAAAGGGTATTAAAACCCGTGCTTTTTATTCCTTTTAATATAGTAAAACTTCTATGCTTTTTTATTTTTTTTATATAAATATCATAAGTTCTAATATTTTAAAAATCTTTGTTCAAATATTTATCGTTATAAACGATAATAAATATATCCTTTTATACGCCTCTTAATATTGTAAAGTATCGATATTATCTTTTTTATAAAATTAAAATTATTACCATGATTTAAATTTAAATCAATTATAAAATCGCGTATAATAAGTAAAAGAAAAGCTTTAAATAGAAAAGAGAAAATCATTTTATGTATTTTATTAAAAAAAAAGCTAGTCACCCGTTGATTTGTAATAATAAAAATTGGGAATTTGTTGGAACAGGCTTGAACGATCAATCATAATACTCGAGTATGGGGTCAAGGTCATGATGTTGCTGATGGTTGGATTGAGAGGAATCTAGCTGGACTCGAAGGTCTGGCCAAGTGCCCTCTCAATCCACTATCTTATCTTATCTAATCATACATGTGGGTCCTGGTATAGATGGTTTGCAGTCTGGAATCGCATGGATCCAACAGAACTAATATAAACGTAAGAAGTTAGAGTAGAGATTAAATTTTTTTTTGTAATAACAAAATAATTAATGCTATAGTTTCATTTTATTAAGGGCTAATTTTCGCATAAAATTACGTTATAATAACATAAAAAGATTTTTTAAATTTTGATATTATCAAGTTATTTTATTTTATAACTATAAGTTATCTAAATGTAACAAGACTAAAGGTTTAATAATAAAAATACAAAGTAAATGGTATAATAGCTAAATCGTTGAGCTTAAAATAATAACTAAAAATTACTAATATAGCTTTTAACTTTAGCTTAGCTCTTTACTAGCCACTATTCTAACTATCAACCGACTAGTTACATGGTTAAAAGAGGTTTTTTTAGATCGCGCAGTAATTAGTTAAGCAAGACCAGGTGTGATAGTTCCACCATCCATCAGGTCTAGCAATGGTCCCCATGGTCCCCGGGTCACGTGACTGAGCACGTGACTGATCAAACGACAGGTTGATCCATGCCCTGCTGGGTCTGGTGGGGGACGAGTGCCCACATCTAGCTGCCCACCAATTTGGGTGCATCTCCAGATCTTTCTTTTCCTTCAACCAGAGTTCATTATACGTTAATAGTCAATAAGGGTCCCTGTATCCTTCCAATACATTTACAGAATCGTCACACCAGGATGAATTTTAATAATGATAAAATTTACGGCTTTATATTATAAAAAGTTTTTATTATAAGTTATTTAAACGCCTAACAAAAGCCTTTTTATTATTATATATATAATTAACGTAAGTAAACCCCCTTTCATGTCGTTTAAAATACTGGTTTAAAACATTAAAACTATTTAATAATTAATTTAAATAACGTTACAACTATTTAACGAACCTAGCCTTTACGATTATAGAATAACGTCGCTTTATAAAACTACTAAAATAAGTCCTGATTATAATTCTAATAAGCTGACATTAAGTAATAAAACACTTTATATTTTATAAAAATAAAACGCTTACGAGGTTATACGTTATAATATTGAGTCGGGGACAGCAACAATACACACAATGGGGCTGCTTGTATAATGGATATAAGAAGGAGGAGGGAGAGCCATTGGCAAAGCCACGCAGTGAATTTGAAGGGTGTGTCATATAGAGATAATACAATATGTGTCTGAACTGATCGCTCAATTATATGTGTTATGGGAGAGGAGTGTCTTTACAAGAAGACAAAAGAAAGTAACAAAAAATGAACGATGGCCTTTATATACCACAGATCTGGCTGTACACGACATCAACCCTCCACCAAAACAATATAAGATAATTTACTTCCGCGTTTATGTCGCTGTTTTTTTAAACTCAAAAAAACCTTTACGTTAATCAATTAAACGATCAGTCTTATTTTTAACAAAGACGTCAAAAAGTACGAAAGAAATTAAAAAAAAGGATTATAATTATAAGCTTAGAATATCTATCGGCAGCTAGGCTTCAAGCTAGGTCAATTAGGTAATAAAAAGTAAGAGCGTAAACGTCGAGCGTAACGGTAAACGGTTAGGTATAACTATATTAACTGAATATTAAACAACCAATTAAATAATATAATATGATTAACATATATATAATATTGTTTCTTTTATCGCTTTATACTTAAGTAAACAATTTAATATTAATGATTAACTATTAATTAAAACTCTAAATTTATTTACTTAATATTATCAGTAAAAACGTAAATAAACTTCGCTTTTCAATATTGGATAGTAATGATAGCTATTATTTAATAAGTTTCTTTATTTATATTATTTAAATAAAACAGTTATTTTAGTTATTTGATTAATAAGGATAGATTTATAAAATTTTAATTCTTAGATCTTCTGGTATTTTTATAATAACAGACGCTTTTTACCGCCTAATTCCTTGACTTAATACGCTTAATAATTCCACTTTTATTAAAAGAATAAGTTTGTTTTTTACTTAATAAAAGCTTATTATTAATTAATGCTTATTATCGTACGTTTAAAGTAACGTGTTATTAAGCATTAATATATAAAGAGTTGAAAAACCTTAATAAATATGAAAATAATAAAGGTAGCCAAAATTTACCCTATAAAAGCCGCTATAATAAGCCTTTAAATTAAGGCAGTTTTTAGCCTTAATATTACTACTAGTAATTAAAACCTTAATATTATAAATAATATTTTGTTTTATTATAAAGGTATACAATAAAATATTAATTAAAGTAGCGCTTATGTGTTACAAACCAACAAACAGTGCGGCCTGATAGCAGGCCAAGAAGAGACGATTGGAAACAGGTTGACCAGTAAGTGAGGTGCTGATCAGTGGAGAGATCAGAGCAACGGAGTAACGGTATACAGATCATGTGACCAGCAGAACCTGGGTCACGTGACTAAGAATTTGGATCACTGGATCACCATGGTGAGCCAGTGAGCAGGTTCACCTTGGACCACCGGTGATCCAGGGTGAGCCACCTAATCAGTGAAGGAGAGATTGGATACATAAAGACAGACATTTCCCAACCAGATAGATAGACAGTCTCTACCTCAGTGATCAATCTAAGCATCTTAGCCAACCCTAAAATGGGAGAAATCTCCTGACGACTCGACTACGCAGTAAACCCAGTTCAGACCAAGCCTCAGCATCTGAGTGTCTTCTAGTTGACAGAAGTCTTTATCGTCCTTTATGTTGACTTACCTCAGAACATAAACCCTATAGAACACTTTAGCCTTATAGGTTAGACGGCTTATCACATTATAAATGAAGTTTTAAAAGTAAAAAACTAATACATTTAGACGCTTATAACTAATAAAGCGTTATAAGTTCCTTTAAGAAAACATTAATTAATAATTATAAAGAGTTAAAGACGTTATTTAAAAATTAACTAATTATACAGCAGTTATACTATATAAAAACAGGTTTTATCTTATTTAATATAGCCGGTTAGATATTTATAGCCTATTTTTCAAGGTATAACAGGCTTTTGTAAAGTAAAGCTTATCTTACTTAATATACGACGTGTTTTTAACCTTAAAATAGCTTTTAAATAACTAAATATTAAAGGAGGATTTAGGGAAAGACACAGATAACTCTGCAACAACACACTATTACATCAAATAATTTGAATATTCGCATTCCTACCTACCAAATTGACCTTGCAGCGTGGTTTTCAAGATCACCAAGCAATGGTGCAAGACGGTGGTGCAGATGAACCAATGGTCATCGATTAGGGAAGGGAAAGGCTCGAGCAGAGTTTGTACCATCCCAATGCCGGACAAAGCGCGACCAACGCAATTGTACTGACAGTGAGCGAGGCGCAGTGTGGGGGAATAGAGGAGCAAACTACGTTAAAGAAAGATTTAGCTAACCTAGTGAAGAAGGGCGCGCTAAAGGAGGTCATTCATATAGTCTATAGATATGTAGTCACAGAGGCACGAAAGGCCACCAAGGCCAACGCAAACACGGCAACGATTACAACAAGAAACCAAAACACTGAAGCAACCACGCGAGACAAACTTAACAGGTCTATCGAAACAGCATTTTGGCGATTTATGCCAAAGATATACCAAGCAGTATCGGGAACAACAAGACCACGATCCTGGGCCAACGTGGCCGCGTCAGGCGGACCCATAGTGACAAACACGCTAAAAGTGTTCGTGCTAGGGCGGATCCAGTGGGAGGTCATTCGAAACTCTGCAAGTATCACAGAGATGAAGAAGAGGACGGCCGTCGAAATGGTACAAGCGGTGAACATGGTGATTGGCGTACAGAAAGCGGTAGCAGCCCGCCGAGTTCCCAGCAGGGACGTTGCGGTTACGTTTTTTAACATGGCAAACAAGTACAAGAGGGGACAACAGCATGGATTAAAGTTGCCTTTAGGGCAACGGCAGAACAGTCGAGCCGTGAATTCACAGTGATAGCAAAAGGTCTTCTGTACCGCATTTTGCGGGAAGCTCACACAAAGCCGGAAGAGCTTCTAAGAGAGATACAACAACATGCACCAAAGATCGGGAAAATGCACCCCATCTTCCCAAGAAATCTGGAGCACCGACATGCAACGTTAGTGCTACGGGTGAATGACATAACAGAGGCCCAAAAGCTATGCGAACAAGGGTTGGTGTAGAAAGCGGCAATTTATTCTTGCGAGCCGTTCACAAAGAACGTCTGAGTCGAATAATGCTACAAGTGCCATGACTTTGGACATCCGGCAAAATACTGCCAAAATAAACCGAGGTGTGGCAGGTGTGCCGGAGCACTACACAAAGGAGGGGAATTTAACTGCCCTTCAAACACCAATCGGAAGATAGTTAAGTGCAAGAACTGTACAGGGAACCATATGGTGTGGGATAAAAGGTGCCGCGTGTACAGAGGGAGAAAGGAGGCGGCTCGGGAGGCATACAAATACCAACCCGGCAGTTCGAGATCCAGAAAGACCCAGCGCTGCCCCGGAAAGGAGCGGACGGCTTCATGGTGGTCCAGAAGACGAAGCAGGGCGGCCACCATCACAGGAATAAAAGTACACCAAAAAAAGGCCGGCTAACACACGTTAGCGCCTTGTAAACCAGAATCTCTTTCATTTCGTCAGCAAGAAAGGCAGCACCAAACGGACTGTCACACATCCCGACAATCGACATCTCAAGTACCCAGGATAGGGCTGAGAGTAACAGCGTTTACACACCCGAGGACCCAGTCCTTTAATACCGATACACCTGGCACAGTGGAACGCAGGAGCTCCGAAACAGAATGTAGCCTTGGCAATCCAGGATGGGGAGGATGAGGACAGGATAAAGGGACTGGCGGACGTGATCGCAATCTAGGAGCCATGGATTGGCCCTGAGAATGCCATTCACTACCCGGCCAGCTGTAAGTACATACCGATCTACTCGGGGCATGACAGGGCGATGCTGTACATCAACAAGAAGTTCGTCCCGGAGGCATGGCAGGCATGCGCAGGGCACAATTGGGCAGCGGTCACGTTCCGCTTGCAGAAAGGTGTCTTGAACATTATGCGGAACTGCGCACCCCTGTTTCAGGCGATTGCTAACAAGAGGTGGGAGGGCAAGGGTGTCTTAGCAGCCGATATTAACCTCCACCACCCGATATGGGATAAACACAGAAGAATCACGCTAGGTGCAGAGACCGAGGAACTTTTAACGCTTGTTCAAGCGATGAACCTAGAACTAGTGACACCAAGGTGAATGACCACAAGGATGAGGCATGATCAGAGGGACTCCACGATAGACCTCATCTGGGCTCACCCACTCCTGAGGGCAGAGCTGGAGATCCCATCGGAGTTGGAGGGCTCAGACCACCTTCCGCAGATGGTACAAATTCACACCAAGACACCAAAACGAAACGGGGCCCCGCCAGGTTGGTCGTAAAAGATAATGGACAAAATAACAGTCCAAGTTGAAGGCTTAAAGATTGCGCCTCCAGGGGGAGCCGGATTTATCGAGGAGCTGGAAGAGTATATCAACAAGCTGCTTAAGCAGCTCCAAGGGATTGCAGACGCCTCCACAAGGAAAAAAGGGCCTAATTCCGGGTTCGAACAGAAGTAGTGGAACAAGGACATCGGCCATGCGATGGCACATACGAAAATGGCAAGAAAACGTTACTAATCCTCCCGGTCGGATCAAGACTTTAAAGACCTAAAAAGGCGAGACAGGTACAGAAACAGACTATCAGTAAAGCCCAGACAAAAACATGACATCACCTCACAACAGCAGTATCTAAAGATAATAAGAAGCTTTGGGACCTTAAAAGGGCGGCACGGCTGCGCGGGTTTAAACCACGAGAGGCGGGAACGCTCCCGCCCTTAAAGAAACCCGGCTCTATAGAAGGCCTGACATCTAAGTTCGACGAGCAGGTAGATATCCTATCAGGGAAATTCTTTCCTTCACCAACAGCGGATCTATCTGATATTCTGGAAGATTTCGACACCGGACTAGACCCTTTTGAAGGGAAGTTTGCCATAAGTAGGGAGTTGGACGAGAAGGATATTAAGGCAGTTCTTGATTTGATGAAGCCCTAGAAGGCCCCAGGCTGGGACTTTCTGTCAACAGGATTCCTTAAAGCATGCGGTAAACCGCTGAGAGTGGCCCTAACAGAGGTCACGGAATGCTTGTTTGTTCTGGGCGAGTGGGCGAAGCAGTTCAAAACGGTATCAGTAGTAGTATTACCAAAAGCTGGAAAGACACCAAAAGATAAAGCCTTTCTAGGGGCCTACCGGCCCATCGCGCTTCTTAGCTGCATAGGGAAAGTCATAGAGAAGGTTATCAGTAACCATATGATGGAGGCAGCAGAGACACACAGGCTCCTTCCTGAGGGCCAAATGGGGAACCGTAAGGGCAGGTTGAGAGAACATGCGATCCGCATAGTAGTCAAAGCAGTCCATACAGGATAGAGCTACGGCATAGTAGCAACGCTAATGCAGCTAGACATTATGGGGGCCTTTGATGCCATCGTCTTTACGCGGCTCCGTCACATTTTGTGAAAGAAGGGATACCCCATGTGGATTATCAGATAAATAAAAAGCTATACTAACGGATGGTCAGTTAAGCTCTTTTTTGATAAAAAAGAGTCAGCAGCCTGGGAGTTGAGTGCTGGAGTCCCCCAAGGGCCCTTAGTGTCTCCTATCCTCTTCTTGTTATATGTTGCCACACTATATGAAGAGCTTGAAGCAGCAGGCTTGTCTATGATGGTAGTGCGCTTTACTGATGATATTAACATGCTAGCGGTCCACCCGGACGCTAAGAGAAATTACGAAGTCCTTGAAGAGGCATACCAGGTATGCGACAGGTGGTCGGCTCGCCACGGAATGCAGTTCAACGCAGGAAAAAGTGAGGTCATACATTTTACGCGGCAGCAGGAAGAAATCCAAGATCTGGTCTGAAACAGGATGGTCCTGGTAAAGCCGGTACCGTCAGCTACGTTCCTTGGAGTATACCTAGACAGAAAATTGCGGTAGAACATGCACCTAAAAGAGATAAAGACAAAGATGAAACGCCAGATCTTCGGCCTCACCAGGATAGCGGCCTCCACTTGTGGATGTAGCGCGGCTCGAGCCCGGGAGGTATACACCAAAGTGGTACAAAGCGCCATCGCCTTTGGCGCGACGGCGTGGCATACGCCATCGGAGGGCAACCAGGCCCGAGGGCTAGCGAGGAAGATGCTCACCACGCAAGCGGCGTAATTAAGGGTAGTAGCAGGGGTCTTTAAACCCACGCTGCGACATTTGTTGGAGACAGAGACCGGTTGTCCCCAGCTGGACGCATACCTAGATATGAGGGTGGCGGCGTTTGAAGGTCGAATGTACGGAGAGGCAGATAGATACATTACTGCCGAAACAAAAAAGGTGGAAGAGAGGGCGAGAGACGTAAGGTTGGCGGTAATGGAACCCGCGCAAGGCAGCAGGCGGGGGAGAGGTCGGCCTCGGCAGTCGCCCCACGCAATAACGTCCCCGCATAAAGATAACCCAACGGACCGGAAGGAGGCGATCCTAAAGTGGCTGGGCTAAGACCACCCGGAACAGGCACTGGAAAGGTCGTAAAAGAATCGATGGATAGTTGCCGTTACAAGAGCCAGCCAGACGGGAGTTGCTGCAAGGCCGCCAGCAGCTCAAGGAGAATTTACACAAGAGCTCGCAGGGGCAGTCCCGCAGTATTATTACGGACTGCAGAAACACGAGGTATCTGCCCTATACCAGGTCCGAATAGAGACTATCAGCTTAAGTGCTTTCCTATTCAAAAAGAGAATGCCAGGAAAGGCTATACCACGTTGCGACTACGGCAAGAAGGAGAGGCATACCACGTGACGGTTCAATGCCCTCTATACGCGGCCCAAAGAGGCAGACTGCTAGCCTCTCTCAGGATGAGAATGTTGCGGTCAAGGAGGGACTTTGAGAACTTGCTGTCAGATCCGGACAAGACCCCGAAATTTATACGGTGGGTTTTGAGACTAGGGCTACTGGGGATGTTCTCACTAGCAAGGAAGCTACGCAATAACGAGGTAGCCCAACAGGCGCCAAAGAGCTGGACTATAAAGGATATAGAGCGGTACCGGATAGAATGGAAGAGGAGGGGGGTTATGGTAGTGGGGATATCACGAGGGGGAGGGGGAATATCACGAGGGGGAAGAGGTCTCAGAGGCCAAGGGATGCGTGCCCTATCAAGTTAGTCAAGGTGGTGAAGGTTATGACATACAACTGCAGCAAACCGCGGCAGTGCCATAACAAAGCCAGAACTAGACCATAGCGTGTGGGTTTTTATCCCTTATTAGATTTTATCACACAAAGATAGATCGTAGGAGGTCTGCATGCCGGACGACTCTCTGAGATGTCCATACAGCAGGTCAGCGTATGAGTAATAATAATATAAATAACTAAATTAACTATATTTATATATATTTATAATAAAATGTTTTTATATAAGTTAAATGTCTTTTTAACTATAAGTAAATATTCATTATTTTATTATTGAATTTTATTTTATATAGCTCTTTAAAATAAGCGTATAATTATAGGTTTTTTAATAAGTTGTATTTTTCTTTAAAAAGCTTATGTGACAAGCCATCTAAACTATAAGGCTAAAGGGTTTTATAGGGTTTATGTTCTGAAGTAAGTCAACACAAAGGACGATAAAGGCTTCTATCAACTAGAAGACACTCAGATGCTGAGGCTTGGTCTGAACTGGGTTCACTGCGTAGTCGAGTTGTCAGGAGATTTCTCTTATTTTTGGGTTGGCTAAGATGCTTAGATTGATCACTAAGGTAGAGACTGTCTATTTATCTGGTTGGGAAATGTCTGTCTTTATGTATCCAATCTCTCCCTCCCTGATTAGGTGGCTCACCCTGGATCACCGGTAATCAAAGGTGATCCTGCTCACTGAATCACCACGGTGATCTAGTGATCCACATTCTTAGTTACGTGACCCAAATTCTTAGTCACGTGACCCAGGTTCTGCTGGTCACATGATATGTGTACCGTTGCTGCATTGCTCTGATATCTCCACTGATCAGCACCCCACTCACTGGTCAACCTGTTTCCAATCGTCTCCTCTGGGCATGTTATCAGGCCGCACTGTTTGTTGGTTTGTTACATGTATTTAATAATAATAATATTATTATTAATGGGTTAAGTCAACAAGGTTTAAATAAAAGTAAATGAAATGTCATTTAATTTAATAAATATTATTGTTAGAACAGGCTTGACCGATTAATTATAATACTCGAGCATGGGTTAAAGTCATGATATTGCTGATGGGTTGGATTGGGAGGTCTAGCTGGACCTGAAGGTCTGGCTAAGTGACCTCTCAACCCGGTATCTAATCTTTTATCTAATCATATATGTGGGTCCTAGTATAGATAGTTTGCAGGCTGGAATTGCATGGATCTAACAATTATAGTTTAAATTTTTTACTAATACTCTGAACGAGGTTATAAGCTTAATAGCGTTAAAAGATTTGTATTAAGCTATTTAAGTAAGTTATAAACGAATTGAAAGTAAAGTTAGCTCAATAATAACTTCTTTTCAAAGTAAAACTTTACGTTTTCATTTTATAAACTAAGTTGTAACGAGGCTTTAAAAAGAGCTTTTGATATTAGTAGCTGTGAGATTCTAGAGGGGTCACAAGCCTTTGGGGTGTGAGCGGTCGCTGCAAACGTTGTTGTCGTTCTCAAGTATGCTTGGCAGGGCTAATCTACGGCTAAATACCATAATGCACCATGACAGGGTAGATCCACTGGTCCCCTAGCAGCCCCTAGCGGGTACTGTACTAAGGGCACTATATCTAGGATCCAACATCTGACAGTAGCGTTTTAAAAAAAGCTAGTTTAGCTAAAGCGTAAATGTTTTAAAGCTGAACCTTTTTACGTTAAAAATTAACGTTTAAAGGAGTATTAAGCTTTAATTACCTAGTATAATCGGTGTTAAGTATAACGATGCGGTGTTTTAATATTAAAAAAAAAAGTTAAAGTATAATAAAGCACCGAGAAACTTTTACTAGTTAAGTTTTTGAAATTTTACGCTAATTGTGACGGCCTGCACGGACCTTCCCACATGACATGCTGATACTTCCCAATAAGAGAAGGATCCGACCAGAGGATCCCCTTAAAGGGGTAACCTCCCGCTGTACCTATCTCTCTCTCTCTCTTCCTTTCCTCTCTAGTCTTGATATTCTCGTCAATAGGGTAATAGCTGCTTGCTGCCGGCCATGTCCCAGCTCCTCAGTACGCTCGCCGTGACACTAATTACGCTAATTCAATTGGAAATTAAAGGACTTAATATAATATACGCTTGAGTATTAACAGTTTTAAACGCACGGACAATAAATACGGAAGAAGGTATAAGATCTAAGGTTGAGGTAATAAGGGCTTACCTAGAGTATCTGGAATAGTCGAAACAGTGCGTTAAAACATGTTACGGCTTGAAACCACAGCTTATAACTACTGCGACCCCTCGTACTGCCCGTAGTCAGAGGAGTCATAGGGCCCTAAGCTGTTTCCACCGACCGCCATTGACTGTTGACCTTACCACTCGTCCCATTCATTTTCGTCGTCTTTCGTGTAGATCTGGTCGCGCCCCTGCGCCAGAGGAGTTTCAGCTGAGGTACACTTCACGATCGCCGCACGTGTCATCCGCATACCTTTGGCCGCCTGTCTGTTATGCAGGAGCCTCGTCGACTCCAGCAGCTTTTGACTTCGACTATTCCTAACGTCTTTAGATGGTCCGGCGGCCATTGTACTCTTCCTGATTCTTCTTCTTTCCTCAGAATTTGGTGTGGACTTCGTTCAAGCTGGGTTATATTTAGTGACATTAGCTCATTGAACACATCAGCACATACCATCAACCACCCCATGATCACCAAGTTCAGGTTTGACCTAGCGAGCAGCGTCGGATAAGAATATCGGTCACGATGTGCGGATGGGTGATGAGCTGTTGTGGAAGTACCTGTGCCTTTTGTGATGACTCATAGTGTTGGTGTTTTGGGCTACCATGAAGTCGGGAGGAGAGATGGTCTTGTCTGATAGCCATGAGAATTAACTGTCATTTAGAAAGATAGGAAACAAGGCCTCTATTATGAGCTAGTTCTGGTGGGGGATAAGATGTTCGATCCCGACTTCTAATTACCTTCTAGCGAACATACAATGGGGCAACGCATCCACAGTGCCAGGTCACCTGATGGCAGGTGCACCATCCTGGATGGATGCCAAGTCCATCACACTTAGGGAATACCTTATTTTAGTCTAGACTTCTCTGAGAATTATCCTTTTAGTCTATAGCAAACCTCCTTGTTAGTAAGGAAGTTGTTCAAGCTCCTCAGCTGCAGGCCTAGAGCTATCCTCGATGGTCCCAGCGGCCTCCATGATAGCAAGGTCTTCAGCGTAGCCCCATCTGTTCGGGCTTTGCCTAAATAAGTCGGCCAGGTACAGCATGTACAGAATCGGGGACCACGGTGAGGGCTGGGGTGTACTGCATTCCAGTTCAGATTTCTGTGAGAATTGTCCTTCCGGCCTGCAGCAGACCTCCCTGTTGGGAAGGAAGTTGTTTGTAAGGCGAGGTTTCCGTGGTATAACAGGATCTGGCTCACTCTGTAGCGCCTCCCGCTAACACACCTGACTCTCGTGGATCGATCTGCTCTGTGGTTGGCAATCATGATGGTGGAGCCGGCTTGGTCGAGTCAGGGCTTGCATGGCATGCGCTGAATGTCGGAAGGGTGGGTGTAGACTCTCCCACAGCCTGAATAAGCTCTCCTGCGCACCCAGTAAATTAATTCGATCACCCTCGTGCTCTCGGCTTTGAAACCATGCATTAATGGCACATATCCTCTCGAGCTCCGTAGCAGTGGGCGGCTCTCTCCTGGTGCTGGCAATTCACGGCTACGACGTCAACGAGAAAAGTAATCTCCAACTCGACAATTCCACCAACTGTATCACCCAGATCTTCCCGCTGCGCCCATGCAAGGCGATTCCAAGCCTGTTTGTATCGAACCAACTCTCTCATCTGGTCTAGTGCGGCATCATCATTCATGTTCTCGAACAAGCTTAGGTGGAACTTTCCCGCTCAGTTCGAGGCGCAGATGATTCCCATTTCTGGAAAGCGCGAATACTGGTCTTCAGGGATGATGTATCCCGACAATCATGGTCGACGCCCATCAGATGCAAACTCGCTAGGAGCCCATTATCATGCATGATACGTGAGCGTTTCAAGCGATATGTGACCGAGCGGTCACTCTGACCTTGTTGTTCGTAGCGGTCTTCGCTTCCAGACTGGAAAGACGGCTGAGTTGTAGATGCTCGACTTCTGAAGCCAGTTTGTGTGTGCAGGCTTCCCATATGCAGCCGTATAACGCATCTCGCGTGTCTCGAAGCTCTCGCCTGATCTAGGGTCGTCATCTCATGGATAACAACGAGACGGCAGCGCAATTTCGAGAGGTAGTTCCACCATATCTTCTGGCAGATTGGACGTACCAGTGCCTCCTCTAACAACCACAGCCATCGATGGATTCCTTGCATTGCTTTCAGATGCTTGGACTTTGTCCAGACCTGGAACTGTTGCTGTAGGTAACGAGGGTCGAAGCGGGCTAGACGAAGCTGGTCTAATGCTATGGCGTATTAGCCTTCTGGTATGGCACAAAGACGGTCAACTGTGTTGACTGCAGGGTAAAATCTTTGGGATCCAAGTAGGATATATACGGGTAGAATCGCCCGTCATGCGCTTTCAGGAAGTCCCGGGAGACTAGGGTGGTCCACTTGTCGGTACCGCATGGTGTGGCGGCCTTGTGTTTTCTTCCCTTTCACGTACGCGCCTTGCTTGGCGCTGCAGAGTGACCCTTCGACGTAGCCAAAGTTTCTATGACCCTTCTAAGAAAAAGCTAAAGGCTACTCTCCCACAGCATCGATCGGTGTCCGGTATTGAAATCAATGTTTGGCTTCGACTTGAATGGCCGCATCTTTGATGGTAGCTTAGCGTAACATTTCAGCGTTACGTCTGACTTGCTCATGCGTGCACCAGAGCTAAGGGTTATTCAGGTTTACCTCCCACTCAACACCTAGAGGAAGTGAAGATGCAGCAAGGCCCAAGTCGGCGGTTCATGCCAAGGCGATATCAGTACGGTATAAACGTGTATCGCGGATGAGGATACCCAAAATATCAACCCTCGTCCTAGCAAACGGACATAAGAAAACTCTCAAGATCATCACTCAACAATACCAGCTCCATCGCCGTGTTCACCTGTGTGGTCGCTTTCAGATGTCTCGCAAGCTAGCCCGAATCTCCCCATGCAGAAATACAATGAGCAAGGTTTCCCAAAACAGTTTAATCCAGAGATTTGAATATGTCGTCTTTCAGCACATGAAAGCACCCTCGGAAGCAGCCACATCTTGCGCAAGCTCCTCAGGTGACTCTGCATCCAGTCATCCCAAGCCTCAGTTCAATTTCTTCTGCATGATATCCTCCTGGACGAGCTGCGTGAGCTGCGACATGCGGAATGTCCGCCAACACGTAGCATCGACGACCCACTCGCCGAACGAACTGCCCCACCACACCTTGCTCGACAGGCCGCCAGCCCAGAGCCAGTCGGGGCGCCCGAACCAGCTGCACAGCCACACGGGCCACTCGGACCGCAGCGAGTCGGTGACCAGCCTCTGGGCGAACTTGGTGGTGTCCATGGTGCTGTTGCTCTGACTGAACATGAGTCGCCACTGGAATATCTCCTCTGCTTTGCGGTAAAGACTGTCCTCGGGGATGACGCGGTGGCCATGGCTCGCCGTGTTGCTCTTGACGGCGCCGGTCATGGATACCATGACGCGCACGCCGAAGGGGGCGAGCTCGAAGCGCAGGGTGCGGGAGTAGGCGGCGACGGCGGCCTTACTGGCGCAGTAGACGGACCCGAAGAGGTACGGCGTCACGGACGATAGCGACGAGATGTTGATGACCAGGCCCTTGGCTGCGATCAGCTGGTCTACGAAGGCCTGCACCATGGCCATGATCGCGAACACATTCGTCTCGAAGGTCGTTCGGACATCGGGGAGCGATATGTCGGTCGCCGGGTGGGTATGCGTACGCCCCCTATTTTGACGGTTGAGCGGGGCTCAGACTCAAACCAAGTCACCCGTCCAACACGTGACAGATGAGGCCTGCGATTGAGGGAAACTCACGCGTTGTTGACCAGAATGTCCAACTTGCCCCCGTTGATCTTGGCGACTTCCTCGTGGCATCGCTTGATGCTCTCAGCATCTGTGACGTCTAGAGCCACGGTGCTCATGCCCATTTCCGCCATCTCAGCCAGTACTTCTGGTCTCCGGGCTGTAGCGATGACATGTAGGCCTGTGCGCAGGTATCAGCGGACTGTGGTTCTGCCAGTGAAAGCTTCCTCTGAAGATGTAAGCTTACCTAGTCGGTGATATTCGAGACAGAGACCATGGCCGATGCCGCCTGGCGTGCAGCTGCGATGGCCTGTGTCAGCTGGTCACGTATGTGACGTCGCGGTCGCGCATTTGAGGCATCGACGTACCCGGTGACGAGCACCGTCTTCTGGCCTGGCTTGGGTCCCGGCATGGTGATAGCGGTATCGATTGATTGAACCTCTCCAGAGCGGCCTCAACAGACTCGCGGGTTCTTGAGCGACTGGTGCGTGAATCTCCTAGACACCAGATCGGAGTCGGGCAAGATGAATGGATGGGGATCCACCTTTCTCGACAGTCCGAAATCTCCGATTGCTGAGCTCTATCTCACCCCGCTGGCACGTGACCTTTTCAGGGGCGTCGGCGTGGCTGAAGAAAACAACGTCGGATGCCAAACTAGAATGTACATGTACGTGGGATATACCGGACTCTCGTGTGAGTAATTGACATTTGACTGACAAAAAGACGTCGCAGCTACTGCTCTGGACAGTGACTGGCTCTTATATAGCTGCCGTGTCTAACGGCAGCTGAAAGTGAACGGCCTCTTGCGCCGCATTGCTGACCCCCGCTGACCGTCATCCACCGCAGGCTGACCACCGTTCAACCGTTCAACCACGCGCATCTACGCAGCCTACAATCCCATTCCTGTGTCGTCATCGGCTACCGCTGCATGGTTCTTGGACTGCCTGGCTGTCGTCGCTCTCCCAATGTCGCTGCGCAATTGCGGACATCGCGTGTATGCGTCACTCTTGTATAGCCCAGTGGCGTGAGGGCAGGTGTACTTGTCGGAAGTAATTCCAGACAGATGCGCGATACTGTATTTCTTGCGGAGTGCCGAAAGACTTTTGCCCGATAGCCTCAATCAGACTGTGTCGACAGTCTGGTAGTTTGTTGACCAGCAGGATCGTTCGTCCTTTTCTTTGATAGTTGGTCATGCACCACTCAATGTCACTTCTACCTTATGTAATATGTGCCACCAGATAGGGGGAGAAAGCGCCTAGGAAAGCGACCGAGGCGCCTCATTGGAGACATGCCGTGTATCGGAGTTCGATGCGAAATGGAATCGCCAATCCGATGAGGGAAGTAGGTAGAACAAAGGAGCACGCAATTTGGTTTGTGTGAGGGCTGTAGTCTCAACACACTGTTGGTACTCGAGCGTTGGTGCAAAGCTTTGTTTGAGTGTTCCGCATGTGGAATGTCACATGCCCAGTAGACCTCTTTGTTCATTATCGGCTGTTGTCGGTGGTTCTTTGTTCACTCTAGCAGCACGAGCAAGGTTCGGTGTCTGCTGATTTGAATGCAATACCCCTTATGTTTCAGCGACTGCCAACTGATCAACTTTTTTGCTGGCCTGCATTTTTCATTTGACTATTGCGTATCGACATAACTGCTACCGCAGATAGGTACTGATCAGCGGCCATGTCCCCTCGATGCGACTGGCTTCTGTATGTTACCAGAAGAGTCCTACGGCCTGCATGCCGAATGCAACTTGAAGATACAGATCATGAGGAATAGTCGAATGTAGCATTCTAGCTAGGTCCACACGAATATTGGTGCCTGCCCACAAGCTTCACCACCAACATGCCCACCCCGTGATATTGTGTTGGCTCCAATTGCCATCGTCTGAAACTCCAACCATCAACGATTATCGAACATGTCTTTCAGACGGCTTGAGTATATTAGACTGCCAAATAGTATTCCATTCCACTTATTGATTATTCTTCCCAAGCCCGTCAGCCGCCATTCGCAATCCGCTTACTCATAGACTCTTCATCCTGGGTTCGACCCTACAGTCTCTCGAACGTCGTTATGGGCCACAACGGAAGAGGCACCGGGGATTACTATCACCCTACGTACTATAAAGGGGCATTCGATGAAGAATACCTTATGCGTTTCTCCTCCGCGTCTCACCCAAGCCGAAATGATTTCGCTCCATACTATCATGAACCTTCATTTCAGCCACACGCGCTCCACCCGACAGCAGCCCAGTATAGTACCACGACGGCTCATCAACATCTGCCCGATGGCTACTCCGACCTCTATGTAAGTACCCTATCAGTCTACTCCTCCATCTGGATCCACCAGCTAAGCGTAACTGCGCTAGGATTATACTGGCAGCACATCATATGGCAATCCCTCTTTCATTCCTAGACACCTTCTGCACCCATGTCGGTACCACATGCATACGATATCGTAAGCCCCAGAAACTATTCTAATGGGAACGATGGCATGGCAGCACCACCCCGCGAAAAATCGCCTCCACTCCGGAATGAAAATCGGAAAGCATCGAACAAGAAGCACCAAGGCCCACCAGGCTACAGCGAGCACGAGAAGCGTAGCAAGAAAGGCCAGTCCTCTACTAGCACTGCTCTCTACAGTCAGAAACATGACCATAGTCCGAGACACGGCGATGCACGCAGGGGGTCCGCAAAATCGCCCCAGCATGATTCCAGATCACGCCAGCAAGAAGAGATGATACCTAGTTCCAAGACACCCAGACCAGAACCAGCTGGTTCAAAGAGAAAATGAGCAGGCTCAGCTTCAAGACTCGCGACTGAAGAAGACCGCAAGAATTACGGCATCCCATCCGAATGCTGTCTCCTGCGCTGGAACCCAGACCAGGAGCCTTTCAAGGTCCTCAATAGCATAATGGATGGAGATTCCCTCGGGCGGTGGATTCACGACTGGGCACTAGCCATATTTGGGGCTCAAACTGCCCAACTTGATATAGCTGGCCTGCTGTGGAATCAGCTGATCAAGCTCACCGGAATAGCGTAGCGGTGTGAATGGTCCCTTCCTTACGTAGCTCACCGAAGAGAGAAGAAAAAGGTTGCAGAGTTCATCGAGAGGGGCAGGGGGCTGATGGAAAACTTGAGGCGACTTTTAAAAGAGTTTGAGGAGCCGTTCCTAGGGCTTGCAAAAGACAAGATAATGGAACCATTTATGGAGAGTCTTCTCGGCAAGGAACAGGATGGTGAGAGGGTTCAGGGGTTCTCGCAGTCGGTTCGGCAGTGGGCTCTAGATTTCGATGCCAACTACGAGGATATTGTCGAAGACGCAGAGGAAAGGGGATGGCGGCAAGAAGACATAGAGGAAATTCGGAGGCGGGAAGACGAAGCGGATAGGCGGAGGCGGAGGCAGCGGAAGTAGGTGCGTATACTCTCGGTGAGGGTCAACATGTTTTAGAGGGTTATCTGGCGTTACTTCCAAGTGTATTATCAGGTTAGATGTTTTTTCCACTGATTCTTTGAATTTTATAAATGATAATGGGTTTAGGGCTTGTACTTACGCAGGGCTCCGTGAATTTGGGACAGAGCAGTTGGTGCGCGTCGGCGGGCGATACCCCCGCTTTTGGGCAAGTCTCCATTCGAAGGGTCCCCAATGGACTCGTATGGCTACAAGAAGAACTTGGACAACAAAGGATGGAAGCCGCAGGGCGCAGGGTGCGAGACCTAGCGTTGGTTCACGGTATTGGGACTCGATACTCAAGTGTTGGTGCACATTGCACTGTTACGGTATTACATAATACCTCCACATATTTATGTACATATATACCCCTAGCTTCCCCGTTCTCTTCCGACCTTGCCTCTTCTTCCTTAGATATCGTTGAATCTAGATATTTCAATCCATCAGCCCTGACCAGCGCAGCTGCAGGCCTGATTGTCACATGCACCAAGTGTGACCGATTGCACCTGCAGGACTAACATCAACCCATGGCTCAAGGCTCAGGGTTAGTGGATGTGTTTCACGCGAAAGGTGGCTCTTTGTCTTGAGGACCTTCCTTTGTTCGCCTTGATGCGCCTCGCCTATTGCCTTGGGGACGTTTCTTTGTTCACCTCAACACGTCCAGCTCTTTGTCTTGGAAACGTTTCTTTGTTCACGTCTGGCTCTTTGTCCTCTAAGACCAACATGGAAAATCTAGCTCTGTCATTACGACTATCTTCAAGACTCGAGTGTGAGAGAGTGTCACTGTTGCCATTTCCAAAAAAAGGACAATTCCGATTCACCACGGGCTTCCCCGTCTAGCCTTGCCAGGTTTGAAATGCTACCAATTACTCAACGCCGACTACGGTAGTTCTTAATTTGCATCTGAGGACTAACTATTTACCCGCCCCGATGCATCTGATACATTTCCCCATTCGCACAGTACCTCCCCTGGTTGTTGCCCAGAGCCAACACCTCGCGCGAGTGATGTTGGGTTGCACTTCGTGCCACCGTTGGAAACACCAACAACCGGAGTAGATCCCATGACCGCAATCACTCTTTGTCCAGGTCTGCCAGGCAATCACTATATCAAATGCCCTGTGTCTAACCTAGGAAAAGAATGTTTCCCAGGCGCCTGCCAGTTGAATGTTCAAATCTTAAGAACTCAGTTCACAGCTGTCGTCATGAGCCGGTCTAATCGTGGATTGATACGATACGACACACCCGGAGAGTTGGTCCCCTACAGGGAGCAGTCTTCTACCAACTACGCAAGCCATCCGGCTGGTGGCCATTCATCGTATCGACCGCAACATAATGTGAACTACGTCCCACAGCCGGGTGTAAGTTCATTAGTGGTCTCCTAGATGCTGTTTCAAACTAACAAGGATATTCAACCAGCCATGCTATCCACCACCAGGCGGTTCCTCCTTTGATCGCGGTACAGGCCAGAGATATCCATACAGAGATCCGACTCGGACTCGAAGGCACAATTCTAGCGGAGAAACTGCACAGGAAATAGCATCTGCTAGATTCCTGCCGAAGCCTCCATGGTACAAAGGAAGCAATCAACAGACAAGGCGTCTAAGGAGGGTACCTCGCCGTCCCACCCCTAGGACCGCTGCCACTAGGTCATCGTATGGGTCGAAAGCCAGAGGTCACCGTGCAGCTCCCAGGCGAGCAGCAAAGCTTTGCGATACAGTCTTGTTTGACGTATTTGTCAATCGACTACTGTGTTTTCCAATGAATAGGTAGCGTGCAAAGAGCAATCAGTCTCGCTCCTTGCAGGTGAACACAGTCGTACGTACGAGATCATTGAATCTAGAGAACATGGTAGGTTGTTCATACCGTCCTGTCCTACAGCTAGCATCTTACTTATCAGTTGTCGCTCGAAGCCACCGGTGTGATGCTCCGAGGTCTTCAGGTAGTTGGCGAAGATACTTGATCCTTCAATCATGGTTGACCATTGAGGGGAATCTATCAGCGTTTAACACACCCTGAGTTTAACACATCCTGAGACGGCCTGTCTTCTCTTGCTTGAGTATCATCGGTACCTGTTTCGCGACACTGCTAGACTGAGGGACAACAGGCCAACAATCACCTGCTCGGCCATACGTACCGGTACCATTGACACCTACCACGACCTTAAAAGGAGTTCGACTTGTGTTCAAGGTGGACGTGTCCTCCAAAGACAGCCGGGACATTGCTGTATACGTGCAACAACGCATCCAGCCCAGAATCAACAAAATCGATTATGAAAAATTAAATACACTCCATCGCCCTCAATCGCCTTCTATGCACCCTCCCTCTCCATCCTTTCGTTCTCAAGAGCCAAGAAAGCCTCCTGTTCCCGCGCGCTCTTCTCAAGATCTAAGAAAAACCAAAGCCCGCAAGCACTGACCAAGGTGAGCGCAAACAGGAAGTAAAACGGTGCGCTCGTATTGCTGCCGCCCGGCGACGCGTCGATAATCGCGCTGCTCACCAGGGGGCCAATGAACGAGGACGTCTTCCCGATGATGGTGAACAGCGAGAAGAACAGGAACTCGTAGCCACGAGGCGTGACCGAGGATATCAGAATTTGGGAGTACGAGTACCACGGACACACAAACAGGCCGTAAAAGACCTGGTACAGCCAGATTTCCCATATGTGTTTGAAGCCGAAGTTGGCGGTCCAGTTGCCGATCATCCCCCAGACGTCGAGGAGGACAATGCCAACCATCACGGCGTCGAACATGGTCTTCGCACTGAGCTGAAAGCGTTTCTGGATCAGCCAGTAGACTCCGATGCCGACACCTTGGGCTACTATGCCCACAATCAAGACGTAAGTCAGTTTCAAAGTATCATAGGCCACTATCTCGTTTTGCAGCGTTGCGATGACCGTTACGGTGGTATTGAGCGAGTCGCCCAGCAGGAAGTAGCCAACCAAGAAGATCAGACTTTGCTTCAGATGCCAGATCTGTCTCACACCCTCCGAGAGTTGCCACAAGCCAACGTTCAATATGTTCTTGCCGGCGGGGATCTTGCGTCCGGGACGCTTCTTCTCCAGGAGGAACCAAGGTATGGCCAGGAGTACCCAGACTCCGGTCGCGAACGCGATGAGGACAGACAGGCCCCAATTGTTGGCCTCGGTGCTCGCGTTGACGTCGATACCGAAGAGGATCCCGACGATGATGGCAAGAATGACGACCTCGCCCATGCTCTGGACCCAGAAGGCGACATTGCTGAGTCGGCTACGCTCGACCTCGTCCTCCCGGTCGTAGTCAACCTGCCCAATCTCCTCAGCAGCGTACGCCGCAGCTTTCTCTCGTATCCTCGGGGTATTGCGGGCTAGCGCAGGAAAGGCAGCGGTCCAGTAGGTGAGAGTGAGCTGGTAGCAGATGAGTCCAACGATGTACAGCCCGGCAGCCACTTGCCATTTCGACGGGTCGTGCACGCCGAGCCAGGCGAACCCAATGCCGAATGCCATGGCAGACCAGAAAACCAGGATCCAGCGACGGCCGGAGCCGAAATCGGCGTCTAGTGTATGAAAACGTCCCTGGTTAGTGACCGTACCCTATGTCTCTGGAATTGCCTAGCAGAATTACTTACTGCCGAGAAGTTAGCAGAAGGTTCAAGTGTATTCCAGAACCGGGGACTTGGGGTCTAGAATAGGGATGTTTTTATACATGCCAGGCGCCGATGACGACGAACAGAGCGGCCTGGATGGCGAAGCTGATGCCGTTCGCGAGCAGCACAATACTGTTGATGTTGCGATCCTGGCCGCCGAACCTGAGGAGCCCGGTGTCTTCGGGCGCGGCCTGGGCCAGCAGGTTCTGAAAGGCGGTCGGCCCGAAGTTAAAGAGCGCGAGCCCGTTGGCGCCGATGTAGTAGCAGTAATACGACCAAATCTCCCACTTGGTGGTCTCGGGCACCTGGTTCGATGCCATGATGGGGGCGACAATGCCGCGCTCCGACAGTAACGGCTCGGGCCGAGTGTCGACAGAGGCCTGCTCAGAGTCCTGGTTCTTAGCAAAGGCATCATGCGGCTCCTGCGCCTCGGGCTGGACGACGATGGCCGGCGCGGGGACGGATGACATGATGACGGTACGACTGGCGAATAGATTGACCTGAGAGTTTTACCGATAGGACTACCAATTAACAATTAGTAAGGATGGGGACGCGGCAATAACTTAAACAAGAGGCGCAAGTCGGAAACTTTGGAATGGGAATGTTTTGATTGGTAGTGGTGATGATGTTGGAGAAGGGAATCTCTAGGGCTACCTAAAGTACCTAGCCGTGACGTGACTCGTGAGATAGAGTGGTCGTGACTCGTGAGATACTTACTAGAGTGGTCCTCCCACGATGCAACCTTCCGTGCAAGTTGCAGCGCACCTGCCCAACCGGAATTGGGATGCGCTTCCCCCAGAATTTCAAGGTTCCCCGCTTGTCAATGAGATGGTGCAATCGCCAGGGGTCCAGGGGTCGCGCGCTAGCCCCCTGCAACGTTCGGTGACGGCCCGGGGCTTGATAAGGGATAAGGGGTCTGGTAATAAAAAGGAGGTGAGACCGGAGACGCGCATAAGCAACATTAAGGGTTTGGTGTTGTCTCACATAAGAACTCAAAGTCGGAAAAGTCGTGCTCATAAACTCAAAATGCCCAGCAGAATATCACCGCAGCTGGAGTCGTGGAGCCGCATCTCTTGAAGGCCGGCAACAAGATAGCCAGAGGTAAAGACCCAAGGCCGACATTGAACCTCTGGCCATGCAGTTCAAGGCCCTCGTATATGCCTTGAATCTGTGACATTACCGATGTTGCTGCGATCGATGAAACTGACCAGTTATAAGAGCACAATTTTTGGCAAAATTGATTGTACGTATTGGTCTGGCTTCTACGAACGGATCGAATAGGGGATGGACTTCAGCTGGCAAAAGTCTGACAGATTCCTCGTGCGATGGTTGAGGCTTGGTGATCGACCCCGAAGCTGTTCAAGATGAGACATGCCTTGGGATTTTACATGTCAAGCTTTTAGATCTTGTTGTTGAATGTGGTGGTGAACCATGAAGTGTATTGAGGATAGATGGAAGGTCCAGAGGACCTGAGAGGGACTTAGAGATATATACATGATGGAGGTGTTAGTGTGGGGCGTACGAGTATATAGTTGTCAGATTTGAGCCAATCGTGAGGTTGAAGTGTGTGTGTGTATTCTGTGTGTCTGGAGTGTCCTTGTGCGACCGTGGCTGTTTTGTGCCAGAGGGGGCTGGATCGGGACGGAACAACTAGGTTCTGGTGTCTACCTATCAAGGTGCCCTCTGTGCTCACCTTTAATCCAACAATAGTACACCTATATTACCCCTTACTTTGATAGTTTTACTTAAGTTATAGTGATTTCTTTCCTTTTAAATAACCAGATAGATTGTAATAATGTTTAGTTTATAAAGCTTTTATTAATTAAGAACTTGTAATACTTAATTAAAGAACTAGGCTATTAAAGGAATAAAATAACATAAAGCAGTTAGTTTATCAAGATACGAATTTATTAAAGTTTTTTTATTACGTTTCTTTTTAATTATCCCTTTTATTATAAGCTTGTATAAAATATAAAACTTAATAGGAAAAAGATAAAGATTTCAAGTAATCCGTAGAAATAAGAAGTAGTATTTAAAACCGAGTTAAATTAATATACCTTTAAATATAAAGATTAATCACTTAAAAGAATTTTAAGTCTGTGAATATAGCTTAATGTTTAATCTTATTTATAGAGGTAATAAGGTATATTTCTTATCAAAAGTACTGTTTATATTATATTATAACTTTCGTGGCATACGCCATCGGAGGGCAACCAGGCCCGAGGGCTAGCGAAGAAGATGCTCACCACGCAAGCGGCGTGTTTAAGGGTGGTGGCAGGGGCCTTTAAAGCCACGCCGCGACATTTGCTGGAGACAGAGACCGGTTGTCCCCCGCTGGACGCATACCTAGATATGAGGGTAGCGGCGTTTGAAGGTCGAATGTACAGAGAGGCCGGTAGACACGTTACTGCCGAAACAAGAAAGGTGGCAGAGAGGGCAAGAGACGCAAGGTTGGCAGTAATGGAAGCCGCAAGGAGACCCGCGCAAGGTGGCAGGCGGGGGAGAGGTCGGCCTCGGCGGTCGCCCCACACAATAGCGTCCCCGCAGAAGGATAACCCAACGGACCGGAAGGAGGCGATCCTAAAGTGGCTGGGCCAAGACCACCCGGAACAGGCACTGGAGAGGTCGTGGAGGAGTCGATGGATAGTTGCCATCACAAGAGCCAGCCAGACGGGAGTTGCTGCGAGGTCGCCGGCAGCTCAAGGAGAATTCCTACAGGAGCTCGTAGGGGCGGTCCCGCAGTATTACTACGGACTGCGGAAACACGAGGTGTCTGCCCTATGCTAGGTCCGGACAGAGACCATCGGCTTGAGGGCTTTCTTGTTCCAAAGGAGAGTGCTAGGAGAGGCTACACCACGTTGCGACTGTGGCGAGAAGGAGACGGCATACCACGTGACGGTATGATGCCCTCTATACGCGGCCCAAAGAGGCAGACTGCAAGCCTCTCTCGGGACGAGAACGTTGCGGTCAAGGAGAGACTTCGAGAGCTTGCTGTCAGATCCGGACGAGACCCCGAAATTTATACGGTGGTTTTTGAGATTAGGACTACTGGGGATGTTCTCACTAGCAAGGAAGCTAAGCGGTGGCAAGGTGGCCCAACAGGCACCAAAGAGCCGGACCGCAGAGGATATAGAGCAGTACCGGATAGAATGGAGAAGGAGGGGGGATATGGTAGTAGGGATATCACGAGGGGGAGGGGAAATATCACGAGGGGGAGGGGGAATATCACGAGGGGGAAGAGGTCTCAGGGGCCAAGGGATGCGCGCCCTATCAGGTTAGTTAAGGCGGTGAAGGTCATGACATACAACTGTAGCAAACCGCAGCGGCGCCGTAACGAAGCCAGAACTAGACCGTAGCGTGTGGGTTTTTATCCCCTGCGGGATTTTATCACACGGAGATAGATCGTAGGAGGTCTGCATGCCGGACGACTCTCCGAGATGTCCATACGGCGGGTCAGCGTATGAGTAATAATAATAATATTATAACTTTAGCTTTTAAACTTTACGGGGAGTTTGTCTTTGGGGGGTACCAGCCCACCATCCGCCCGAACCGGATTAGAACCAGCGCGGAGGTTGCCAGCAACCGATCCAGAGTCGTCACCATCCGCGGACTGTCCGACGTTGTCAATAGAGAGACACTAAACAGGATCTTTACCTTCAAATCCCAGCTTGAAGACACCGCAATCGTCTGGTCTAGCGGAACATTCACCGCGATGCAATGGACCTTCGGCTCATACAGACAGCAGACCTAGCGGGCTTGGGACGTAATCCGACGTATGCGACACGACGGAAACCTGTCCAAGGAGGAAAGGGGTTTATGGACGCGGGTCACGGTCCGCTGGGGCCGTGACCCGTGCCAACCTCTGGACGTGGAGCTGATCGGTGCTTAAGGAGGGTGACCTGGATTTCTTTCGCTTAACCGGGTGTGGTCGATGCCACGGTATTCTACCACCATGGGAACAGCAAGGAGAAGGTGCATGGATGAGGGCATCATTTTTCTAAGGGGGCGGTGGGGCAGGTTCTTAGGTCTGCCACACAGACAACCATAGATAGTGGACAGAACATCAATCTAGTGAAGACCTCCCATTCATCGTCTATCAAAATGGCAACGTCCAGAAGCGAAGCAAACCTCGCTCATGTCTTGGGATATGATGCAAGATAGAGGGCATGAAGGCTGCAACGATCCCTCACTGTAGAGGACATACCTTCGGCCAGAAAGCCTGCTTTCTGAGAACCAAAATGGCCGACTGTATCGAGCAGATGCTTCACTGGGGCAAGCATATAATCGCAAAGCCCTGAGATTTGTGTCACGACCAAATCTCCATAGCCGCATTCCAGGTGTTTGTGGTGGAAAATGTTTGTTTAATAATATCGCCTACGTAGAAAGTGGTAGATTGCTTGATGTTAGTGCCAGGCCCGATTGTGTAAATACACTGAAAAGCAAGTGCTTTAAAGTACCTTGCCGGACGCGCGAAGTTAAAGCTGATTCCCCGCGGCAGACGTTACCACTGTGTCTCATTCTCATTCTCATTGCACGGGCGCTCTGGCTTCGGCCCTTGAGACGAGTCCTACCTTGGTATTGTGTTTCAAGATCGCTAATAGCCAGGAAATCTATACAAGTCAAGATATATGAAGCATGAAATAAAATTGTGCTAGGTAGAATAACCGAAGCTGTGATGTTTTTACTTCACCCGTATTGTGGTTCTAGAGCCGAGCGGCTCTACCAGAAGGTGACAGCTAGAGACTCCACCGTTGGAGAGGAATGACCCACCATTAGACCGAACCGAATAAGACGAGTAAAAAGGCTGCCAACCGACACTCTAAAATCGTCACGATCAGAGGGCCTTCAAGCATAGTGAACGATCATGTTTTGAACGGCTTGTTTTGTCAGCGTCTCAATTACCAGCTGGAGGATACCCAGACTTTATAGACCAATGGACAAAGACACTCGTACGCTGGCGCTTTGGATCATTTGGAGAGCAGGTTCAGCGAGCTCCGGCGGCTACCAACTTAAGTGCACCGCAACAATCTTGTCTAGCGGAGCATTCTCCATGATGCGATGGACAACCAAAGCCTATCGCAGGGGGAAAGAGATATATGGACACGGATCACGGCCCGCTGGGGTCGTGACCCGTGCCAACAGATGAGTTCGTCGATGATGGATTTGTTGATCAGATGAAGCCACGGATTTTCACAATCGCGAAGCTAGTTAGAAGATTTCATGCTTGATACTTCTTGGCGCACAACCTACGTGCAAAGTCGTGTAGTAATACTCGACTACCCACGATGCCAGCCAGTGCATGTCTTTTTCCGTTCTCTATTCCACTTGATTCTTAGCGTGATGCCGATATCGGAAGCAGCAAACAAGTTCAAGTCCTTGCTTAATGGTTTTGAAGCTCGGCGCGAGTTTTGGAACCGTTTTGAACATCCATCGTCAGTTTCCTTGATCATGCCACCCTCCTCCATACCTGTTCCCATGACTTGTACTACAGACCCGGCCCTGGCAAATGACTCAGCCGTTTCTCTAGCCGTATTAAACCAAAAGCGTCTTCTGAGCTGACGAAGCGGTGCCTCTGCGATAACTCTACAAGTATTGGTGGCCTCGAATCTCAGTCACGGATAGCCCCACAGCCGACATGTGCATGCAATGACGAGATACACCCCATTTCTCCTTTCAATTGGCCAAGTGAGTCGATGGAGACCTTCCTGCGAATATCCATACATTTGCACGTCTAAACAAAGTGGGTGTATTGTTGAGGTTTAGAGTTTGTCAATATATTCTGCTTGGTTTTCAAAGAGTGTCTTGATGATATTCTTCGAATGTATCAGAGACTCATGATCGTTCAATTCCCATTTGCACCGCACTACATGTGTCACAAGATAACGCAGTCGTGAGGTACGAATATATTCGAAGTTGGATCCCAGAAGAGAAGTCTATCAGACGATACAGGGCAAAAGGCCCTGTATATGTAGCCACCAACGTGGGGCGTACCAGCCACCCAGAATACCACCCATCCCACTTTCCATCAACATGATCCCTTGAAGCTCTCGACCTCGTCCATGATCACTCTGGGACTGCTTAACCAGTGGTGCAGCCACCAAGTCTGACGCTCTCCGCATACATCTCATAGGTGTCAGCATTCTCCGAAGCCTTGGCAGCAGACAACGCCTGGGCAGCCGTCGGGCCATAAGCATAGTCATCGGTGCCGAACAAATGGGTGCTCTCGTGCAACATGCTGCCAGCCCAGTCGTAGTCATCGCCTGAGCACTGCGTGGCAAGCTGAATGTCGAGGTCCCAGAAAGCATCGCAGGGAACGATGCGGTTGGCGCTGGGGAGGGTGTACGCAATCACGTCCGACGAGCAGTCGTTTGAGGTGTCCGTGCAGCTGACCGTCGGGGCGGTGGTCTGCACGCCGGCGACATCGCCGTAGATCTTCTCGACGGTGGAGGCGACCGAGGTGCTCTTGAACCACGTGGTGTAGTAGTCGGCAGAGCTGGCCGCCGCAGTTTTGGCCTTGGTGGACATACTGACCGCGTCCGAGAAGCTGGTCTTCAGCGTGCTCTCTTCGGACGTCGTGCAGCCGCTGTAGGTGATCGCACGCTTCTTGATGCGAGAGTTGAATTGGTCCTCGCGCTTGACAATCGCGTCACTGTAATTTCGTGTTAGCTTGCATGCACGTTCGGATTTTGAAGACGCAAGGTGGCTTACGAGGCGGCGGTGCTCTGGTCGGGGACGATGGTGGCCTCCTTGGACATAACATCATCACAAGACGTGAGGTCGCTGACTTTGGTAGGCGCCTCGGTTCCGACAACATAGCGGAACCCCTGAATGGCAGTCACTTGAGCGGAATCCACGCCCTCAAGATCATACGTCTTGGCAGCGTTGACAGAGGCAGTGACTGTCTCTCCCGGCTGAAGAGTCTGGAAAAGATCCGCAGTGAGACCCGCCTTCTTGTAGTTGACGTACATCCCCTTGAATGGGAGAGGGTTGCCAGCTGTTCATGATAAGTCACAGGCCAGTTGAAGGGAGAATAAAACTTACCTGCGTCAGAGACCAAAAGATCCTTGGTAGCGTGGGCGTCGAGCACCGTGTTGCCCTTGAAGACAGTGATGGCCTCACTACCAGTGTTCGTCAAGGCAACGTGAGCCACATGGTTTGTCGTGTCCGCGATCTCAACGGCAATGGGGCAAGAAGCAGCCATGGCTGCGCCGGCAAGGGCAACGACAGGGAGAACGTTGGCGATCATGTTTGCGGTGGCTGGACTGGAGATTTGACTTGAGAGTTGGATGTGTCTGTGGTGGATAATCCAAGCCAACGAGAGGCGTCAAAGATCACTATATATACTTATTCTTCATCGTAATCAGGAGATAGCAACGTTTTAGGCGGCCGATCGTCCTCTAATGCTACTGATACTGTGGATGCCGCTTTCTCGTGATCTCAACAACCCATGGGAGCGCATGGAGGGCGATTCCGATAGTATATCCACGATATCACCAAGGGGGATTCAAGAATTAGGCCAATCATTTCCCTAGATGGTGCCAAGTCGTTTGTCAATCTGGAACACAGTCGTTTCTTTCGAATCTCTTAGCTGAGGCAGTCGGCCTGATAGGCCTGATAGAGCAGCTCGATATTGGCCCTTGGGTCAGGTAGAGCATGCATCTCTTGGCAACGGACGGGAGGCCCTATATAGAAGCTGGAGGAAATGACAGTGTGGGGTTAGGGTGCCATCCGAGCATGCAGCCGGGGTCCCGTCACATCGTGGATATACCCCGACACACCTTATCTCGCGGTTGTTCCTATTAAGCAGGGCAAGTTGTTCCAAGACAGGGCCATCATGTGAGACGGATAATCGCTCTGAATAGCGTCTAGTGCATTTCTAGTTGGCTGGCGCTCTCAGCCCTCGGTTCAAACAACATTACCTGCCTTGATTGGAGTTTCGGCGCACTGCGCATCACCAGGGGTCTCAGATCTGCATGCGGGAGCATTTCGATGTGATAGATCCGCCGGACCCGGCGTTGTTTGATTAGCGAAGGCATACCGCAATGTTATTGATCCTGCCTCCCCGCGCCCTTAAAGCTTATTACAGAAGGTGACGACGGAAAGGCTTGTTTGCGCCTCTGCCACCTCTGTCAGGGGCACTCTGCGGAGTTGGCATCTCGGCAAGCTTGGCCTCAGAGACAAGCTTTCTGGGCGCCCATTGACTGTGCTTCAATGTTAGAACGTCGGCTGCACCACTTATCTACCTATATGTAAGGTAGTACTCTATCAGAGGTTGGATGGGCTAGAGGGTACCTGAGCGAAAGGGGCAGGAGGGGGCGATGTCGGCTAAATGTGAACACGATGTCTATCTTACCGCTTTAGGCAGGCCTCTCATACGTCAATGCCGGTCAATGCCGGCCAAGCTTATCGCTGCAGGTATTGGCGATGCTTAATTCCACGACTTACGAGCGTCAAAAGCTTGAAGAAAGGCTTGGTGTCAGGATGTGGGATGGCTGCGTTGGTCACCTGGCCAAAGAGGAGTATGGTCATTGTTCCAGACCTACCGAATACATCATCGTTCCCGAGGTCTGCCGCTGCTGACGCGGATCCTTACATGGTAGCATCTCCATCAGCTCGAACGAGCTTCTACTGGCAATGGTAATACGCGGAAGCAGGTCCTCAGGCCATTTACTTACCAAGTATGGGTTCATCCACCTGTACATTTGGAGATTGGAACTTGTATCTTCAAAAATTGCATTCCGAGCGAGACTATTTCCATTACTACGCCGCATAATGAGTCTGCAGGCTTGGGTAGATAGTGTCTGTTGACAATTGCGTTGTTTGTGGGTTGCTTTCGGATGGCACGATGTCTCAGCTCTAGAGAAATAATCTAGTTTATCTACACTCCTTCCACCTTCGAGCATCACTCTTACACCACTGCAAGGAACATGAGAAGATAGCGTTCAACAGAGTGTGATAGTACTAATTCTCTAGCTTCTCTAAGTCCCCTAATCAATAACTGTTCCCTATAGCCAACAGGAGAGACGCATACGTGTAAAAGCTTGCCTGTATACAAAATTGAAAAGTGGCTGGATCCAGAACCAATGAATGTCGAGCTTGCGGTCGAAACGTTTAGTGACAAGATAAGTCGAGCAATAATTGGAAGGGATTCTAGAAGACTCTATCGCGATGAACAAGACAAGTCGACAACTCTTTCGAACAATCACTGGCTTCTTGGTCGAAGTTTCTAACATGCGTCGAGCCTCTGCTTTCCCAAATTGGAAGCAGAGTGATTGTGTCGGTGCCAAAGAATGCCCATAAGAACACAACAATAATCCAGCCATTGAAGAAGCCTTTCGAGAACACTGTGAAGTCGCCAGCTTGGGGCTCTTTCACCCAGTTGGGTAGGTACTTACCCTATCTTGTGCCATAAGTCGGAATGGGCCACAGGATCAGATATGACAAGGTCAGAGGAACACTCGCACTGATTGCCCATTTCCTCGCACGGAGCAGCATCTTGTTGTTCTTCTCCTAATACTGATGCCGCCACCTCAATTACTTCGGGTGTCTCTACCGTCTAGGCACCCCGCCGTCTTTGGTAGTACTCAGCTGGCCTCACTTCTTTGAATTTTTAAAGTCATAGCTTTCCGGTCTGATAAACGTGAAGAGACGTGTCAGAACAAGCGGGCCGCAGAGGGAACACATGTTTCCGGCGAACTTACAACCATTGACCATCGTGGCAGTGCCAGTCGGGGTAGACTTATTAATGCTAAGCCTTAATCCTTCATACCAAGGGCGCATTCAGCGAGGACCATCCCGGTGGCAGCCTTCGGCCACAAGTTGGGTGACAGGCTTCCTAGAAGCCCAACACCCTAGTCCAGCACACTGGTGTTGTGAACAACAACTCACACCCTCGCCCACAGCCCTGCTGAGAGGGAACCGACACCCACATCCCACACGCTGGCATATACAGCGGTAGGGGACAAGGAAACGCTGTCCTGATAGTTGTTGAAGGAGTGGAATGGAGGCACTGGTACCCTCGCTTCGCGGAGGTTTAAATTGACTTCGGGAGCCATCGTCACATATCATGTACGCAGCTAGCATACGTAGAGATAGATGTTTGACTGCTTGTCACGTCGCATCGCCCCTGTGGCCTTGGAGCTGCAATGCTGCTTCGCGGCATCCGGCAGACGTTAAACACTGCAACCAACCACCAACCAACCATTCAGCGAGGACCTCGTGTTCAACCCGGCTATGCCAATGGCAGCGAAAAGCGACTTCCGGGATTTCTTCAAACCTCTCCCCTTAGCCGGGCGTTCCGTGTCTGGAGACGTGTCTGCCCGCTGGCTCGACACTTGCACTCACAGCCAGCTCCTCTTCTGTAGCAGCGACGTCCATGGCAGAGAGACGGCTTGACTGCCGGCCAGACCTGACTTATGCACGCGTTCAACGGCCGTACTTACGATGAGCTGAGCGACCAGCTCGCGGTCACGCCGGCGCAGGCCGCAGGCGGGGGCTAGTTACGAGCGGGCGTCTGGTCGAGAGGGACTCGTGTTCGGACTCGGAGGGCCCCAGGCCGATTCATAAGTTCATGGACTATAGCGACGACATCTGGTAAGTTCAATGAAGCCCCTGAGAATGAATTAGTCGGCTGGGCAGTGGTACATGGTCGATGAGACTGACGAGGCAGACAGCAACTATCAAGTTCAACACCGAGCAATTGCCTAGCATGCATCAACAGTGATAACAGTTTTGAGGTCTATAGACGGTCGACTGGGTGAGGGGTCTGGATTCAGGCTTTGGGTAATAGTGAATGTCGTTATAGGTGTTTGATAACCAGGACGGACATGGACGCATTCGGCGAGCATGGTGGTCGTGATGAGATGAGCTATAAGCAAGCAGGTTTTTATGAAGTTCAGGAGAGCGCTGGGAGAGGAGGTGAACTCGACATGCACACTGCTAACATGGCCAATCGAATGCCTACCTCCTAGTAATGCCATGTCGTGTGACCCGTGACCCGCCGACGGATATTTGCAGGAAGCTAAGCAGGCATGCCTTCCCTTGAGGTCACTGCTTGACCGTGGTGATTCTCGCGCCGATGCAGGATGAAGATTCTGAACAAGCACAGCGAAGTTAAGTGGAGTGAAGCGATGTAGCTGCTTGCTGACCATGGTGCCTGGGCGCTGCAATGTAAGCAGCGCTGCGCGCATGATATCAGTCATAATGATTCAGCCACACGATGAATCAGAACGAGCCATGCAGCCATGTCAGCGCCCTGGTCTCATGGAGGATTGGAACCCACTCCGGGGATGGGGAGAGTCGTCGGAGACGGGTACGCAGTATTATCGTAGGGAATAGCACGGTAGTCAGACAGAAATGAAGCCATCTCTACTCATATGCTACTCATAGTGATGTACGGCCAGTAATTGCGCGTTAACTTGTATATGAACTTGTATATAAAGCAGTATCAAGGCATCTCAAATGTAGATGTAGAGACTGACTAAACCATATGGATTCACTTGAATGAAAGCGGTGGATGTATAGGAACTTGCAGTAAGCCTCAATCTCGTTACTCACATTCGGCAATTGTCGTGTTTGATGATGACAAGTCGTTCCCTAAACCGATGGACATTCTGCTGCCCTGATTCAGAGGCAAATCCACACTTGAGACAAAGCACGAGCCGACATCGCCTGAAGAAACACACAATTTCGATTGATCTACCAGCGTTTCCAGATGATACAGGCCCAACTATAACTAACTCTTCCCACTCGAACCAGATTTCATTTGCAACATGCTGCGCAGAGCTGCGCTTTCGGCTTCCTGACGGGCGAGACGAAGCCGCAAGTCATCCCGTTCCTCCTTGACGCCCTGAACTTCAGATTCGAGTTCAGTGATGCGATCAATCCGCTTTTGTCGATACTTGCGGGCAGCGACATTGTTGCGCTGACGTTTAAGAGACGACTCGGGATCGTCGGGCGATGAACGCCGTTTCGAGCCAGTCCTCTGATCCTGACCGAGAGAGGGCGAGGGTGACGGCGCAGAGGCATTGAATTGACTTGCTTCTGGTGGCATGTTGAAGTCTGAGATTTGGTTGGAAAGAAAAGTTGTGTCATAAGTGGTTGCTGTACATAGGACCAGCGTCAATGGATGAGTCACAGTCAGGAAGAGTCTTGTCGAGGTAGTATTCTTACCATGCAGGTTTCCAGTTGGCAGTGTGCTTCCGAAGATTGGTGCGTCTAGTGGTGCACCCAAGTCCGGAAGAGACCATTCTAACCCGTTCGTACTGGTACTGCCTTGCAGTCCATAGAGCCAGTCATCAGTCGGGGGCAAGACAGAGCCCACAACTGGCTGGAAGAGGTCCGCCGGAAGATCCGCGACGCATCTCTCCCAATCAAAGCTGAAGTCAGGCTGGCTCAGGTGCGACTCGGGCCTGGCATGGTCCGCAGAATCCGAAGACGGTCTGGCTTGGGGCGAACGTTGTTGATGTGGTGGTGACGGCCATGTTGACACGCTAAGATGGCCTCCCTTCGAGGCCTGGTGGTAACTACTTGGGCAAGTTAAGGGGATTGTTCGGGCAGCGCCGTCCTATCTCTCGACGGCGAGAGAGTGTTGAGGTTATTCCCAAAGTGGTGGGAGTATGTGGATGGGGTGAGGAGGAGGAGAAAGGAGCGGGAAAGAGAGGGGCGGTCGGGGTATCTTAATAAGGGGAGAGATCGAGACATTCTTGGCGGTTAAACTGGAGGCCGCACTAGAGGGGGCTTGGGAGGCTTGGCAGTTGAAGGCGGGCCATAAACCGTGCAGGTGGTGCAGGTGGTCTGTGCATCTGACTTATGCAAGTCGCGGGAGGATCCATTTATATTCCCTTCTGCCGTCATCGTAGATCCATCAATCGTCCCGCCATCGCCATCGCCTCCGACGCTGCGCCTCGCCACGGCCATCGTGACAATAAACTCGTGGTGATACTACCCTGATGGACTGGCGAGTTCTGGCTTGCATCGGTTGACCGACCTTGTTACCTGCACCGCCTACTCGGATCGTAACAGCACACTTGTGTGCACCAACATTCGGAATCGCCCATGTCGCCAGGTCGGAGCTGTTGCAGACCATGATCAACGCCGTCTTGGTCTTCAATGGCCAAGGCCAGCCTCGTCTGACCAAATTCTACACCCAACTGGTATGTCTGCCCAAGGTCTCATATGCCACTGCCACTCGTGGCTCCTCCTTACACTGCTGCCGTACAGGACACGAGCATCCAGCAACGGCTGATCTCCGAGATATTCACCCTCGTCTCGAACCGACCCAGTGGCGCATGCAACTTCCTTCCTCTACCGCCCCTGCTCGCAGCCTCTGGTACCTCCCACTCGTCCTCCGAACCTCACAACGATGTGCCCTCGCTCGTGACCTATCGCAACTATGCCACCCTCTACTTCATCGTCATTTCGACGTCGACCGAGTCGCCGCTTGCCCTACTCGACCTCATCCAGGTCTATGTAGAGTCGCTGGACAAGCTGTTCGAGAACGTGTGCGAGCTCGATCTGATCTTCAACTTCGAGACTCTACACGCCGCCCTGAGCGAGATGATCGTCGGAGGTGTTGTAATAGAGACCAATTTGGATCGCATTGTGTCGGGTGTCAAAGCGCAAGGTACGGTAGCCAAGCGACCGGTCAACGAGTCGAGAGGCGGAACTTTGGGGGGAGGCCTTGGAATGGGTGGGACTTTTGCCTGGCCTGGGCGGTGATACGACGGACAGGAGCAATGGCGTTTGGGGTTTCGAGCATAGACGTGCGCTATGCCCCCCGCAGAAGAGCAGGAAAATAAAGAAGCATGGTCTCTCGTCGTATGGATACACTACATGATTTTACAGGTGGCATGGTATAAATGGTATCGATGGCGCAATATTATACCCCAAAACTCTGCCCAATGCAATGCGAGACTAGAGCTCGTGGTATACAGATTCCGGCCGTTCACTTCTCATCTGCAGCAGTGGGTAACTCGGGATTTCGTCGGTCGTGTCTCTTTCCTGGCGAGAGGGAACCAATCGCACCCCAGAAGGTGTTTCGGACCTGAAGCCACAATCAGCTTAGCAAACCTAGACATACATGAGATATATGCTTCACTTACACCTTGGAAGGGTTGCGTTTCGGTATTCCAGTCCATGAACAGGACAGAATATACTAGGACAACTGCGAGAAGCATTGGGTCAGCTCCCAACCTCGAATCCAGAAGCTGGGTATTTGGACCCACAAGCCACGCTGGATAGTTGCGCCAGCTTGACATATCGATCCCATCGCGGTCTCATAGTAGCCAGCTTCACCCTCCTCTTGTACTTCCTCTCGAGCCGGAATTGCTGTTTCTCGTGGAGCTTGGAGAAATCGGGAGGCCAGAGCTTCTTCGGCCTGAATCGACTGTTGTATATGCCGGTCAATGGTGTCCTCGTCGTGTTTCTGAACATTGGGGCTATAGGCTTGTCGGCCATCCGGCGTACGAGGGTGGGAAACATGGTTGCTGGTTGCTGGTAGCTGGTGTCGCAAATGTTGAGGAGCACCGAAGCTTGGATGGGATGTTCTGAATGTAGTCGCATCGCAATCAACCACTGATAGATGCATACTTATTTACCCGCACCATATGTGTCACTTTGACATTAAGGTGCACAAAATGCATAAGTAAGCGCGTGCTCAACCACAAACTGCCCCTCCATCCCCAGCTGCTATTGACTTGCATAATCCCGAAGCCCCGCGATTTGACAACGGCTTCGAAAATAATTCAACCAACCTGATGGTGACTCAGAACACTGCACAGGATATTTGAATTGAGCTGTGTTGGACCCGGAGTAGAGTCCTCATTGAAACACACTCTCTCAATCTGTACCTGGGTACCACCAGGACATCGGGGCTGAGGAAACCGCAGTCTGGTATTGTTGTGCACCATGGCTGCCAATTCCGTCGCCAAAGCCCTCGAGGGGCTCGCAGTCGCCCAGACGAAGGAACTGAAGGGTGTAAGTCATTTCGAGAGCTGTCACTGAAAGCAATTAGCTCACTCTCCGAACGCACAGACCGAGAAGCGAGACTCCCTCATCGCCGTCGAGAAGAAATACCAGCAACAATGGGAGCAGGATGGTGTATTCCAGCCGGACGCTCCGTCCGCTACCGACATCCCTCTCGAGTCGATATCGGCCGCCGAATTGCGGGAGAAATACCCCAAGTTCTTCGGAACAATGGCCTATCCCTACATGAACGGAACTCTCCATGCCGGGCACAGCTTCAGTGTCTCCAAGGTTGAGTTCGCAGCTGGCTGGGCGCGCCTCCAGGGCAAGCGGGTGCTTTTCCCCCTGGGATTCCACTGTACCGGGATGCCGATCAAAGCTTGTGCCGACAAGCTCGTGAACGAAGTCAAGATGTTTGGACGCGACTTTGAAAACTACAAGGAGGAAGAGTCCGTGGTGGAAGAGATCCCTGCAGCAGCTCCAACCAAGGGAAAAGAGGACCCGACGAAGTTCGTGGCGAAGAAGGGAAAGGCTGCCGCGAAGCAGGTCAAGATGAAGTACCAGTTCCAGATCATGCAGGCGATTGGTATCCCCATTCAGGAAATCCACCTCTTCGCGGACCCTCAGTACTGGCTCGAGTTCTTCCCGCCCCTGTGCCGACGCGACCTGACCAACTTCGGAGCTCGCATCGACTGGAGACGGTCTTTCGTGACCACCGACGCGAATCCCTACTACGATGCTTTCGTTAGATGGCAGATGAACAGATTGAAGGAGTTGAACAAGATCAAGTTTGGCAAGAGATATACGATCTACTCGATAAAAGATGGCCAACCCTGTATGGACCATGTGCGTTGAACCATTATTCAAAATTACGGTAGTCTTGCTGACACTTTCGTAGGACAGAGCAGAGGGGGAAGCAGTAGGTCCTCAGGAATATACAGCTATCAAACTTCGGGTCAAAGAGTGGGCACCCAAAGCTGAAGAGATCCTGAAAGGCAAATTGCCAGCCGACTCAAACGTGTTTCTGGTACCAGCCACTTTACGGCCCGAGACTATGTACGGCCAGACGTGCTGTTTCGTTGGCCCCAAGATCACATACGGCATCTTCAAGGTGTCAGAAAAGGAGTACTATCTCGTCACCGATCGAGCTGCCCGGAATATGGCTTACCAGAGCGTTTTCTCCAAGGAAGGTTCGATAGAGAAAGTCGCTGAAATTGCAGGATCTGACGTTGTCGGGACTCTGGTACATGCTCCTCTCTCCCTTCACACCGAGGGAGTTAGGGTGCTTCCGATGGAAACCGTTCTCCCAACCAAGGGCACCGGTGTGGTGACTTCTGTGCCGTCTGACAGCCCCGATGACTATGCGACGGTAACAGATCTTGCCAAGAAAGCCGCATACTATGGTATCAAGGAGGAATGGGCCAAGATGGAAATCATCCCCATTATCGACACCCCGTCATACGGCGACCTGTGCGCGAAGACCCTCGTGGAGAAGCTCAAAATCGCATCGCCGAAAGATACGAAACAGCTAGAAGAAGCAAAAGAACTTGCCTACAAAGAGGGATACTACCAGGGTATCCTCAAGGTTGGCGAATTCAAGGGTGAAAAGGTCGAAGTTGCCAAGCCGAAAGTCAGACAGCAACTCATCGACGCGCGCGAGGCTTTCGCATACTCAGAACCTGAGAAGAAGGTTGTGTCAAGATCCGGCGATGACTGCATCGTCTCTCTCATGGACCAGTGGTACCTCGATTATGGCGAGGCTTCTTGGCGGAAAACTGCTCTTGAATGGGTAGACAACGCAGAAGGCAAGGGTATGGACACGTACACAGCAGAAACCAAGCGTGCCTTTGAGGGTGCTCTGAACTGGCTGAACCAGTGGGCGTGTGCGAGATCCTTCGGCCTGGGCTCAAAGCTACCGTGGGATCCTCAATTCCTGGTCGAAAGTTTGAGTGACAGCACGATCTACATGGCTTACTACACCGTTGCGGTAAGTAAACGTCCTCTCGCCAGACCAGCAGGCTTCTTCCTACACTCTTTTTAACTTTTCGGTCGGTGCTAACGATATGATAGTATGTGAAACCAATTCCCTTGCTTCCTTGCCTTCCATTTCTCCCATCAACCCCGTAGTGGTAATTGGGGAAGTGGTCGATTTCTGTTTCTAGGCGGCGTACTAATGTAGAACAGGCACATCCTACACAAAGATGTTTTCGGAAGGGAAAAGGGCATTGGGAATATTGGGCCCGAGCAAATGACAGATGATGTCTGGGACTATATCTTCTGTCGTCGCGAACTTGGCGATGACGTTCTTTCCGGATCCAGCATACCCAAGGAGACTCTGCAAACGATGAGGCGAGAGTTCGAATACTTCTACCCTCTCGACATCCGGTAAGTGCTTGCGCTGTTCCCGCTAGCGTCGTAGTTGACTGCACGACGCCTGGTGCCTTCTTACATGACTGCTGCTGCAATAACGCGGATACTGACTGTCTTATGTAGGGTTTCCGGCAAGGACCTGATCAACAACCATCTTCTGTTCTTCTTGTATATCCACCTCGCCATCTTCCCCCCGGAGTACTGGCCAAAGGGTGTTAGAGCCAACGGCCACCTGATGCTGAACGGCGCAAAAATGTCGAAATCCACCGGTAAGTAGATTTGAGTCCAGGCAGACAGAGCGTGCATTCACTGCAAATCTGCAATTGCCAAGAACCCAACTAACATGGACCAAGGAAACTTCATGACACTGAACGATTTGACCATGAAGTACGGAGCGGATGCTTCGCGCATTGCACTCGCTGATGCTGGAGATGGAATTACCGATGCCAACTTTGAAGAAGACGTCGCAGACAACAACATTTTACGACTATACAACCTTCGTGAATGGTGTGAAGAGGTTGTTAGAGATGAAAGTCTGAGGACAGGAGAGCTCAACAACTTCCAGGACGCCCTCTTCAACAACGAGATGAATACGCTTGTTGCAGAGGCCGAGCAACACTTCGAGGAGACAAACTACAAGCTCGCACTTAAGGCTGGTCTCTACGAGTTCACCAACGCTCGTGATTTCTACCGTGATGCTTGCAACTCGGCTGGCATCAAGGTGCACAAAGACCTCGCTGTACGATACGTCGAACTTCAAGCACTGCTTCTTGCAGTGTTCGCGCCCCACTGGTCTGAGTACATGTGGCTCGAGGTCCTGAAAAAGCCCGAGACGATACACAACGCCCTATACCCGAAGGTGCCACCAACCGATGCAGGACTTACTGCAGCGCGTGAATACGTGCGCACTACCGCATCGAACGTCAACTCGGCTGAGGGTGCCCAGCTGAAGAAGAAGGCTAAGGGCAAGGAGATGACATTCGATCCCAAGAAGCCCAAGAAGCTCACCATCTTCATGAGCGATAAGTTCCCGGCGTGGCAAGAGAAGTACATCGATCTCATTCGGATGGTGTGGGACCCAGCAACAAAATCCATACAGAACGAGAAGGAGCTCAGCGGCAAGATTGGCAAGATGGGTGAGGTGAAGAAAGCTATGCCCTTCGTCCAAGCTCTGAAGAGACGCCTCCAGGCCGGCGAGCCTGCGGACAAGGTCTTGGAGCGAAAGCTGGCATTCGACGAGAAGGACACGCTGCTCGCGATGGTGCCCGGTCTCAAGAAGACGGCCGGTCTCCAGGTCGTTGATATCATTCACGTGGAAGGAGGTAAGAAGGGGAAGGTCGTGACTGCGGATGGAAGCGAGAAGGAGGGTCTGCCGGTCCAGGCCGAGCTCGCCGTACCAGGCGTGCCTACTTTCCTTTTCGAGAACGTAGAGTGATCGCAGAGGAGAATGAGATGGTATTGTGGTTATCGTCGCGCCATATGAAGATGAACCGAGAAGTGTAGACATAGGCAGCCATGATAGCATTACTCATTCTAGCTATGTTCGGGTTAAAATGGAGATGTTGTTTTGTTATGTGGCCAAGAGAAAAATCAAACGTTTGATGAAGCGTTATGGAACCGACGCTCCTCACGTGACAGGTCATGGAGCGATGTGGCGCGAAGGTTGTGATCTCCATGCCCGAAAGAACACACCCCATCAGGCGTACACTACACACGCTGAGAGCAGGTGCTCTGCACATCGTACACTGAGGCAGGTGCCCATCTCCTAACACGTGAAGTCTCCTTGCTTCCTTGCTGCGTTCCATGTACCCGTAAGCCGCAGACTGATCAGATAGCATCACTTAAAACGTATGTGCTGCATTAAGCAAGGCCGTGTAAGATCAACGCGAAGCAAGTCAATATATATATCGACCAACTGGGGGGGGGGGGTTGGTTTGGTATCTCATGCAAGTCCAATCTCCCTCTACATCCATCATACTCCGGAAATAATAGTATGCCGGCAACGGCACCAGCCAGCGTCTCTCATGCAGCCTCCTGCACCATTACCACTCGTGACTACCATTATGTCTATAGCCCCCTCCTTCACCCCTTTTCAGCAAGTCTTCCTGAATATCAATAAGTCCGCTCCCACGAAATCCACCAGACGCCCACATTCGCCGCCACAGCCAGGTCCAGCATCTTCAAGCCCTCATCGAACACGATCAGCTTACCCATCTTGGCTCTCTTGCCCCTGTTGCCGCCCCCGGCTTTCTCCTTGCCGAGGCTCAGGTCCAGCGGGTAGTTGTCGTCGTAGTCATCACTGTCGCTGTTATAGTCGTTGGAGCGGCCCTGCGCCTTGGAGAGCACGCGGTTGAAATGTGTTTGGAGCTGGTCGCGCGCCCGTACACCGCCCTCGCCGGACCGCCGCTCGGCTGAGAAGAGCTCGCTGCTGGGTAGGTTGAACCGAAGTTCGCTGATCGGCTGTGTCTTGCCCTCGCCGAAGCCGACGCCACCGCCGCCGCCACTGCCGCCCTCTTCTGGCCCGTCAACCAGCGGGTTAAAAACTCCGCCACCGTAGTTGGGCAGCACGTGGCGGCATTTGAGACTGCGCCCGCCGTTGCCGGTTAGGAACTCGCAGCGCCCGTCCCAAGGGCTGTAGAATGTGTAGCCGCGCGGCTTGAGGCCGGGTGCCGGCTGCGTAATGACCGGCGGCTCGCTGCCGTCAAAGTCCCCACCGAACGACCCGACCGATGTGGAGCTGCCGTGGCGACCGTGGCCCTGTGGCCGTTTGAAAGGTGAGGCGGGTCGTCCGTCGTCGGAACTGCGGCGGCGGAAGCGGTGTTTGAGGTTGGCGGTAAAGGACGGTGAGTACGCCATCTTGACCTCGCGCTCGAAGGCTCCCGAGGCCGGCATGTGCATGAGGGTATCGGGGATCTGCAACTTTCTCCCCGATGAAGAGCTACCGGGGCGCGGGTCGAGTATTGCTTTCATGTCCACGTCGGTGGGCATGCCGCGGAATTTGGCATAGCCCGATGTTTCGAGGTGGATGCTCACTGACGGAGAGGGCTGGTGGTGCTTCTCCTCGCTGATGAGCTCGGGATTCTCCAGCTGGAAGGAGGCGACCTTGCCGACATTCCACTGCTGCCCCGAGCTCGGGTCTCTCCTTATGAGGGTTAGAGAAAAGGGCACAAAGGGACGTTGCTTGGTGGGTGAGTCTGAGCGGCTGTTGTCCATAGGGACGGGCGCATGAGATGCGAACCCGTCCGTCGGATGGGCTGCGGGAGGTAGGACCTTGGGTCGTGTTGGCAGCGGAGGGGGTTGGTCTTCACCGGCTGGCGAATGATAAGAAACGGGGGACTGGTCGTGCCTGGGTGGTACCGGTGGGAGGTCTCTCCCAGCCACATCAGCTGTCCTCAAGTTGGGCACAAGGGGCTTGCGCTGGATAGGCCCGGTCGGCGGTGTCGGGTTTGAGGGCGCTCGAGACCTTTGACCAGACGGCATTGCCGAACTCTGTCCAGGCACGGGCTTTCGCGATGGCTTCCGCGTTGGCATTCCGAGACTATGGTTCTCCTTCTCTGCCGTAGGCGCCGGCGCAGTCCATCCGTCCCCACCTCCTCCTGACGATGGCGATTCTAGCTCATTTGGTAGTGGCTTCCTATGGATCTGGGACACTGGGCTCTCCTCACTCGATCTAGGAGTGTGAGATTCCCTGGACATGTCCGGAGGCAGGAGAGGTTCATCTTCGGGCACATCCAGATGCACGTAGTACAACGAGCTGGCGACATCCTCGGCCGTAACATTTTTGACCTGGGGCTTCAATGTAGAAAGAATAATGTCTAATATCAGTGTCAGAAGCGGCGCGCGGACTTCGGTGCGGTTGTGGTTTGAGGCCTACCCCTGGTGCCGGGAACGCGCGAAATGTAAAGAGTGAGCGGATCCTGTCTTTCACCGGTCGGCTTCTTGGGATACTGGGGAGGGTTGGAGGCGAGGTTATTGAGAGTCGCCAGCGACCGAGCTTCGACGTACTCAGCCATAGTTGGTGAGCTGCTGCAGCCTGAAGTGAAAGGACGTCTCTCGCTGAATAAGGTAAGGTGAGGAATGTTGCTGTGGACTCGAGGCGGGTACCAAATGTTTCCTTGTCGCCGCCGATGCCGCCGTGGCAAGTAAACCAACGGAGCTAGTTGGGGAAGAACAACGAGCGAAGTCCCAACGAGTCCCCAAATGCCAGTGAGTGGGTGAGTCGACAACCAGGTTCAGCTAGGGTGTCGCTCGAACAGCTGGAGTGCGAAAAGGAGCGGAATTGCGATGACGATCAATGGCGTTGCCCAGGTGTCGGGCCTAAATATGGAAACAACCTGAAAGTTGGGCTGTTTTTGGATTGAAGGGAAGCACCCCGGCTGCCGGGCTAGCAAGCAGGCACTGCCGGGGCAAAGGACCAACAGGACCAGATTTGCCACGTAGGCACGCGCAGCCAAAAGAAAATCACAAGTAGAGGGTATCCCGGGTCAGCACAAGCCCATCTTGTGTCATCAGTTTGAGAGTCGTGGTGTCGTGAGCACTTCGACTGCCTGCGTCACCGTTGAGGCTGTGCTGTGTCTGATTTGGCTGCTTTGGGCGCTGTGTCATCTGCCGCCCGTGGTAATATTGCCTACTTAGTATTTACTGTCTACAGACATATAACCTCTATATGCGTATGTATGCTTCAATCCATACGCTAGATGCTGTATCAAATGCAGACACCGCTCAACACTGAAAGTATACTTACTCTATCAGTTCCTTCAACGATGTGTCATCAGGTGCCTTTGAGCATGAGGACAGGTAAGCCGACGCGTACTCTTCTCATCGCGACTCGTTCAATGGCTCCCCCATCGTGGCCTGGCTGCGGAGCAGTGGCTCAGTCTCCGGCAATATCGTCAGATCGCCATTTGCACCAATAGCCGCGCGACGCGCCGCTACCCACCAGAGAACCGCCTGGCCAACCGCGTAGAGGGCATTATGTATATAAGTCCACCCGAAAAACCTGTACCAGTACAGGACGTCCCTGCCTGATGAGTTCCCGTGGTCGAATCTCCACGGCCAGCAAATGGCCAGGAGCGCAAACGCGACCGCCTGCGCTCCGAGCCCGGGAACGCTCAACGCGCCGGGAGAGGATGACCGCCGTGACGTCTCCAGGGCTTGCGCCCACACCGCTGCCCCGAGGCCCAAGATGGTCAGTATCGGGTCCACGAAGACCGTGTGGATGCCGTGGACAAGCCCGACGAGGATGTCGCCGCCCTTCATGCCCTCGTCGGCCTTCCACGGCCCGGCAGTGGCGAGGAGGATGACCGGGCCAACGAATATCACCACGTATACGACGTAGATGACGAAAGAGGCCGCTCTGGCGCCCCGTCGCTCAGGCTGCAGGTTCAGGACTGCGGCGAAGCTGGTCGCGAAGCCGTTCGATTAGAACCAAGGTCCGATCCGATCCGAGCCATGTCGAGGGAGGTCTGGGCCATACTCACATGCCTAGGGAGCAAACACATGCAAGCGCACACTGCGCGAAGTCCACCCATCCATTGACGCCAGGAGGCCGATAGAGATCAGAGTCGAATCTCAAGACGCCGAAGAGGGCAATGGCAATCTGCTCGGTGAATGCTGCGGCGTTCAACAGGGCGTAGGTCAACGAGATGCCGGAGCAATCCGCTCGCTTGATGATGCGGTAGTATTGCGGTAAGAAGGACACAATCGTTAAAACCAACAGGATTCTGGTCACTGTCAGTTTGTGGTCCCCGTATTGAGTATTCGTGGGCAGTGCTCACATTCGGAACCAACTGGGTATGCTGAACGCCACCATGTCGACGCTTATAAGTCAGTGCCTGATAGATAACAACAAGCTCCCTCGCGCGCTCTTCCGAGACTAATATCTCGACACTGCTTGACGCGGTATATTCAGTGTGGGCGGTGAGTACGCCTGGCTAAACATGGAGGGAAGTTGAAAGAGTCGGGGTGGGTATATGCATCGCAAGGAGGGGTCCAGACGCTGACACGAGCACCACTGCATGCAAGCAGCGTCGCGGCGTTGCACATCATGCAGGTCTGTAGGCACCAGCCACACACACACTTTTACAGAAGTTAAAGGATCACACTGCGGACTTCATACATGTTTTCAATGTCAGTGCGAGGTAGGTACCATGTGGGTGAACTCCAAGTTTGTTTATATATTGGGATGCCAGACGCAGTGCTGCACCTAGTCGGTAGTTATAGAGAGAGACGGGATCGCCTACGCGACTAAGACCTGATACGGATCTCCTGCCACTCACGCAGCAAGCAAAACCCCCTATCTGATCTTCACGCGGGGTTCGGATACCACGCAACAAGTACGACACACCCGGATTGAGACGCACCATATCCTCACTGAACCATTCAGGAACCGAGTAATAACATAAATGCCGGTGTGGGAAACTCTGATCTCTGCTTCCGGTAGCCATGGCTGCTACCATCTTTTGCGGCAAACGCGTATGTCGAGCTGATAACGGGGCGCGGCGAAGCTGGCGAGACCGAAGAGTACGACAACGGCACAGTATCGCTCTATAGCCTCCCGGCACGCGGCACGGCTAAAAATGTTGAGCTTCTTCCCGCTCAGGGTACGTTGACCTTGTGTTTTCGATTTAGAATTTCCATTCAGGAGAAGATTGTCCGGAGCGGGTAGGAATCTGGACGACAAGGTGTGCGCGCTGTGGGGGAATGTATACAGACGGGCGGTCACGCCAAGTTCGACGTATGGAGGCTGCCATGGACGTGTGGAAAAGAGAAGGTGAGGACGACAAGTGGTGACCTTGATGTGCAGGATATCCGTTATGGACGAGCATCGCGACAACCAGACCCATAAGCATGTCGAGTGTAGTGTTCAGAGAGGAGAGCACGCAATCAGCCCGCCGACACACAGAAACACAAAAGCTATAGCCGCGATGGAGAATGCGCCGATGGCCAAGGTGAGAGGGAAGCACTTATCTCCCCCGGCGTAGTCGCAGGCACCCCAGGAGCCGAACGCGAGGAAGATGATTAATACCATGGAGGCCATCTTGAGACTTTGATTGACGTCCTTCTCTGGTAGCGTAATCTGGGGCCGCAAGGGCCGCTGCGCCATCTAGTCCATCTCGATATACGCTGGTGCTGCTTCCGGATCGTATGCGGTGGCCATGGGATCAAGCGGAGGACAGAATAGACGTGGTTTGGTTTCGTAGCTTGGGGCGAGGTTTTGTGGGGTGACTAACTGGTGATGGTATTCGGTAAAATTCCTAGAGGTCGAAAGGACTGGGAGAGGGTTGAAGTAGTTCGCTACTGCAATTTGCTCGTCACCGCTTTTCCGTGGGAACGTGGCTGAACCTAGAATCAAATAAAATATTAAGCGTGGATGAAATCTGTGATTCAAGAGTTTCATGGGGCTTCAACGACGATTCCTAGGTATCTATCCCAGCCCGACAATATGGGATTATGACCGCTCGAGGGACATGTTCTCGTGTGGAGAATTTCCGAAATAAAAAGGCTAGAGTCAGTTGTCGTCCTAATGCCATTGTGGTGTCCAAATTGGGAAGCAAAGAAATCAATTTCATCCGATCACGAGCCAGCTTGCTGAGATGCTCTGTTATGATCAAGGACTGCCATGGCAATGTAGCCTAACGGTGGCTTGATTAAACTCCCTCATTGATGTGTTTAAGCGCCCTGTCTTGCACATCCTGTACCATGGGCCTACTCACTGGCTTATAGTCCTCCCCGAATAGTGGGTGGCTGTGCAGATTCTGAAGTGTTGGCCCATGTTGTTTAGAACCTTGATAATTGTGTTTAACGTCACTTACAGTGTAATACGATGAACTCATGTCCTGGAAAGAGGGAGAGGCATGCTGGCGGAGGCCTCGCGACTACCCTGACTAACCGTTCCAGTCCATTGCCACGGCCGGCGCCCCCTTATGCCGCTAGCACTGGCTCATGGTCGATTGGCTTTGGGCTTTATTTCCTGCAGCCTTCCTACCTATGAAGGATCATACCATTCTCCTTCTTGGTAGAAGTAATGTCTCCGGTACTTAGAGCAGGATTCTAATATGCACGCAAGAACCCGGGGCGCGAAAGCAACGTCTGTGCGTATCCGGCTCCGACGCGGCGGTGATTACGCCAAAGACGGCTCCCGCTGGTCTTATGCCGGATGGCCTACGTGGAGCGACGTTGGCGATGGCCTGGGTAAGATTGCGCATCACCACCAGGGGGATTCCAATGGAAACAGCTTTGTCGAGTTTAACCTCGACGTCCTAACCGTCATTCAAGGTCGTGGACGCCGTCGACACCGTTGCGAGATAGCCGAGTTTCCTCTTTCGTCTCACCACGAAGTGCCTGAAAGTCATGGTTCGTCAGCCAGATATGTAGCTACTTAGGATGGACTTACCCCGGGGGCCTCAGGACTCCGAACAAGGTGCTGTCCGTAGGTATCTCAGCATCTTCTGGGATTAGGTCAATATATTCATAGAAAATGCGTGCTTGATTAGGTAGTTGCGCAGGAGTGATCATTGGGCTCTGAGTTTCCAGGTATGGTGGTTGGATTGGTTGGCGGGGTGTTTTTGCTGCCCCATGAGCTTGGTTTCGGAGGGCCTGGTTTTCGGATCGAAGACGTTCATTTTCGGCCGACAATTGTTGAGTCTCATTCAATAAGATAGTGTTCCTCTCTTCAAGCAACTTGGTCTCCGTCTTCGGTCGTCCAGGACATGACGAAGAGACGCCAGTGGCGGGCTCCTGTCCCTTGTTCTTATCGCCTGATGGGGCTGGCGAGTCCCCGGGTACACACATGGCATCTCCCTGCAGACTCGTGAGACCGGCTTCATGTTGCCGCGAAGTACCTGCTTGGGAGTGCACAGGACCCGCGGGGCTAGAAGGATGTCGGCCCACCAGGTATGGCGCTTCATACCGTGGGTAAGCCTGTCCCTGTGCTGGTGCGAAGGGCTGGTCCGGGAATGAGCGCGTTGCGATCTGGGCAAAGGCTGGTGTCCTCGGAGGTAGGCATTGTCCGTGTGCCACAAAGGGGAGCCGTGGAGGGCTCAGGGGTTGCTTCTGCTTCGGCTTCCTGGGCTTTCTGGGCCGCGGCGGCGCCTTGACTCTTGGTTTCGGCTGCTTTGGCTGTGGCGCCTTGTCCCCCATCAACTCTATCGCTCGAGCCTTTCTCGCCGCTTGCGTGTCTGGCTCCTTCATTTTCTGTTCCACCCATTTCTCTACATCGATCTCGCCCAGGGCCCTTGCCTCATCGGCCAGTGTTGGTTTCAGCTCGGTTAGTGCCTTTCTCCTTGCCCAATACCTAACGTTCTCGGTGGCACCTGCCTCGTCTTCAAGTAGTCCCCACTGCCTCTGCAAGCGTCGGACTGTGCTGGCATGTTTGCTAAGAACCATGCCTCGGGCTTTCAGGACTCTTGCGATCTCGTCTGCCGAAACGCCATCATGGGTCAGCTGGTGATTATCTCCTTGCGGATCGGTTTATCCTTTTGCACCCTGTTCTTGTTCGGGTCTGGTCTCAGGCCGGGTTTACGACGCAATTGCCTGGGTTTCGCAGCAGAGGGTTCGCCGTATGTATCGGGTATGTCTCGTTCTTCGGCTTCCAGGCGTGGGTCGAGCTCAAGTGCGTCGGGCTGAGAAGAGTGCCACGAACAGGTTGACACGGTGGGCGAGCTGGGAGGTACGCTCAGCGAAGTTGTCGACATAGCGGGAGACTAGCCAATCGAAAACATCGATTGGCACGAACGGGTATTGTAACCTCGGACACGGCGATCCGATAGGTTGCGTACCGCTGGCCAGCCTTGAAATCGCACTCAACCCGACGCGCTGTAGTTAGAGACGCGACGCTGGCGCCGCGGCTTAGGAAATCTCAGGTACCGCCTTTTCCAGGCAACTCGTCTACGGTGTGCACCTACCACCTGTTCGCCAAGCCTGACAAGTTATAACCGAATCCTTATCGTGTTGACGATAGATCTGCGTGATTGCAGGCTTCCCCGGATTCTAGAGCCAATAAGGATGGTAGAAGTCTAGCTTGGCAAGCAGGTGGTAGGTGCACGCTGTAGTCGAATTGCCTGGAAAAAGCGGTAATCACGACACCGCTCAGGCCACCCCACAGCAACTAGACCTTAGCCAGCAAGCCGGGGCATAAATCGAATAAATTGCATAATGACCCGGCATACTTGACTGGAATAACTACAGGCTTCCTAATCCTCGTCTTCATCCATCTCCTCGTCGTCGTCATCATCGTCATCATCATCATCATCGTCATCATCATCATCATCGTCATCCGAACCCGAGGGCGGGTCGACGTTAGCAACAAGGCCCCCATTCGTGTTCATCAGCTCGGGCATGCTGTATATCTCCCTGGGCAGCCCCTCATCGCCGTCGACCACGCTCTTGGGCGCCGTGATGATCCCGAACTCGAAAGTGAACCCGCTACCGTTATCGCTCCGGCCGTAAAAGCCGATTATCCGCTCGTCTGCCCCTGCCACGAGATGGCGAACTACGGCATTCCCGTGGTGGTGGTTAATGTTGATTGCGCCCCAGGACTGGCCGTTTGATAGTGTCATGCGGCAGCCGTCGAGGCTGCCGTGGTGATTGCCGGGGTTGATGGACACCCTGGTGATCTCGAAGACGTCTCTTTCCGAGAGCGTCTTGTGTTGGTGTTGATGTCCGCCGTAATGAGACTGGTCGGCCTTGCCGCAGTTGGCTCGTGTGCCGTCGTTATCTGCGAGAGTGTCAGTGATCACTCTTTCAGACAATATAGCAAGGACGAAGGGGTGCAGTGCAAATGCACATCTCGAGCAAAAGCTCCGAGATAGACCATAAAGCGAATTTACTCCCGGTGCATGGCCTGGGGAAGAAGGAAAGGCTTCTGGATTTACGTACAGTGTATGACGGCTCCGTCCATCGTGGCTCCGATCCGCAGGTCGATTTTGTTGGCGTACGTCAGACGCGATCCTCCCTCTCGATGTCTTCGCTTCAGGAGCATGGCCCATCTCCACCAGTCCCTGCTGCCGTCGTCGTTCTGCTCCAGATGGGCGCCTTTGATGGAGCGCTTTGACAGCACCAGGGAAGTCCCGGGCACCTTGATGAAGGGCTGGTCTGCAAGCAGACTCCACAGGTCCTTCACCTTGTGCATCTTGCCATGCATGCTCAGCACCTCGATCCCTATGGGCCGTGAGCGGTCAAATTCCTTCTCTAGCGCCTCCGTCGTCAAGATGTGTTTGGTGGGACCGGGGGTGATCGTGTTGTCGAGCTCTTCCTTGCTGCAGAAGTTGATCTCTTTCACGACCTTGTCAACGTCGTCGGTAAAGCGTATTCTGGCCAGACCCGCCAAGCTGGTTGCTTCGAAGCAGGCTTCGTCCTGGTCGTTTAGGACACAGCGGACCATCACCGGACTGTCCTGCTCCGTCGCAGTATATCGCCTATCGCCAGGGAGCTTGAAGTGATCCTTGGCCAACAGCCTCAGCGCGTCTTGAAGATCCCACAGAGGACTAGGCCTTTTGCCTGACTGTAAGTCCTGCAAGTAGACTTGGTGTTAGCAAGATTTGCAGACTGGAATAATAATTGGCATAAGCATGTGGCATAAGCCTTTGTAATAGGGGCAATTGACTGGCATGACCACTAAGCCGCTGCTTATTCCCCTGAGATCATTGTTTCTACCGCTTGATTGCGACGGGGAGAGACGACCAACCTTTTCACCCGCTCGGGGTAGTGCGAGGAAAGCGTCACACCACGGCTTCGAAGATTCGATGGTCCTTGTCCCGGCCGTCATCTCAGCACCGAAGGCACCTCGTATCTGTTGGAGCATGGACTCCTGTCCAAAACAACATGCTCCCTGCATGGTTGAGCACGCGCCGCGGTCGTTGGCAACCGCATCACCCGTGGGCGTAGTATCGAGCAAACAGCTCGGGATCTCTTCGAGAAACCTCGGCCAAGCATAGGTGGTATGGCTGCCAAAAACGCCCAGAGAAAGACCTGCTGGCTTGTGACACCCACGTGCTGCGTGTGCCAGAATGAGGCTCTTTTCAACAAAATAGTGCGAGTCCTGGATCATACCGGCAACCACTGGACGGGTTGCGCCGACGAACGGTGAGCCGTGATGAGCGAGGGCTTCCTCGAAGTAGGTGTAGAGTCCCTCGCGGTTACGACTGCGGTGGTTCTGCTGCGCGACATCGGCGTTGCGTAGCTCAGCAAGACTCCTCTCGCTTCGGATCACTTGAACCTTCGCTATGGCGTCCATTCTGGCTGTATCCGGGTCGCACTGCAGAGACGAGGCGGTGGTAGTGTCGACACCCCATTCCTCGTCGAGGCGAAAGCTCCGTCTTCCCAGCCCGCGCAGACGAAAGTCCTCGGCCACGAGAGCCTGCCACATGTATGCTGCCATCTTCAGCTTCTTGATGGCGGCATCCAAGCTACTGTGAGCACTGCTGATGGCGCCATGCTTTGCAGGCGGGCAGTCCATCAAGAGAGGCGAGTCCCGAGCCACCATGATGGCAAGATGGAGAGGCGGAAGCTGCAGCAAAGGTTGGTACTGCAGACTGATCCGCTCGGAGCCGCACATGCTGCCCTTGTGGTGCAGGTCAAAGTCAACCCTGTTTGGACCGGGCTGCAGCATCAACAGACACTTGAATGTCCCATTTGCAACCGGCCAGTTCTGCTGGGGCACCGACTGATGGAAGCCATCCCTGGCCCTTACAGCGACGAAATCTTCGGGGTCCGAATAGTCGTGGCACGTGCCTGTGACCAGCAGACAGTGCTGGTACACTGTCTCCTCATTCCTCACGTTGGTGAGCTGGAGCCTCGCGCGGGGCATCTTGCCGGTATCCTGTAAGTGGTCAGTCGCCCGCCTTTCACTGGGATTGCATGGTCTACCTGAGGCGCGGCATTTGCTTTTGATGTCCAGCTGGAGAGCATGATGGGGTGATAGGTTGACTTGACAGTACCTCAGCAACAGAGTGATGGTGTTGAAGCCGAAGTGAGTCGACCTTGAAGGAGGCGCAGACCTTTATACACTATTGTGGTCGGTTGACTCACCAACAGTCGTACCTCATCTCGAGTCTAGGCAACATCGCGGTTCGAGTGGTCGAAATCCATGGGTACTATTTGCTCTGGGCCAGGGATTATCAGGCGGCAGCAGCCGCTAAGCCCAGAACCGTAGACTTTCTAGGCAGGGCCGCCCCAGTGGCAGCCCTCCTCGCACTGCTGCGATTGCTTGCCAGACGGTGGCAGCTGGAGCTGGTTAGCCGCCCTTGCTTTGAGGCTTTGCTGCCTGCAGGTGGTCAATAAGCGAGACCACTCAACTTCAACAACTCTCTGTGGCAGCACTGCGCCACTTCTTTTCTTCACGACAGATACTGCCTGACAGTTGACCTCACCTGTGCATATGAGCGAGGCTCAGCTCGGCAGCGTGCTGCGCATGCTCCCACATGGGCATGTGTGGCAACCCTCGATCAGGTGTATGGCGCTTCATCTCAGACGGCTCCAAGTATCGCACCTCTTGAATTCTTGAAATGTTTCACGTCTTTGCGTTCGCTGAACCGTGTTATTCAACACAAGCGTTGGCTGTTCGTTGGCCCATTCGGTAATTGAGAATGGCCGAGGCTTTGGCCGCTGGTGCCAGCGTTGTGGCGTTCCTGCAAGTTCTACATCGAGACCGTCCGGGATGCCCCAAATAAATTGAGGCTCATTCTCATCGAGGTCTCTGCGCTGAAGAGCATCGTCGAAAATCTCGAGTTCTTCATCCGCACCGGTTCTGCCCAGATATCGAAGGTTGTCGGGGAGCTGGACAGCCCAGATGGCAGCCTCGTAGCATGCCGTCGGGCTCTCGCTGGCTTGGAGAAGCTTTTCCCGCCTATTCACGCCGCCAATGGGTACCACGCTGGGCAGTCCACTCAAGCTCCGGGGAATAAACGTCAAAGAATCGCTTCCACCTTGACATCGCTAGCATGGCCTTTGAAGAGCACGAGGGCCCAGAAGTTGCTTGGTGAAACACAGCAGCACAAGTCAGCCTTAACCCTATCACTGTCATTGGAACTCAGGTACGAAATACTATCCGATCTCCAACGAGCCTGTTATGTCATACCTGCGAAATAATTGGCAATGGTGTCGCTGACGTCCGCAGCCATGATATTAAAGACGTGAGACGGGGACTCGGTCAAGTGGAAGAGAGCGTCGCAGGTGAGTAGGCTCACAATCACAACACCGGGGTGCAGATAGGCTCACTCTTTGGGAAGAAGCGAAACGGGCCGAGCTTTCTCGCTGGCTAGTGAAAACTGATCCATCTCCCATCCATGCAGAAGCAATGAACCGTCACGAGAAGGACACAGGTCTGTGGTTCCTGCGTTCTCAGGCATGGCTCGGTTGGGTCGACAAGGGAACCCGATTCATCTGGATCTATGGGATTCCTGGAGCTGGCAAGACCATATTGGCCTCATTCATCGTCCAGAACATTCCCCGGTCGGCGAAGACTACGGGCATGGCTTACTATTACTGCTACTTTGGCCACAACCAGGATGCGAGTCTTCCACTGCTAAGGTGGATCTTAAGTGAGCTGGTGGCCCAGTCACCGGAATCTCCCAAAAAGCTGGACTTGATGCAAAGAGGCAAAATCGTGGTATCCAAGGAGAACTGCTTGGATTGTTTGAGCGAGCTTATCGGTAACTTCGACGTCGTTTACATTGTCGTCGATGCTTTGGACGAAAGCCGGGAGCCTCGCGACGGACTACTAAGTCTCATCAACGTGTTAGCAACGGATGACCGGTTCGCAAAAATCCAGCTTCTGGCGATGAGTAGAGAATATTCTGACATAGGTTCCGCACTTACAAACATCGCGGTCTCGGTGCCTATGGATGTTGCATCCGTACGGGAAGATATCCGTACTCACGTCAAATCGATATTGAGTACCAATCGGAGGTTCGTCAAATGGCCTTCGTATCTTCGTACCGAAGTCGAAGACGCATTGGCCGTCGGTGCAAAGGGAATGTGAGTGATTCAAATTGCTTCGACGACCCAGATCTCCTAATGTCTCTAGGTTTCGCTGGGCCATCTGCCAGCTTGATATTCTCCAGCGATTGCAGACTGTGGCAGACATACGAGCAGCGTTGAAAGACTTGCCTGAGACCCTGGACGATACTTATGAGCGGATTTTTGGTTCGATATCTCGGTATGACCGGACTATTGTGCAACGAGTCCTGGCAATACTATGCTCACTCCCCATCCGGGCTAATGGCCTCAATCTCCACATCCTATGGTCTATGGTCATCGAGGAATGTAAATACGATACTGACGACGAGCAAGCGATTCTCGGCAACGAAGACACACTGAAGGACGTCTGCGGCTGCCTCGTTACGAGCGCGGGCACCCAGCTCGTGAAGCTGGCCCATTTCACCGTGCACGAATTTTTGGTTTCCACAAGGATATGGAAAAACCGGAACGCTGACGTCCGCTTCTTCGCGACGTCGAACGAGATGTCAAATTTGGAATTCACTAGAATCGCTCTCGATGGTGCTAATAGCGTCACCTTCGTGCACCCTGGGCTGTTCGACTACGACAACAACCTTTACGACCACTTGATTTGCTCTTCGTGGTGTATGATTCGTATTCGGGGCGACAGCCTTCGAGAGGCTGCCGACCTCGAGGCTGTATTCGCCTTTTTGAATCCGTGCAGGCCCCATTTCCTACGATTGTGCTGTGCTGCTACGAGATTTTCCCATCCCACTCCTGACCTAGAGGAGCCCGGCTTGGACCAAGCAGACGCGATGATACTATGGGTACTCGTAGAAAACGGGTTGTCCTCGTTAGCGGACAGGTTCTTGGAATCAAGAGACATCGCGCAGATTTTGGATTCCCAAATCGCAATTCTACACAATCCGTATGACACCTCGCCCATGTCTACGCGCGGTGTAGTCTCCTCGGTTGCGGGAGACTGCTCATACAAAGGGTCACTATCGAACCATATCAGGAGCGACTCGAGCAGGTTATCCCTTTTTCGATCGTTTCTCACCGACAGATTTCCCGCGATGATGAGTAAGGTGGAATGGAAATATTGGGCCAGGTCTCCAGAGCTGCCTAGTGGCCAGGGCGTTGGATTGGTAGGCAGAGATCTCAGAAAACCTTCCACAGCCACCCGCAGCAGCTAGCAGACCACAATAGAAGCCACTTGCTAGGCTCAGCACCCATGATCATGAAGGAAATCAATCAATCAAAAAATACTAAAAGATAGCGCTTGCAACACTGAATTGATCGATGTAAAAAGAATCATATGTTGTCTATGCCATTGCTGGGAAATGGGGGAGTAAAGCATCTAGGGCGATTTATAGTGGGTGGCTAGTTGGGCTATGGAAAGCTTCCTGTGATCTCAGTCTGACGGAACGAACATGTAGGAGGTGACGCTCAATCTAGTTGACCATGTATTTTAAGGGTAATATCCACGGTGTATGCGACAAGGTTTGAGCGCTTTCGCGTTTCTGTCTCGACGTTTACGAACATTTCTAGGTTCTGACCTCGGTTCGAATAGGACAATTCTGTACCTGATGAAATTCAGTGATGCTTTTCGACAATGACTTGGACTCTGTATGATATCAATGGAACGCGAGAAAGACTGCACAGCCAATATCATGACGATATCACGGGAAGGGTGGCTGGTCCCGTGACCAGCGTCGGCAACTGAAGTGATGGCCGAAGAAGCCGAAGAGCCGCTCACTATCACCTCTGTCATCAGAACAAATCTGATGACGACAGCAGGAATGTCAGACCTGTCGGATATTATGTCTGTGTCAACTATATTTGGACCAAAACACCTGCAAGGATCAGCAGTCGCAGACCACACACTCGTCGAAAACGGTTCGAGGTTCAGGTTCTGGAGGCTGGATTGCCGCATTGGGACGGCGGCCCCTGTCGCTTGTGACGCCATCGTGCTGCTACGAGAGGGACCCCGTCTGACAGGATGCAAGCAGGGAAGCTCAAACGGGCCAACAGACCATCCTACATGATGCATATTCCTGTCAGTTTGAGGCTATCATGATCATCTATGTACTCGGGCCTACTCAGCTGTCATGCCACCTGAATACAAGTCAATGTATGGATGAATTGGACGTATCATGGTGTTGTTCTGCCCACGGGACACAGAACAGGACTCGGCTCGCTACCTACAGTAGCTTCGCATGCTTTTCGGCTCGTCTGACAACCTAATGCAAGTTTATCTGCCCGCACCGGCGCCAGTAAAACCCTTGCGAGAACCCTGAAGCTTGATTGGGGGTACCACCAAACTGCATCGACAGAAGCAGGAACATATTGATGATTATCGCATTTGCAGATACGACACTGTTGCAGATACGACGGAATGTTGGTACGGCGAGGGGAATTGATCAGTGATGAGAGCATCTGATGATCAGACCGTTGCACCAACAACAAGTGTTTTGTCCCGCCATTGGCATGCCGATCTTCTCTTCTCCTGCGGCCCTGCTGATGTTTCCTGTCGTGCTGCATCATTCGGTGGCCTCTGGTGGCGTTTCAGATGCTTCGCCTGATTCTGTCGCAGTGCGGCACTGAGGATTACGCAGCTTGTCGTCACACACACATACTCACGCTCACACTCACACATAACACTGCCCTACACACCATCGCGAGCAGAAGGAGTGGTGTTGGTGTTGGCTGGCATGCGTGAGGGGGATCGGGATGGGGAATAGGATTCCTGTCTTGTTTCTGCTATCGTTCCCGACGTCCTCCACATGTCCCAAGATAACCAGAGGCAGCAGCCCTCCTGCAGCCCCTGTCCGTCGGACCCAATGCTGGGACCCGCGCGTCGTTGTGGTGGCGTTCTTTATTGCGCAAGTCTCGCCTGTCTGTCACCGGCCGTCTGTCTGTCGGTCGGTCTGCAGTGATACGTGGCCCACACGCCATCAATCCTTTTAGAGCCCTTGGCCTAGGATGAGAATGGAATGGGATCACGGCACCAGGCTGCTCTGGCCTGCCAACCCGAAGTGACAGGACCGACGGCGTCCTCCAACAGCCAGCAGCGTCTTTACTATTTTTGACTAGCGAAACTGATGGTCTACTTGTAAAGCTGTTATGCGCGTCTGCCCGGTTTATTACTGCTGAAGAGGCTGAAGGAGGCGCGGCAGCCGATTCGAACCAGCCTGGCTAGCCTGGGGGCCATAAATGATAATAGGATCTCCCATTATCCACCGGGGGGGTGTGTTTTGCTCTGCGACGATGATGTCGTGCAAGAAACACCGCAGCCCACATATTCTATTCCCTTGACCCTCTGACCCCGACCCGATGCTTGCAAGTTGCTTGTACAACTGGGCAGGGAACCGGGGGTGAAGATCTTCTCTCTTGATTACCTATCTGCCTATTTACTATCTCCATCTCCCCTCGTCCTCGTCCTCGTCCTCGCCTCCCCGACGCGCCACTATCGCAACCAAACAACAATACACAACACACAATACACAACACACAATACACAACACACAATACACAACACACAATACACAACACACAATACACAACACACAATACACAACACACAATACACAACACACAATACACAACACACAATACACAACACACAATACACAACACACAATACACAACACACAATACACAACACACAATACACAACACACAATACACAACACACAATACACAACACACAATACACAACACACAATACACGATACGTCTGGTTTGATTGCTCAATGTGCTGCTAGTAGGCAGCTGGCCTCTCCGCCTCTCGACTCCGCGTTTCTGTTTCTTATTGTTGCATTCATCTTGTCCATCTCATCAAGAGGGCATTGAAGAGGGCATTGAAGAGGGCATTGAGGGACCAACCCATTGATCAGGTTGTACTGCCCGGCAACTCATAAATCAGTCAACCTTCCACCGAGCAAACCTCAGACCACCCAAGATGCATTTCCGAAACGCCATCTTCGCCGCTGCCATCCCGGCCACCTTCGCCGCTCAACAGCACGTCCTGGCGAATCCAACGAGCGTGGTTGAGACCGGAACGCCCAGTTCGAGAGGTAGGTCGCAAGAGGGCAAGCTGCCGTTCCCCATGTCAGAACACATCCTGACCTATTCAACAGCATTGGTCTCGGCCTCGATCAACTACACAGAAAGCGCGGACACGACAGAAACGACGGAAACCACACAAACAGTACACGTCATAAAAACCATTACACAGCCGCCGAACCCCATCACGACAGACGCGGCAGATAAGCCAGCGTTCGACGCCTCGGTCATGGGCCTCATCGTCTTTTCCGCGGCCGGGCTGTTCCTGTTATGATGGACTCGTGGACCGAGGGATATGAATTAGAACTGCATTGCATTGCATACCACTGGAGTTTCACGGCTGGGAATGACGTGAGCATCGGATGCGACGATATCATGGACCTGCGTTTACGGTTGACGATTTTGCTTCTGGATATCCACCTTGGCGTTCGATTGTGTTTATATACCCAACATTGTGGCGGTGGTTCTGATAGCATCAACATTTTCGATTCCTACTGCTTGGCTTTGCAGTACAAAGTGCACCATCGTTCTTGAATGGTAAACAACTTTCATCAGCACTTTGACCTGCTTGCTGCTGACTTGGCAGTTCTTGCGATTGCGCTTCATGCGGGCAGACATCGTCGGTTTGGCACTTGATATTTGGTCCAAGCATATGTTTCGACGGTAACCATAGGCTGCCAAAGCAGATGAAGTGCTACGCGCAAGGAGGGGAACCGAAGCAGCTCGGTCGAGGAGAGCCTATGAATCGACAGTAACCATAACGCCTGAAGGTCATGGCTGTGTAGCCAACAACCTGCCTCCAGCACTTGTTTTGTTAATTGCCAGGCCGCAATGATCTGTATCCTCGCGCTTGGCGCGACAAAGCGCGGGCTTTGCCCTGTAAGGAGTGGTCGATCTATGGGCATTGTGGAAAGAAGCTCGCAGGTGCGCTGGTGGCATGGTCTATTCCGTGTCGTCGTATGTATTGCGTGACTTTTCAGCGTCCGATACGCTTCCCCAATGCCCCGTCGTAACGTCTTATGAGTCAGAAGAGGGTCCCCCGGAGTTCTGACCATGTAGTGACGCCCCTGACGCCCAACGTGACAACGATTTCTGGCGTTCAGACGGCGACTGGCACCTGCTGCTGCTGCTCTGCAGGTTCGGGAGCGGGAGGAGGAGGGGGTTTCGGGAGGTCATCCTGTCCGACGGGATTAGCACCTTGTACACACACACAGGAAAGCATATGCGGGAGCGTACCTGGTCGAATATTACCCTGATCATCAGACTGCAGCTCGGGCAGACGGCGATGTCGGTCGCGTCGTCTTGCAGGTCCATCAGCGCAATCTCGAATCGGTCGCCACAAGGGCACGGGTAGTGGTAGATTTGGAGGGTCTCGTCGAAGGTCATGTCCTCGATCTCGACCTCGTCGTAGACGGCAATGTCCTCTTCTTCGGCCATTTTTGGTAACGGTTCTTCGTTCGGATCGGTTTGATGGTTGTCGCTGAAGAGAGAAGAGGCTCTGTACAGAAGAACAAATTGTTTGCGAACCCCGCGAAGACTACCCTCGTCTGACTCATAATTCTTCTAGATGCATATTACCCCACAATTTCCGATGAAGCCGTAACGTCCCGAATGTCGGGGCTCAGCTGCCGGGAGGAATCACATGCAAGCAGGCGTCACCTGCACCCCCAGACTCAGCTCGGGAGCGGTTGCATTCGCCGAGGAACGTGCCTCGAGGCACTCGAGTCCGTCTAATCCATCGTCAACCGTTAAACCGTCTCCCGGACTTTGAGGGGCGCTGGATGTCAGCAACGCTCATGCCCAAGGCTCACAGTCATGTAATCACGATACTCTCTGTTCTTTCCTAGACACTCAATCAAGCATACTCGCATACTGTCTCTTCGTCCCTTCGCCATCCATGGGCTGAACTGCATCGTGGTGTGTCTTTGACTGCTCCCTGCGAACCCCTCCTATAGCCAGATCCATCCGATCGCCGAGGCCCACGAGCGAGCGTATCGCATCGCATCGCAACTACCCCAACTCCTATCCGCCGTCGTCTTCCTCATCCACACCCACACCACCGTTGTGATGGCGGTCCAGTCGAAGCTAGTCCTGCCCGATCGATCGCTTAAGAGCACTGTCGCGCGGCTGACTAAGCTCTACATGTCGAATCGGACTCGCATCTCACGCGCCGTCTACCTGACGCTGCTGATCGCCCTCGTCAACCGTGTCCGCCATGCCATTTCCGAGCAGAAGGCCGCGTCGGCGCGCGAAGCCGCCAAACGCCACTCCGGCACCACCTCTAGCGACGGCACCGATACCACCGCCAAGAAGAAGGTCGAGTTGAACCGCGAGTTCTTCCGCTCCCTCGGCCGCCTGCTAAAGATCGTCGTGCCCGGCGTACGCAGCAAGGAGACCCGACTCCTGATTAGTCATAGCTTCTTCCTGGTTGTGCGGACGGTGATCAGTTTGAAGGTCGCAGAGATGGATGGTGCTATTGTGAAGGCGCTCGTGAAGGGCAGCGGTAGGGAGTTCTTGACGAGGATAGTGTGGTGGATGTTGATCGCGGTGCCTGCGACCTTTACGAACTCCATGGTAAGTCAGGTTCCCGCTTCGATGGGAAGGTCAGTTGACGATTTTTGTACAGTTATCGTACCATCAAGCCGAGTTGTCCCTGAAGTACCGAACACGGTTGACCCAACATATACACGACAAATACCTCTCCAAACTCACTTTCTATGGAATTTCGGCGCTGGACGATCGAATAAAGAACCCCGATCAGCTGATCGCCGTCGACGTTGCCAAGTTCTCGAACAGTTTAGCTGAGGTCTACAGTAATCTGGCCAAGCCGATCCTGGACATGGTAAGATCTACGCGTCTGTGATCATTGCTACTCCAGCTAACTAGGATAGACAATATACACCTGGTCATTATCAAAAAGTGTTGGTGGTGAAGGCGTCATACTCATGTCACTGCTGGTTCAGTTGTCAGCCAACGTCATGAGGCTTCTCACTCCCCCGTTTGGGAAATTCGTCGCTGATGAAGCACGGCTTGAAGGAGAGTTCCGATTTCAGCACTCGAGGCTTATCGACCATAGTGAGGAAATTGCGCTATACCACGGACACGAGGCCGAGAAGGACACGCTCGACAAAGGTTACTTCACCCTGATCAAACACGTGAATTATATCTTGCGTCGGCGGTTCTACCATGGAATCATGGAAGACTTTGTCATCAAATACTTCTGGGGAGCACTGGGTCTCATGCTTTGCAGCGTACCCGTATTCTTCAAGCTGCCAGGTCAAGTTGCTGGAGCTGTAAGCATGGGCGATCGGACTGAAACGTTCGTCACAAACCGCCGCATGCTGCTAAGCGCGTCTGATGCATTTGGACGGGTCATGTTCTCCTACCGCGAGATCATGGAATTGGCAGGATATACGTCCCGCGTGGCATCACTACTGGAAGTGATGGATGATATACAAGCAGGGCATTTCGAGAAGAAGCTTGTATCAAGCTCCGGCACCGAAGACAACGCAGCTGTATTGAAAGGCCGAGGACAAGTCGTCGAGAGCGAGAACATCGAGTTTATTGACGTTCCGATCATCTCACCCAATGGCGACGTCCTTGTCAAAGCGTTGTCGTTCTCACTGAAACGAGGCGACCATCTCCTCGTTGTTGGGCCAAACGGGTGCGGAAAGTCCAGTCTCTTCCGCATCCTTGGCGGCTTATGGCCCGTATATGGCGGCAAGGTCTACAAGCCGCCTTTTACGGATATCTTCTACATCCCGCAACGGCCATACCTGTCGCGATGCAGTCTACGCCAACAAATCACGTATCCGGACAGCCTGAGGACTGTGCGCGCTCGTGGTGTAACGGACGCTCAACTCCTTGATATGCTGAAGATATTATCGCTTGAGCACCTAGTGGATCTCTACCCCGAAGGCTGGGACGCCGAAGCCGAATGGCGCGACGTTCTTTCAGGTGGGCTGCAACAACGCGTGGCTATGACGCGTCTCTTCTACCACAAGCCTCGGTACGCCATCCTCGACGAGTGTACGAGCAGTGTAACGCTGGAGACGGAAAAGGTCATGTACGATAACGCGAAAGCCTTGGGCATCACCCTCATGACGGTGAGTCACCGACGGAGTCTGTGGAAGTACCACAGCAGGATTCTGCAGTTCGATGGTCAGGGCCAGTACGTGTTCACGAAGCTGGACGCGGACAAGAGGCTGGAACTCGAGGATGAGAAGGAGGACCTGGATGTGCTGTTGAGACAGGTGCCGGAAATCGAGAGACGCATTGGCGAGTTGAGTGCCGAGTAGGCGGTGAGGAGGATGAGAGGAGGGGAGCAGAGTGAGCAAGCCACGACACGGTGTAGGGTAGAGATAGTGCGGTTGGGGCCGTATCATGTTGGCCCATCAATACGGCAGGTTCTTCTGAAGGCTGCGGCCGCCGCACTTTTTGTGCGTTGCAAACGGGTCGTACGATGAACATCCCGGATAGCGAACCGCGAAGAGACACTAGCTGCCGACCTCGCGAGCCTCGAGACGTGCTCAATGCAAGCTAAGATCTGACTTATGCGCCGCTCAACGCCGCACGGGAATCTGGATCTACTGTAGCTGCATGGGACAGGGGCGAGGGATAAGGGTAGGCGGGGGAGATATTTATCATGATTCATATCATTGTCATAAAATCTCGTCAGCCTTGAGAGAGGAGCGATGACGGCTTTGACGACTGACTAACTTACCTAGGTATGTACTCGTCGTCCTTGATTGATCCCAGTCAGTCTCCCCATACTCCGGCTTCGGTCGGCTCTGATTTCGAGTCAGGGGCCCCGGTGCCCCCACGAGCGGTGGAGGCAAATGGACTGACGGTCTGACGCTATTTTAGCCGCATGTCCGTCTTGCGACGGTTGGACTATTCACCCCTCCAAGACCGAGCCGGCGCGTTGCGAACTGACAGCTTGGCTGCATGGCTTGGTGAAGCTTGGTGAAACTTGGTGAGCTTGATTCAGGCACACGCCCAGTACGTTCGACGAAGATAAACCTTATGGCTTCCAACGCCACCGCTCGGCTCGCCTCAAGGTCCTGTCTCGGGCTCTGGATTTACGGGAATATTTTCAGTCGCGTGTCTTAAAGCCCGGGCAGCCCGGGGACCAGAGCTTGCGAGGCTATCTCGACGTTGCATCAGCTGCCGAGCCGCAATGGAACCCCCAGTCTCCACCACCGAGGAAGGACCGGGTGCTAGCGTCGACCGCTGCCCTCCCCTGCATCCGTGTCGCCCATGATGCAAATTTCATGCGTCCGAATGGTCACATCTCCAGACGGCCCTTCCCTGTGAGCCCGCTTCGAGCCCGCTTGGTACAGCATTCCCCACGACGCTTGCTGGGGAGCTAGATCCCAGCCTTCGAGCATGGTCGGTTCCTCCGCAGCCCGACCATGGCCACCCCGGCTTCGCAACAGGTTCAGATCCCAGAGTCCCACGGGGTCGCGGCACTGCGTCAACGCGGATGAGGGGGGCCTCGGACGCGAGGGGAGGGCTTTGCAGTCATAGCCCTTCATAAAGGGTTCTTCTTCACACTCGACCCTTTTCAAAACTCAAGAAAAGCGTTCAACCCCAGCCGGAGCTCTTCATCATTCCGCCCTACCACCTTCTTCGCTCTCTCACCTCTCTGGCACGCAGTCGACTCCCCCGGCCGTGCTCCCTGGTCCGTGTCGTGCTGCTGCGTAGTGCAGCAGTTTGCGGAGGAAAATGGGCGTCAAGCACTTTGGCCTGACGGGCCAGGCCCTGAGCAGGCTCCAGATCGCGCTCATCGTCGCCCCGTCCTTCATCCTGTTCGGATACAACCAGGCTGGAATAGGAGGCCTGCTCACCGAGGAGGACTGGGTGAAGACGTTTCCTCAGATCGACACCGTCCACTCGACGGGAGCTGAGAAGAGCCGTAAATCGACGTTGCAGGGCTTTATTGTTGGTATGTGTTCCCACCTACTCTCTACGACTGCATTTGCGTCAGTGCGAGGTCCGGCAGCCTCTCGGTACCTGATCCTCGGGGTCGGGAACTCTGTAGTTTCGGAAGTATCGAGGGTCCAGCCTAGTAATCGACGTTTCCCCTTTGTCAGAACAGTAGAACTAATGATACGGGTGTTCTAGCTGTATTCGTTATCGGTGCAAGTAAGTAATGGGTTACTTCTTATGGCCTTCGCCTTTCCCCGGAGTTCGTTTATAAACGCGAGCTATGTACACTTGAAACACGCATCCGAGCTCTGGCACATTGGACGATGTTTTCTCCGGAGGGGCAATCACTAACTCAATGTTCTTACAGTGGTTGGATCCTTGTCTTGCTCATATACAGGTGACAAGTTCGGCAGAAGAAACGTAATCTTCTTTGCCTCCATCTGCACATTAATCGGCGAGATCCTCGAGGCGTCGTCTTTCGGGCTGGCCCAATTCATCGTCGGCCGCATCATCGTCGGCCTGGGCGTCGGCCAACTCTCCTCGATCGTACCCGTATGGATGAGTGAGACGGCAGCTTCAGCGAACAGAGGGCGTCAAGTCGTTCTAACTGGTCTGTTCATCTGTCTGGGTTACGTTCTCGAGTCGTGGATCGACCTCGGCTTCTTCGAGTACCACCATGGACCTATCACCTGGCGGCCGCCGATCGCCATTGCCTGCTTTTCCTCGCTCGTCCTTATGGCCTCCGTCTACCTGTTCCCGGAATCGCCTCGTTGGCTGCTGATGAAGGCCCACAACGAAGAGGCCCGCGCCAACCTCGCCATCTTGCGCGCACGTGCTGGGGATTCGATGGAGGTCGAGGCTGAGATGACGGGTATTGAGCACTCGCTTGAGATCACCAGCGCCGGCGGTGTGAAGTTTACCGACATGCTCAAGATGGGCGAGGATAAGCTCCTCTACCGTTTCGGACTGTGTATGCTGTTGCAGTTCTACCAGCAAATGTCGTATGTGATCCCTTCAACGCCCAACCAACGTTGTGCATGCCAACAACTACGTGACTAACAACCACCGCAGCGGAAGCAATCTGATCAGCGTGTACGCGCCGATCTTGTTCCAGCAGAACCTGGGGCTCAGCCCCGAGTTGTCCCGCGTCCTCTCCGGCGGCGCGCTGACCTGGAAGTTCCTGTCGTCGTTCCTGGCCTTCCTGGCCATCGACCGGTTCGGCCGCCGGGCCGTCTTCATCGTCAGCGGCGGCGGCATGGCGTGCTGCATGGTCGCGCTCGCCGTAGCGACGTCGTTCGGCAAGGAGAACACGAGCGCCCAGATCGCCGCCGGCTGCTTCATCTATCTTTACAACATGTTCGTACCGATTGGATTTTTGGGTGCCAACTTCTTGTACTGCACCGAAGTCGCGCCCCTTCGTCTACGCATGGCTATGAGCTCGATTTCTACGGCTAACCATTGGCTTTGGTATGTTCGCGCCTCTCATACTTCAGAACTGCTGGTGGTGATCAGGTGGCTAACCTTCGGATTTGTAGGAACTTCGTGGTGGTCATGATCACGCCCGTTGCCATTAATACAATTGGCTGGCAGTACTACATCGTGTTCGCGGTCATCTCGGCCTGCGTCCCCGTGTCGGTGTACTTCCTGTTCCCCGAGACGATGGGCCGCAACCTGGAGGAGATCGACCTCATGTTCAAGCAGTCGCCCTCGGCGTGGGGCACCGTCAGGTTCGCCAAGAACCGCCCCGTCGGCATGCCGCAGGAGTTCGAGGAGGATGAGAAGGGAGCTCCGGACGATCTGGTCAAGCCTGTTCATGATGAATAGATGTTGTGTGTGTATTTACTTGAGCCCATGGGAATATAAATATGATATGAATGACGATGATACTCTCGGTTTTGCCACGACGGTTGAAGGTGCTACGTATTGGTTTGCGCTAGGGGTCATACGGACGGAAAACAGCTTGGGGGTGACTTGCGGCGTAAACGTCCTGCGTGACGGAGCAAGCCCGGTTCTCCACATGACATTGGGAATTCGATTTTGGGAATTCGATTCGCGGGTCACATGCGCGGCGTATGGGCGTAAAATTGAATAAATCCAATACGGGTAGTCATTGCTTGGGCTGGTAGCGTTCGTTGACATCGCGTGACAGCGCGCCTCGTGTGCCTCGCGCAATTGTAATTGCGTCGTGAAGCACAGTGAAAGGAAACCATGTTGATGGTACACATGGGAACAAGCGTCGATAATCACTCACCCCTTTCTCTGGGTACGGCTCTCCTTTTCTGTACCAGTGGTGTTTCATCGCTTCGCAAGTATCGAAGATAACCCATGCAGTCCTCATCACTTTGTGGTGGTAATGAGCAACGCCACGTGTAGGTATGAGGAATATCACGAACGACTCTGCGCCCGCAGTATCGTGGCTGTGCGAGCCTGCGTCACCAGTAGGTATTTTCTTGCAGAGGGAAAACATGCCGAAAAAGGTGGTCGACGCGTAACACCTCCAAGGCAAGGTCCTGGTCCGCAGGAGCCCTAACACGCCCCTGGAATTATCGCATAAATCGACCGTAGCAAAGCAAGGCGGGTAGCCTTAATAAAAGGGCATTGGCTTTGGAACAGGTAAACCTTCTTTGGTGTACTGGCATGAGGCATGAGAAAGAGGAGTGGTCGTTGTGGAAACTAGGGTTTTCTAGTCATTTAGTCCACAGCTCGTCTATCCTCCGCCTATACAGAGTTGCTGCTTCCCTAAATATGGCCGAGTGAGCATACACATGCTAGCAAGTAAAAAAGAAAGAGCAAGCTGGAAATCATCCTTTACTCGCCCTGGATTGGAGAGTAGGGCTGCAGCCCAGAACCTGGTGTTCCAGTGTTCCAGCCGCCTCAAATGCGAGACCACTATCCACAACTCGTCATGATCCCCAAGTTGAATCTTTGACGAAGCCTCGATCCTGCCGTCAATCGACCAAGCTTCGACGTAGCCCTCTAGTACACGGTTTCCAAAGCTAACGGGGGATCAGTTCGGTGAGGTATCAAAGCGTCAAAAGGAACATACAAGTTTAGCAGTGTATTCTCCCGCTCCAGAAAGGCCTCGGTCGGTGCAATGTGGTAGTTTTCCTTAAGCAATTCGCGCGTCTCTCGAACAGCATCCAGGATTCTCCTTTTTCATGGGTCAGTTCTAGACCAGTTCAAAGCCAGGTTTCAGGGAACAACGCACTCCCTCTGGTCAACGCTGCCACGCCACTGTGTCCATTCATAATCTTTAAGGTAGCCGTCGATAGCACGAATGTAGGTATCCAGGCGATTGCGCTCGTTCATGTGCCTGTAGAGAGCCTGGTCCTCTTCCCCGTGTTCTCTGGGAATTGTCGATCAGCTGGTGGTAATTCACGGGATAGCGCACATCGCTACGTACTCAGCGGAAAGCAAGATATTGTCGATATCTTCTTCCTTGTCACCTCTGCCGTAAGAGGTTTGGATCTATACTACTGTCAGCTGAGAACTCCAGGTCGCAGAGCTTCAATTCTTACATTGTCGATGCCCTCCTTCTTTCCCGCAGCTGCTCGCTCATTATCAGTCCGTTGAAGGCAATCATTAGCGTGGGACATTACCTAGGTCAAGTGCTGTAACCTTGAGCAGGCCCTTCAACTAGGTTACGTCAGCAGCTGCCTTGCAATCCTCCAAACAGGAGGGCGGGCAAACGAACGTCAAGCTTGAATCTAACTTGGATCTCCGGACCACCAGCAGGAGCAGGCGGGATTCCCGTGAGCTCAAAACTGGCGAGCTGGATGCTGTCATTGGTCGTTGCCCGCTCTCCTTCGTACACCTTTACCAGAATACTGGACTGGTTAGTGGTAGTCGTGGAGAACGTCTGGCTCGGGCTCGTGGGCAGCATGGTGTTTCGCATGATCATCCTCCGCATCAAGCCACCGGTCGTCTCCTATGTTATATTTTGAGTATATGGTCGTGCCGCCAAAAAAGCACACAAAACAGAGCGATGTAACCTTACGATTCCAATAGGAAGTTGAGCTATCTCAACATACAAAATGCATCCCTCATCATATTCCACTGAGAGGATCGAAGCCTGGATCGCAGCGCCAATAACAGTGGCCTCGGAGGGCTGAACCCCCTTGGACACCGGACGGCCAAAATATTGCTCGACATGTTCAAGTACCTTGAGAATCATCAGCATACCGGAACTGATGTGAGGTCCGGTGAACAGTACGCCTACCTTCGGGGTATTGCTAGAACCGCCAACAGCAAGGATGTCATCGACAGGTCCTGCGTCTCGCACATTCCATCAATATTCAGACGTGGCCGATACGAGAAACCAGTTTCCTGCAAAAGGGGCAGCACTCACCCACCAAGATTTCCCGAAGGGGTGCAATCGTAGCCTCGAATATTGCCGCGTTCAGGTCCTCGAGCTTTGCCCTGGTAAGAGTCTGGGAAAAGTTTAGCCCTTCACGAACAGCCTTGACCTCCACTTGGTACACCTCGCGTGAAGACAGCTCTCTCTTGCCTCTTTCCACCTCGCCATCGATTTTAGCCATGGTCTGGCTATCAATTGCGACATCGGGATTCTTCTCGTGGAACTGTTTCAGTAGACTACCCCTAATTATTAGCAACTCCTCGCATTACTGGTACAGAAACTCAAACAACATACTATTCAATTATTTGTTGGTTGATCGTATCACCACCCAAATAGATGGGTCCCCCCGTCGCAAGTATCTCGAAGATGCCGTCCTCCACAGTAAGTAGTGATATGTCCAGTTCAGTGCCACCGAGGTCGTAGACGATAATGGACCGGTCGTCACTCGTCATGTCGAGTCCGTAAGCTATCGCTGCCGCAGTGGGTTCGTTGACGATACGAAGAATCTGTAGCCCGGCCATCTCTCCTGCGTCCTTGAGTGCCTGTCGTTGGGAGTCGTTGAAGTATGCTGGAACAGCCGCGACGGCATGGGTGACTTCCTCATCCAAGAAGGTCTCTGCGGTACTCTTCAGCTTTCCAATCAACATGCTGGTGACTTCTTCAGGAGATATGATCTTCTCCTTTCCCTGGACTTGGACTCGGATACAAGGCTTGTCTTCGTGATTGACGACATTGTATGGGAGATCATCGAGGTTGGCTTGGACTTCGCTATCAGACCAGCTTCGCCCCAAAAGGCGCTTCATACCAAACAGGGTTCTGTCTGCATTCTGTGCAAGCTGGGATTTTGCGTCTTCGTGGTGTTAGCGGACACAGGTTATCCGTTACGTGGGCGGTCGGATATCAGATACCCTCTCCAATCAGGACGCCTTCATCTGTGAAAGCGACGTATGATGGCATTGAGTTGTGTCCCCTTTCAATCTCCAGGACTTTGGGTTCCTTGTCATGTAGCACAGCTACTCGCGAATATGACTGTCAGCTCAGTTAGCCCACCTCAGCATGCAACGTGGCAGCGAGCTTTCACCGCTACCCCGCGGTGATTCTGGAATAGCAGAGGACCTATATGTGTGCTGAAAGGGGAGCAGGCAGTCCAATGTAGATGTTACTGTAGGCACTCACAGTGCCCACATCCTGCCGTGAAAACTCATTAGATCACCCCAAATTCCCGGGTTAAAGGTCCGAAGTACTCACGATACCGATTACAGTGCCATAGTCAGTGACATCGCCCCATGGCTCTGGTCTCCATGGCTCTGGATGGGCTTGAAAAAGCAGCAGGCAGTCACAATGGCTGCGAACAAAGCGAGCCCCAGGAACCAAGAACGAGCCCGTCGGCCACAACCCATCTTGGGTTTATTGCTGTGAAGTAGCTATGAAAGTCGCGCTGATAGAGAAGCAGAAGGAGTATAGAGAAAATGAGCCGGTTGATCAATTGGAAGACGTCGAACACATGTGAGGATGGGTTACGATAACCGCTTTCAGAGATGAAAAGCTGCATTCATGCTGACAGGGTTTGTCGCTTTCGTGAGGACTTCGTCTACTTCTAGTAGCTCAGAGTATGCAAGATGGTAGAGACCACATGTTGTTTTTCATAGATTCTAGGACGATGTCAGATGAGTCAGTGCCAAGCTGGCCAGGCTATGGGGTTCAGTTCTCCTCCAGGCAGCGAGAGATGACACGGGGAGATGACCGTAAAGACACGTCTACTAAGGCTCCTTGCGTTATGTATGCGTCCGCTTAATGATACAAGTACTTTGAATAGGTGAAGGTTACCCTCCAATGTTTTGAGAAGACGTCTTTTGAGCGGGCATGAACCCAAAGGTGGGATGTGGCTTGCGCACATTCACTGTGTGGCGCAGGCGTACTACCCCTTATTAATCGTGCTCGATGATTACCTGAGAAAAGCTCAGACCACTAGGCAGCCTGAAGTATTAAGATGTATCAAGGAATGGGACCCACTTAATCGTAGATCTAACCAATTGAATGATTAAGGTAATAATAAGCCGCTTGACAGTTTAAAGCCTTTATATTATACTTGAAACTACAAAGCTACGTTATAATATATATATATTAATAACGTTATTAGCTGATAGTTATACGTTTAATTTATATTTTATAACATATTGAAACTTAACATACTTGTGATGGTTGTTACGTCGCTACTATTGGTGATGATCCTGGGATCATGTGACAGCATGTGACCTCTTGGACGACTGGTTGTCCCAGACCCACTAGGGCTCTGAATTGTGGGGCGGACAGACTTATCTAGTTGCCTACCAGATTTGGCGGTGCCGCTCGATCTTTTTCCCCTCTTTACCCAGTGATAGTTATAGGTACATAGTAAACAAGGGCTTTTATGTTATATTCACATATACAAAACGTCATAATAAGCTTAAATATATATTAATTATAATAATATGAATAAATTAACAGCAATTAATATATTAAATATAAAGGTAAAAAACTTGTGACAAGTATAAAAAACTTGACTTCATTAAAATAGATTATATTAAATTTTTATAAGTAAATAAAATTAACCGCTTTGATTATAACTCAACTTATATATAAAATCTTTATGAAAACATATAACTTTTATAAATAACTTAATGAGATATAAACGATATTAAATATAACATTACAACTGTATATTTTAGCTAACCAATAAGGTTCAAACGCGTATAGTAAGGTAATAAATAAAGTAAATAAACGGTACACGGTTTCCTTAGTTGATTAAGATAATAAAAACGCAAGCTTATTGTGATGAGCTGTCTAACCTATAAGGCTAAAGGGTTCTGTAGGGTTTATGTTCTGAGATAAGTCAACACAAAGGACGATAGAGGCTTCTATTAACTAGAAGACACTCAGATGCTAGGGCTTGGTCTGATCAAGTGGATCATTGTATAGTCGAGTCGTCAGGAGATTTCTCCCACCTTAGGGTTGGCTAAGATGCTTAGATTGATCACTAAGGTAGAGACTATCTTTCTATCTAGCTGGGAAATGTCTGTCCTTATATATCCAATCTCTCCCTCACTGATTAGGTGGCTCACCATGGATCACCGGTGATCCAAGGTGATCTTGCTCACTGGATCACCATGGTGATCCAGTGATCCAAATTCTTAGTCACGTGATCCAAATTCTTAGTCACGTGACCCAGGTTCTGCTGGCCACGTGATTTGTGTACCGTTGCTCCATTGCTCTGATATCTCCACTGATCAGTACCCCACTTACTGGTCAACCTGTTTCCAATCGTCTCCTCTTGGCCTGCTATCAGGCCGCACTGTTCGTTGGTTTGTAACACACTACAAATTAAAACGTATTAAAAAATCAACTATTAAAATAATGTTTACCGCTTAACAATAACGTATACACGTAAAGTTCGATAACGAAGCCTTTTTATAAAAGAATAACTGTTAAACTAAGTTATATTTAAAAGATATGAGTTTTAAAAGACAAAAGAATTACTAGTAAGCAGTTTATAAACGGCTTTTTATATATTATTAATACTTCATTAAATAATTTATGCCTTATAAAAAGGCTTATTATCTTTATTTTTAAATATTAAATGATGATAAGCGAAATTATAGGTAAAAAATTAACGTTATTGCGTATACCGATTAAAAACCCAAAGTTATAAATAGTAACAAAAAAGTTTAACAGGTATATTACGCGTATTAATTATCGAAATAATATATTTAAAACTCGATATAAACGGCTTCAAAAAGTAAGCGTTTGTCTACGTTATAAAGAGGCTACATTTATCTAATACTTAAAAAACCTGGATCAATATGAAATAAGGTTATATATATAACTTATAAGTATATATTATATATAAAAATTGCTAATACGATAGAACTATATTAAAAGGTTGGAGATTAAAAGAAATACAAAACCTGTGGGAACAGGCTTGGACGATCAATCATAATACTCGAGTATGGGGTCAAGGTCATGATGTTGCTGATGGTTGGATTGTGAAGTCTAGCTGGACCTGCAGGTCTGGCTAAGTGACCTCACAATCCGGTATCTAATCTCTTATCTAATCATACATGTGGGTTCTGTATAGATAATTTGACTGTGGAATCACATGGATCCAACAAAAGTGTGTATTTAATAGCAAATTAGGCCCCCCTTACCCATAGCTAGAACAAGTAAGCAACTAGGGAATCTACCCTTATTCCGCACCGATACAGGATTCCCGATAATAACTTACTAACTAAATGAATTAAAACATACTATATTATTATTATAAAAATGAAAGCTAAAAGATATAAGAGCGTATATTTATCTTAGAGATTTAAAGAATTATATTATAAAGCTATTATATAAAAATGTAATATTTTTACTATATTAAAAACACTGGTATTATTGGATCTATGCGATTCCATCCTGCAAACCATCTATACCAGGACCCACATGTATAGTTAGATAAGAGATTAGATACCGGATTCTGAGGTCACTTAGCCAGACCTGCAAGTCCAGCTAGACCTTCCAATCCAACCATCAGCAATATCATGACCTTGACCCAATACTCGAGTATTATGATTGATCGTTCAAGCCTGTTCCAATAAAATCGCCTTTACATATATAAAAAGTTGAAAAGCACGTAGCTTAAGAAAAGCCAGCCAACTACTAAAAAGCCTACTAACTAATTAAAAGCTAGCTAGCTTATTAAAAACTAACCAGCTAAATAAAAGCTAACTAGCTAGTTAAAAACCAAACAGCTGGTTAAAAACCGGGTTTTTTAATTATATAAAACTTAGCAATGAAGCGGAATTAAAAGCCTTTATTCTAAATTAAATTATCTTTATATATATAAAAGTTTAAGAAGTATATAATTTATTAAAAGCCACCTGTCACAAAGCGCAGATGTGAAGTGGGCGTAAAAGTCCTGCTATATTATGTACGTGTAATAATCTCTCAGTGAAGAAGGAAAGAAAGATCTGGTCCACCAGCCAATTCTGGAGGGCTAGAAGATCTTTCAGTCCGACCCATAATTACCCAATCCAGTGGCAGTCGGAGCCACACGTCCATTGCGCCAGCTCACCTGATGCAGTGCACTGACCACTGCAGATGGGATGTCAGACCTGATGGGAGGTCAGACCATCACACCACCTAGTTGATAAAAGGCTTACTAACTAGTTAAAAGCTAACTAGTTAATTAAAAACTAGATAGCTAACTAAAAGCCAGCTAACTATTTAAAAACCAGCTAGCTAGCTAAGAGCCGGGCATTTTAACCATATAAAGCCTAGTGCCGGAACGGGATTAAAAGCCTCCGTACCAATCAGATCGCAGGGCTTAACGTAAAAAAGAAAGAATAGGTGCCGTTTCGTTCCTCCACTTCGTTCTAAAACTTCACTTCCACAGGCATAAAGCAGGCTGTGTCAACGCAATCGAGCCACGCCGAGAACTGGGCATGAGGTTCAATCATTCAATGAATGTCGCTAGTTAAGTCACGACATTAGTCTGGGCGGCTAGTCGTTCTTGGGGACCTCATCCTAGTGGCCCATGGAGAAATGGACTGACTGCGGAGACTGGAATATGGTAGTGTGGCACCATAAACGCAGCCACTTGTGCCTGGCTGGCCGTTTGTCTGCCGAGGAATTATGAGCAGGCGAATTGCCATTGAACAAACAGTAGGAACTGTGCTCGCATTACTTGGCAAACCAATCAAGTTGCAAATACCAATGTCGCGACTCGGTTTGGGCGAGGGTTTTCGCGCTGCATGTTTGGCTGAGTAGATTTGGACGGAGGACAGCAAGGCGATTCATGAAAAGAGGCACTGAATCATCTGACATTCTGCTGGGAGGGTGGAGGAGACGGTGCAAACCGGGGACGACAAGCGGGGCGGCCACGGGCGACGGACCTATTTAAGGGCGGAGGAAGCGGGTCTCTGACGGCACCGGGTGGAACCTGTCCAGCGGCTAGACGATTGAAACTTCTCGGTCTGACGGTTCAGCCGGTTTCGCCCAGGGCAGGAAGGTCCCCAGTCAGCTGGTACGTAATTGAAACAGTGTCAGCGCGGGTAGAGACGGGGCAAAGCGGTGACTTATACTGTAGCCCCATCCTGGCGGTCTGGGGGTCGGGAGGTGTGCCTGCCTTGGTGTTTTCGCGCAAGCCGAGTCAGCTCCCCTTCAATTATTACTAACTTCCACGTCGGAAACATACAGCCACTGCAGCGCCCCTTCAGTCCCGTTCACACCTCTCTCCTCCAAGCATAGACTTATATGTACGCACCGCGACGACCACATCGACCCTTCTGGCCGTCCGGACTCCGAATCCCTGATCATGCTATTCCTCAATCCCTTCAACAAGCATGACAACTTCGACACCAGCCGCGTCGTCATTCCGCTGGAAGGGGCGAATCACCACCATGAGGATGGCTCCGAGGGACGCTTTACAGTTGAGATGCTCAGAGCAGAGATTGAAAGCGACCTCCAGTCTGGTGGCGTAGACAGCGCTTACGATAGGTGAATGCCAACCAATATCACCGTTTGCATCCGTCCCATCACCGTTGCATCAACGTTACCAAGAAGTGACCACGGCGTGCTGACCTCTGATTTGACACGGCTAGAAAATCAAAAGTCATCAACAGGGCCATCCAGGATATAGGCATGGGCAAGTACCAATGGGAACTGTTCGTGCTGTGTGGGTTTGGCTGGCTTGCAGACAAGTAGGTTGACAACATGCGACCGCAGAAGAGAGGTAGTTGAGGCGGTTGAGGCGGATTGAGGAGAGCGTGCTAACTCCATAACCTCTCATTTAGTCTTTGGCTACAAGGAGTCGCTCTCACCTTGACACCGCTAGCCTCTGAGTTCGGCGTCTCCTCTGACAACGTTCGCTACACGACCCTTGCCTTGTTCACCGGTCTCTGTATTGGAGCATCGTTCTGGGGTGAGTAAAACATGCGGCTCTGCAACCAGAAGTCCTGATTTCTCGAGGAATCACTCAGCTTCTAGTACTGACGTTGTTCTAGGGACGGCAAGCGACGTGGTAGGCCGGAGGCTCGCGTTCAATTGCACCTTGTTTCTCGCCGGCGTCTTCGGGCTCGCCTCTGGTGGAGGTCCGAACTGGATTGGCACCTGCGCGCTATACGCCTGCGTTGGGCTCGGTGTCGGCGGAAATCTGCCAGTCGATGGCGCTCTATTCCTGGAGTTCTTACCCTTTGCCAGTGGGAATTTGCTGGTACGTGGCGCAAGCCGTGCTACAGAGGAGAGCGGCGATCCAAGCTAACTGTGGATAATGTAGACACTTCTTTCTGTTTTCTGGCCTGTGGGACAGTTGATCTCGTCTCTCAGTAAGCTGGTACTCCGGTGCGCGGGTGCTCTCTATAACATTGCAAGCTGACCTCACACACAGTCGCTTGGGCTTTCATCCCCAACTTCTCCTGCCCCTCCAGTGGTGCTGGCTCCATGTCCTGCAATCTCACAGGCGGACAGAAACCGTGCTGTTCTAGAGAGGACAATATGGGCTGGAGGTACTTCATACTAACCATCGGCGCGTTCACCTTCGTCATGTTTATCTGCCGCTTTTTCTTCTTTCACCTTTACGAGTCTCCCAAGTTCCTGCTCTCACGGGGCCGGCAAGCCGAGGCTGTCGCCGTAGTGCACTGCATCGCGCACAAAAACAACGCGGAGACCTGGCTGACCATGGAGGTTCTGGATAAGATTGGTGGGCTCTCCGAAGTCGTCCAGGACGAGAAGCTTGGCACGGTGGAGATCGTGAAAAGAAGCCTGAGCAGGTTCTCGGCTGACCGAATCGGGCCCCTGTTCCGGGGAAGGAGACTGGCCTTTTCGACAGTCCTGATCTGGTTCATGTGGACCACAATCGGCATGGGATACCCCCTTTTTAATGCGTTTCTACCCCAGTATCTGAGTAACTCAGGCGGCGATACGCCCACCTCTACCAACATCGTCTACCGGAACTATGTTATCACCAGTGTCGTCGGTGTCCCAGGAAGTATTCTCGCCTGCTACACGTAAGTCGTGTACGGATGATGATGGTGAGACCGACTTACTGACACATGCCTGTATAGTGTTGAGATCAAGCACATCGGTCGCAAAGGTACAATGGCGATCGCTACGGCTATATCTGGTGTTTTCTTATTCCTCTTCACGACAAGCACAAATGCGGACGTGCAGCTCGTCTTCTCGAGTCTGGAAGCGCTCTTTCAGAACATCATGTACGGTGTGCTCTACGCATATACCCCCGAAGTCTTCCCCGCACCAAACCGCGGCACCGGTACTGGTACGTTTACCTATGCTCCCCCTTGCCTGTCGTGGAAATGATGGTGTACATCCCGAGTTGCCGCCCTCGGACGCCTTTGAATCGGTGCAAAGCTGACTGTAGGAAACAGGGATCGCCTCTTTTCTTAATCGCGTTGCAGGACTATGTGCGCCAATAGTGGCTGTACATGCCGGGCAGGCCAACCCGGTGGCTCCCATCTACGCGGCGGGTGGGCTATTCCTCGCCGCCTTCGTGGCTATGTGCTTATTACCCATCGAGACAAGAGGAAAGCAGAGCCTTTAGAGAGAGGTCATCGTTGGATATAGGACCGTGTCCTGCACACTTGTTTACTGTGTAAGGTTCCAGTGTCTCACTCTGCCACCAATATACCCAACAGTCAAGTCCACCTTAGAGCGAGCACGCTTTCTATGGCCCCGTATGGTGAAAAGCGATGCCTCGGGGAGACGAAAGCAGTTGACTCCGCCTGAGAGAAGTCAACAACTACGCTGGTCTGCAGCTCAATGTGACAGTAACTCCTGCAGGCCGGGGGCTGACATTACATTGCAGCTCGCGAGTTTGCTGGGGACCGATGCAGCCCCCTTCCGACCTTTCAGCCAACTACATCCCACCCCTTCAACACGTGCTCAAACATATCTTCAAAGACTCGTGTACGTGCCAATGTCTGTCTTCTATACTCCGCTCCATCGTAACCAGATACGGTTGCTCACCACTGAGCCCGCCACGGCCAGTGCCGTTCGAACAGCACTCATCCACTGAGAATTGAGCACGTTCAGCTGCCTTCCGAGCCCGGGCCCGGACCAGCGATTCGCAGGAGGTGACTTTGCTTGGCCTGAGCTACAAACCAAATGCGGGATCGGAGACATTTTCAAGTCTGGCATAGGTCCAGATTGGAGGGAGCAACTCATTAGTCTCTCTGTGTCGAGGACAGCGTCCGTCTCTGCCACAATCGACGACGACCTCGCACGGAGGTATCCCTGGGGCGATATACATCGCCCTCTCCTACATATGGGCTCTAGGAAATGTGGCAACACAGCAATAGACAAGTATTGGGATTTTATGACTCATACCTGGGCCAGCCACTCTTGCAAAACTATAAGATAGACCAGCCACATAGCAAACTATATCTCAGCCCTTATCGCCCACACATGGACAGCCGTGTAGGATATATATACACTTGTCCCTCATAAGTCTCCGTACGCTAGCCCCAACTCAATCTTCTGACCAAAACAACAACGCGACACCCTCATCTTGCGATAATTCATAATAAAATCAATTCGCTATGGGTATTAACGAAATAGGTACCGTTTTGAGCAGCACTCGTCAGACGAACGGCGAATTTATCTCGGAGACGCGTGCAGGCATTATCACGGCGCGCGCGGAGGGCCGCAATCGTAGGGTTGTCGCACGCGCCTACGGCATGGAACGCGTCGAAACCATCTCTAAAATTTGCTCGCGTATTAATACTACCAAAACCACGCGCACTGCACGAAGGAAGGGAACTCTTAGGCTTCTTTCGCATGGGCAAGAACGCCATCTAATTGATTTGGTGCGGAGGTTCCCTCGTCTCTCGTGGGAGGCGCTCAAAGCCAAAACACGCATTACCTGCCACACAGAGACCATCTTGAGGGCTCTCTGCCGCCATGGCCTCAATAAATGGCGCACAGCGAAACGAATCTCTCTCATAGAGGATGACGCCATGAAACGGCTTGCTTGGGCACAAAAATACCACATACAGCGCGCTCAAAAGGAGTTGATAATGGCCCTCTTCTCTGATGAATGCACCATCCAGAATGATCCCGATAGACCTGGCGAATGGGTCATCCGCTTCTCCAATGAACGGTACCGCAAGGATCTCATGAACCCACAGATCCACGGGAGAGCTTGTATTTCGATAATAATTTGGGGTTTAATATGGTTACGTGACGACAAAGATGGCCTAGGCAAGCTGGTCTTCTGCGAAGGAGATCCAGATTCATCACGCGGAGGAGTCTCTGTTAGGCGCTATCAACAGGTCCTGAAGGAAGGTTTTCTTCCGTTTTATAAGATAAGGGACCCTTTTCAGCAAGATAATGCTCCTATGCATGTCAAAAGAGACTTGCCAGAGTGATTAGAGGAGCACGGGATCTGGACTATCGACTGGCCTCCTCACAGCCCCGATTTGAACCCCATCGAGCACGTTTGGGCAGCTCTAAAGAATAAGATAAGGGGAATAGAGCCTCGCTTTTAAGACCTAAAGGACAATATCGCTCACCAGGCATGGGCTAAAAAGATAATCCAAGCCGCGTGGTCGGAGTTGGATCCTGACCTCCCGAAGAAGCTCATCAGATCTCTCCCCAATCGGATTGCCGCAGTGATCCGGGCGCGCGGCTGGTACGACCACTACTAAACCGCTATCAAATAAATATTTTGTTATAATTTTCGGCCTCGTGATGCCTTCGCAATTGAGCAGTGAATGTGGTGGTGATGGTGTGTGGATAGGTGTTAGATTTCAAAGTGTTCTATTAAGGAGAGGAATTCCAGCTACTCTGGAGCGGCCAGAGTGGCCCTATATATATCCAAGATACTAAAGGAAAGGATACGTGGCCTTATATTGGCCACGTATGTGACACCGGAGACGACCAAGATCGACGCGCGTCTCCGTTCGTCGTCTGCACCACGTATTTATCCGAGTCCACTTCGGAAAGAGGTATACAAAGCCCAAATTGCTTTCCAGTCCTAAGGTACTGGAAGAGGGTGTGGATCCTGCAGGAGGATGCCATGGCGCGACCCGAAGCACAGGTGGTCTATGGAAACGTCTGCATATCGTGCAATGAGCTCCGCGAGGCCATGTCGTTCATCGCCGCCGACGAGGGCCAGTTCGGGCGCGAGAAATTCGGCAGAGTACGGCCACGGCTGCTGAAGTCGTGGTCATTTGAATTTGCGAGGGACAGGTCTGTGGTGGAGCGAGAATGGTTATCCGAGCGGATGTGGAAACTGCGCATGGTGATGATGAGCATCCAGCGGGGCCAGAGGCGGACCGATTCGCCTCTAGATGCGGATGATGCGCTGCAGCCACTTCTCTTGGTGTCAAAAGTCGAGCACACGGAGGAGAAAGATCGCGTCTGTGGTTTCTGGGCATGAGGGCGGTGGCGGACAAGGGTTAAATCGTACCCGACTATATATTGTCATCTTTACAGATGTACCAGGACTTTTCGGCCGAGCTGATGTCGGAAGGCAGTGAAAGGCGCCACCGTGCACATAATGCCAGGGCCGCCCTCTGGAAGACCATCGTGGGGAACACCCCGGCGGAGGGCGGCACGCAAGCCCCGGACGAGGACTCATGGCTCCTAAACCCGACCGTCTGGTTCGGGGACGTGGCCGGGGTCTATACCAACGGCTTCGGCCTCAAGGAGGTCATGGGCCGCAATAGGGGCTTGCTTCTCTGAGGCTACTCACTTGAGAAGCTTTTGGGGGGCTCTCGGCCATCTTGGTGGCAGAAGTCGATTTATGAGTTCACGAAGACGCAGGGCGAGGCGTTGTCATGGGCTATGAATGCTATGGCTTGGAGACGGCGGTTAGGTACCGAGAAGGGGAGATTCGGCTTGGCTTGCTATGTGTATGGATTGATGAAGGAGAGGCGCTCAGTGGCCAAGGCCAGTTGAATACGATCAAGCTTGTCTGAAAATAAATACTTGTGTGCAATTGACTGGGTTACCTCACGAAGCTGCGCAAGCTGTACGAGTTGAGTGATGACGTGCTTCCACCGGGTGTTGGGCGCACGTTTGAAAAGTGGCGAAGCAAATGGATCATTTGTTGATTGGTAGGTTGGTTTTGTGTGATCAAGATTGGTTGGTCACCGTATAAAATAGAGCACTGGCCCCTGCCAGGATTTCGTATCCCATGCCGTCCACCTGCACCATTCAGCTCACACCATCTCGAAGACCAAGATGAGTAGCAGGCCATTCATTTCTACTTGGACCAAGTTCAAGGGCCCAACGTCCGGAGCTCTTGATCCATCTATATTCGCGCCACTCTTTGCGAGTAACATTGAAATCCAAGATGCCCGATACGGCCGCATTGCCGAATCGCCAGGCGAATACATGCTCGTTGTAATATGGCCTACGGAAGCCGACTACAAGCGATTCATGGAGTCAGCCCAACACGACTCTTTACGCGTGCGCCTCAAAGCGGAATCTCCTGACGAACCTACGACGCAAGTTCTCGACTTCGGCAACATGCTTTACTGGCACCACTTCGGAGTAAACACCGAATTCCGCACCGTCTATTTCCCGAACACTACCCTGCCTGCAACTCGCGACGCCGTACGCAGTCTCAAAGGCCTTGTTACTACAGCGGGACACGGGATCGGCGGAGACTTTGCTCACATGTGTCCTTACAGGTGTGTGCCCACCAAGGGGTGGGTGGACGCCGAGCAAACATGGAACGAAAGGAAGACAGTCGCTTGCATCTGGGTACACAACTGGAAGGACGAGGAGAGTGAGAAGAAGTTCAAGGCTACGGGGAGGCGAATGCCTAAGTCTGAAGAGGATTATCAGCCGCTAGCGTTGGAAGCCTTCGAGGGGGAATTGGAGGACCTGGGGGCATTAGCGTGGGAGGACATTCACGTTGATTTCCAGAAAGTGCCTCGTATGGTAGGAGCCTAAAGAATGGACTATGGTCCCGATCTCCAATCTTTCTAACGCAGCGTTCGCAACTGTCGCGCCCTCGTGAAACATACACCAGACATTGAAAACGCCGCCCAGGTCAGTCCTTCTACGCCAGCCACACATTGGATGGCAATCGTTCCTTGTCTGCTTGAAACCTAGCCAAGAAGTCTTTGTCCAGTACGGATTCGGCTCGCTTGGGAACCGCTGGTGGTGGCTTTCTCACCGAGTCTGTATTTGCGAAAGTGTACTGTGTTATCTGCCCCAAGTGATATGCGAGAGCATATATCGTGAAAGACTCCGGGTTTTTGACGGCAACGGGCGTCGGATGGCTGGTGATGTCTAGTAGATCGTCTAAAAATCGAGTTAGATCAGATGACTTGGAAGATCCAGGTTGTGGTCACTTACATGTCTCGGGATTAGTGGCCTGTGTACCGAGTGCAAGATGAAACATTTCGTGGAACAAATTCAGCGATTGGACTTGTAAAGTTGAAATAGAGACTCCATCTCCCGGATCCAGAGGAATAGTTGCCAGTGTTGCTCCCTCATGGCCTGGGAGGTTGTTGACGCAGAGCGTGATGGTACTGGGTAAGGTCTGATCTTGAGTAGCCGCCGAGTTACCTGGTTTCGAGCACCAGTCGCCAGGTTGGCCTGTCACATATTCCACAAGGTCCTCTGACCAGAAAGGTACTATGTGGAGGTTTAGCCTGGGGTTCTGTACCTACGCATCATACACCGTCAACCGGAGACACTCACCTTCTCCTTTTGGCTTCACCAGTACTTGCTGGATTGTCCTCCTATTGGCGTAAGGATTACCTGTCCTCGCATTAATCGCCACATCTGTCCATTTCTTCTCTGATATCATATGATGTTAAACTAGAAGTTGTGTACAAGTCTCCAGAGGGGTATGTTCACTGACGTTTCAACCAGTCGCTGCTGCAGAAGAGCCAGGGTTTGCCACCAGGAGGCGTTGTGCCGCCAAGGACCTGTTGAACTAGTCGAATCGGATCTAAGAACGTGTACAGCTTAGTATTGGAACGGTAGCAAGGGCGTGGTGAAGAGGCATACCACCTGCCTGCTTCGGGTCATCGTTCGGGCCAATACTGAAGAATGTTTCGATGTATTTTCGACTGTCTGGGTCTGTGGCCGCTGCACCAGCAGCTGCAGAAGCTGCAAGTGTCTGCGCGTCGGAGAACCAAGCATCGATATTCGTTCCATCACAGCCTCCGTCAGTTGTTCCCGATTTGATATTGAATACACTATGGATATTCCCACGGACGGGTGGAGTGAGAACACCAAGCAATAAGGCGAGACATGCCAGCCGCGCAACTGAGGACGTGAACATCAACATCAAGGACATGATCTCAAACGATATAGAAAGCCAAGGCTATGAATCGGGTAGACAGCTGAAAATATCTTTGGAAGTAACACTGACGGGGTAGAACTGATGCTCACAGCAGATGTGAATTGGAGGCTGGGTTCGTCTTCGACTTACATCGCGCTGAAGACAGGAGACACACGGAGAACATATACTTGAGCTCAACAGAGCTGCTGGGACGAGAGACGCCTCAGAGCCTGCCACTCTATAGATTATGGTTGTTTAAAATACAATTGATGACGCAGAGCTACACGGCACAGTCTCCCGCTCAGCGAGCTCTTGTGACGTGCTGACCTGCTTGAGCATGGATAAGATCATCGAGAACACCAGTTTTCCTCCCAATCGCATGAGACAAGAATAGGCCATGCACTGATTCTGCTCTTCTTTCCATCAGCTACGACGTCACCCACCTGCATCCGTTGTTTCTGTTGATCCTGCGAGTTGATCTTTCGTCCCCCCCTTTGCCCCTGAACCAAACGAAGGATATTTTTTGGAGCCAACATCTCAGTCCTTGAGAGTGATCTTCTCTCTATGGCCTGGCTGTGTAGTACATCAAGGGTGCGAATCCTGTACGGCTCGCAGAGATGATGCAAATTCATAGCGATCGGAAGGAATCGGACGTTGGAGTTTCACTTGGGCTGACCCGGCTGAGGCTGATCTGCTGCAGAACAACCAACAGCCTCCAACCAACAGTCGACACTCCGATCCTTCTTGTGCGGCGATGTTCCGCAACCTGTACCGTGCTTTCTATGGTTCAATACACGTCGTTTCGTCGACGCTTGTCCCGGAAGCTCCTCAGCTACGTCGGAAGGGTGCAACCCAAGAGAAGTGACGTGGTCAGACAGCCTGAGTACTCGAGCTCACAGACTCGGGAGTCGGGACGTATAAAGTAAAAGACAAAGGTTTCAACTGACAAGCCTAAACGATCCGAAGCCAAATCGATACTTCTTCATTTCGAGGTGTGCCACTCATTGCACTCTACATCTGTCTCCCACATCAAGCTTGAGCTCTCAGAAGGGACTCGGTCGACAGCCACGTGATACAATATGGAGCACATGCGACGGCACCCGTTCTTGACATTCCTCATTTCTCAAGCCCTTCTTCACGGTACGATGAGTGGCGAAGTTCCAAGCGGACGCATTGGACCTCACCCGTTCCAGCCTCCGGACATGCCTACCATCCGCGAAGCTTTTTGAACACGACGTTCACCTTGCCAAGCCTGACGTCGTCTTCGCCTTCTTCATCAAATCCATCCCAGCCGCCATCTTTGACCACATCGGACTTTGATATGTCGAACACAGTATCATCTCCACCCCCCACCACGACTTCCTCAACATCTTTGTTCACATCGGACTTTGATATGTCGAACACAGTATCATCTTCATCCTCCACCACGACTTCCTCAACGAAGACGTCGCCCCCCATACTGATTACGTTTCCGCCGCCAACACACGTGTCGACGTCAACTTTGACCTCCGTCACCACCAATACGCACACGAGGATTGACGGTACCGAGGTACCCGTGTTGCATAGCTGCTCATTTTGTCCCCCTGGTGAAGAGGGAGTGGCTCTTTTCGGAATTTCCGACGATGCAGGCGTATACCCGCCTCCGCCCAACCCGCCTGTCCGGGATTTCCCATCGTGAGCACCACCCGTAGGCTCAACTGAACATAATCTTTTTCTAACAAAGGGGCAGAATTACTGTTGGCAGCAATGGGAACCCTACCATCGATTCAACAGACGACAAGCCAACAGACGACCCTACAACGAAGCAGACCCAGAGTCCCTCTACCACTACGGTAAGTTCGCAGACCCTCCTGATAAAGATTTTTCGCTAATGAAGGTTAGGCGTCTTCGACTACCCAAACAAGCTCATCCAGCAGCTCCTCCAGCACATCGAGTTCCCTAACGACTGCCGTCGCTATAACTTGGGAAGATTGGGGCAGCACCTAAGAGAGCCCGAGCGAAGACGCCCAAGCAGCAGCAAATGCGCAGTCAAAGATCGACGCCGCATTTGGCACCGCTTCCTCATCTTCGATCATTTCCATTCCGAGCTCACTGCCCTCTTCAACTCGGACTATGACCCGGGGTGCGTCCTCGACTACGATGGTCACCACAACCTCCATGCCGCCTGCAGTCACGTCACCTCGGTGCAATGAAGACAACAACAGCTTGATAGGCGTGAATGTGGAGCCGGCGTCTTGGTGCTTCTGCGGAAACAATGGTCCATTGTCGCCAGTACCTCACGCAACAACGAGTTACTGTGCCTTTTCCACTCTGCCGTCCGAGACCATCTCGTTGACTTCACAATCGACGACGTACCCTAGCGGATGCCAGGTATCTTCGTGAGTTGGCCCCGCTGTCCCCGAACACCTCAGAGCCCTGGCATACTACGTCCCATGCGTAATGATCATAACTAACCGACACAGGACCTTCTACACGGGAGGCGGCCCGACAGGACCATATACGTGGTGTCAATGCGGACCCACGATGCAGCCCTTCCAAACGAGCACAACCACTTCGGACACGAACGAGATCGTATGCTACGGGTGCTTCCCTTGGGTGACACTGTCTGTTTCAACGACACAGCTTCCGCCGCCACCGACTACCACAACTACAGACTCTTCCGATATTGGTGATGTGCCACCACCCATTTGCCAGAACGAGATTGCGGAGATTGCGGGGATTGGGTGTGACATTGTCTAGCTGGCGACACTATCGCCACTGGCACATGTTCGAGCAGTGAAGAAGGGCAGCAAGGGGTGTGTGGGTGCTGATTCAGTTGCTGTCGCCACGCTTCTCACAGCGTATGTATAAATACAAACAGTGATATATAGAATAACCTTGTAATGAAATTCGTGAAGTCATGCCTTTCAGGAGATCAACCAGATAGGCACACCACTCATACACATAACGGCGTGAGATATCTGCAAAGCTTCTGAAGGAGATCATGAACGACCCTCTACCCCTGTATGCCACGGGCCCAGGAGCAAGCGGAAGAATCCCTAACACTTAATGGGCAAGTTTCAAATGGTTCTTGGATGGTTCATATGGTTGATTTTCCTGTATTCGGTGCTGGTTGTGTTGTCCTGGAGTTGTTGTTGTGGCCAATTAACCCCAAAATGCCTTAATAGCCCCTAATAAGTGCACTACCACCTCCTGACGCCACGGTGGCTTGCGTGCCACACAACAGCAAGACGACAAAAGCTCAACTCAATTGGCCTTTGTACAGGCTGCACTGCGGCGTTGAGGTCGGGTTATCTGTGAGTTTGCAGTCAACGACGAGATCGAACTTCGGCGGAGCTTGGCCAGCCCGCTGAGCAATCCAGCTTAAATCGGCTTGCAGGCGTTGCTCATGGGTGCCTCGAGCATGACGCGCAGCATGACTTGTCAAGTAATTAGGCTGCACGGCGATCTGGGAACCGGTGCAACATTCGCCAATAAGCAGTACGTCATGAATGATGCACTGTGGATCGTAGACGTGATGGGACGGGGACGAAGGGGAATCCGAAAAAGAAAAAAAAGACATACCCGGGTGGACTCGAACCGGCGTCTTTTGCTGCTTACAGACGGGATCGTGAACAAACGGGCTGGACCACTACCCCACGGGAATGCAAGAATTTGGAGCATAATAAACACCGTATAGCAAGGAAGTTCGCAATGGCCCTTCTCTGAAAGTCTATTTCGGGGTGACTCATTGGTCTGGCTTGCCGTTATCAGAGTCAAGAGGCGCTGTGGATTGTGACCGGCTTCAGACGGACTGTGTGCTATCTTACTTTAACAAGGATGACCACAGAAGTTTATCTTGAAAGCGTTTGGGTCGATTCACTGCTATCACGCCCGCGAGCCTGTGCCAGTGGAAGTTCTGCTGCTGTAGAATGCCATGTAACTTACTACTACAGCAGAGTCCATAGCTCATAACGACCAGTTTGTGTTCCAGCGAGATTGGTTGCTACATAGTACTCCAGCATTCATGTACGAGCGTATCTCGTGGCTGATCTTGTGGCTTGATGGTTGTGCACTTATATTGACACTAGATATTCGTAGGCGTCGTTGAACTCGCGCGGATCGATCTGCTACTGCTTCAATAATGCGCGCAAATGCCGGCGTACGGGGCCGCGCCAGGCCTACCGTGTCCCCCGGCGCTGTGGGCTGCTCCGCTGGCGTCTTCATGTAAGGTAATGTCACGTGCACCCCAGGAAGAAGACGACGGACGTGGCTTGAAGATATCTGGGCCCCTTCAATGGCATTGTTCAGCCTGATCACCTGGCTGAAATGATATCGGCACAGTACTACAGTACTCGTCGCTACCTATGGACTTTAGGCCAAACGTCTACGACGTCTAGAGAACACGGCTTGAACACTTGCCTCATACTCGGTGATCAGGACATCAGCCATTCGCCGCCATAGCCCACCGGCCGTCGTTAACTCAACAGCTACCCCAGGTTCACTAGACATGACAATAGCTCAGAGATACAAGATACTAGATTTCATTGATGAACTACAATATGTCTGGACCGAGCGCCATGAAGCGCAATCGTCCGTTCGGGCAAGCCTATCAGAACTGCACATCACAACCGCGCCGTTCCAATTTCTCTCTCGAGACCACCAACATCCGACAGGAAGGAAGACCAAAACAACCAACCCAAGCAGAAGCAGCACGTCTCTCAAATGGTCGCACCACACCAAGCCAAAAGCCCCCAGTCTCGCTCCCCTTTGTTTGCCAGGGTTATCGAGTTGTCTCGTCACCATGGCTCCCGCACCTTCTAATAGGTCTTATCCAAACGCAACTGCGCCCGAGAGCTAACAGCCCGTGCACTGGCTTCGGATGCGGTCGCCACTTTCACTGAATACACGCTGTGTCACCTAAGATCGGATGGAAGAACTCCCCGGCGTGCTAGGTTCGGATCGCCACTGCGAGAGAAGGAGGTTAGTTCGTCTTGGAAGAAGTGGGAGGTTGTTCGGGTACATGTCTCGAGAGATATGCCTCGTGGGACAAGACAGGGTCGGACGTGGTACCGAGACATGGTCCAAGTGGGGTGGGAGAGGGGAAGGGTGGAAGGGAAATGGTACTCACTATAGGCCACGAGCATACCTCCCCGAAACCCTAAACCAGAAGACTGGCCGGATAACGGAGGTTCAGGGACTCGACATCCACCGCACTTCGGGGATCGGACGCGCCCCGCTTTCGCGGTCGGCCGACGTGCCTATGCGGTGGCGTGAGTATAATTACGTGTTGTGGAGCAGGGGATTGATAAGGAGGCCCTAGTTCGGTGTGGCGATCTAAGAGGAGGTCAGCCGATGGGCAAAGGGGAGGAGGACCAACCGCGTGTACCCGCCCCTGACCCTTGAAGCCAGGTGTAGATGATGAAGAATGATGTTTCTGGATGGCGGGTGTGGGTTAGCCGAGTGGCAGCGAGATGGAGCTAGTGAGGACGAACCTTGGAGATGATGTACAACTCATGAGGATGCGCACGCCATTGGGAGGGATGGCAGTTTTCTGGGAGGTGTTAGCTTGGAGGCACGAAAGATGGTGATGGTAGGAGATGAGGGCGGTACGGACCTGGTATGCCTGTGAAAGTGTCGACGGTTAGCAATGCATCATGGGCTTGGGTGGTGTTGGCCTGCACGGAAAGGAGTGACTCAGCGCCTATCTGAGCGCCATTCAGCTGCGATGGTGAAGGTGAATGGAGAGGAGCATGCGACGCTGCCGAGGAGAAGGTGATGTACCTTAGTGTGCAGAGTAGCACTGATGGAGGAGCAGTCTGTCGGGAGAGGGAATCGCGAAGAGGGCGCGGTAGAAGGAGGAGAGGTAGAAGGAGGAGAGCTGAGAGATGAGAAGAGGGCGAGAGGATACATGTAAGTGAGGTGGTGATTGGTGAGTACTATTGAGGTGTTGGAAAGGTGGCGCGAGGAAAAGGTGACGCGTGAAAAAGCCGACGCGTGGGAAGGGCGGTGGGAGGACGAGCTGGTGGGAGGAAAAGCTGGTGGAAAGATAAAAGTGATGGTTGGAAAGGATGACGTGAAAAAGGTGATGCGAGGAAGCTGGTGGGAGGAAAACATGATTGGAGCAAAGGACGATAGGGAAAAGGTGATGGAAAGGTGGCAGGTGATCTGGATGAAGGGAATTGTGGGCGTAGGGTTGACAAGAAACAGAGGTAGGAGTGGTGGTGGAAGAAGTGCTGGAGGAAGTGCTGGGATGGAGGGGCTGGGAGACCTGGGGTGAAGAAATTTCGACGTGGGTGAAGGAGGGACTCCTCAGGCATGGAGAAAAGGTGCATCAGGTGTAGAATCAGAGAAGACTTACCGACCTTTCGGCTGCCACCTGGGCGGGTCACTGTGTTGCTGATCGAGGGCGCGTTGTTATGTTGACGGGAAAATACGTAACCCGCAGGACGCGTGCGCAACAATCGACCGACATCTTCAGGCACGAGATAGGTGTGTTGGAAAGGTGACCCCGGCAGCTGATGCCCTGTAGTGGAAGTTGTTGTCAACAAGGCAGCAGCAGCATTCATCTCGCGTTGTTGGACTACTTGGGCTGGTGCCACCAGAAGTGGGTGTGGTATCCGTGGTAACACATCCCATAGCATCCAAAGTGAGTGATGCAGGCCCACGTCCTCATGCAACTCAAAACTGGAATCACCTTTCCAAATCGATGTCAGTTCACCTTAGTGCGATCGATGCGCGCGGACCGAATTTGCATGCATTGAAACTCGTGGATAGTGAGAAACCCCCTTTTCAACCCGACTGGCGCAGCGACGCGTTGAACGCACACTACAACTGAAGGACTACTCAAGGGAAGAAACGAGACCAGACTACATGACCTTGGTCTGTGAAGGCTTGTAGGAATGCACAGAATGTACTGTCCGTGCCGGGATCGATAAGGATGGATGAACACTGTGACAGAGCCAGCATTGCCCGAAGTAAATCTCCAAGTGACGTAGAGTGAGATGCTATATGTATTTCGCGGAAGGGTCGAACTCGAGTTCGTGAGAATCGCCAAGCAGCTCAAATCATCCCCCATTCCCCCCGCGGGGTCTGGCCATACCCAACTAACAGAGCAAGTCATCCAAAGGGCCAGCGGGCAGTGGATTCTTGCATCATAGCAGTACTATGTATTTACTCTACGACCCTGGAAGCCGCGAACACAATAAGCATAGTGTGGGCAAAACCGGAATCGCGGTGACAGCGGTATGGACGACTCAGCGTTGTTGTCTTGATAATGGTCTATCTACTGTCCGTTGGCAGCGTTTATACACCAAATAAGTGGGGTGTGGCCCATGGCCACGACACCCCTGCTGCCACACTCATACTGGCTACATACAAAGGTGGATTCTGCCCACACATAGCATGAAAATCACGAAGGAGTCAATAGAGTGTTATCTTAGAAATGCTAGTATTACAGTACGGTGGTCGCCGTGGTGCTTCAGCACTGTTGCTATGAGAGAATTACCTAAGGTACTAACTTACCTCTGAGTGGCTACTTGGCCTTTTCGACCGAACTGGAGTGTTCAGGAATGATACCTCGATGGCTAGACCTTACAGGAGGCTGCCAACCGGTGGCGTTTCTGTCCATTAGAGGCGGCGGGAAAGCTTTTCAGAAGTGACACGCAAACCCACATCTAAGCGCAAAACCACATCTTTGCCTGCACCATCGAGTTCTGGCAAGATGGTCGATATAGTTGTATTCCGCGATATCTCCGCCATGATCGTAGAAGGGGCTCTCGCAGTCAAAGAACTGCAGTTGCTCGCCCTTTGCAAGCAGCCCAAGGCCTTCGGCGACCTCTCGCGGTGTCTTCCCATTACCATCCACGCAGGACTCCTCCCAAGGCGACAATATGGTCATAACAGCGTACGCGCGGGCTTTGGCATCGTCCATCAAGGCGAGGGATTTGTTCCCGATCACGCGATCGAGGGCGGCCGCGGTAAGTGTCGGATGCCAGACCTTCTTCCGTAAGATACGGAGCCTATGCGTTGACCCCTCCGCGTAATAGCTGTCCTCGAGTACAGGTGATATGTGTTTCAGCAACTTGCGACGTAGTATGGGCAAGACCTTGCGGGCGACAGGACCTTTTGGCGAAAACGGCGAACCGAAAGCGCGGTGAGTTGCAGACCCAGACACACCTTGACCTAGCTTCGCTGGGTTGGCTCCCGAGTCTAACAGCAGCTTGATAGTCTCGAGGTCGCTGTACATGACTGCGTAGTGCAGCGGTGTCAAACCGCTGCCGTCTACAGCGTCAGGGTCTGCACCAAATTCGACGAGGGCCTTCATGAGGTTCGGCTTCCACAACTGCTCGGGCAGCATCTTGCCTCCGAAACATCTGGACACCAGCTGCCCCAGGCACGTCTGTCCCATTTCGTTGCGACGATGGACGTCGATGGTGCCACAGCCAAAGATCAACGACCATAGCTCTACCGAGTCTGTGGAGCATCGAACGCAAGCGAAGAAGATGTCCTCGATCAAAGTGTTGCCATCTGAGCTGTAGAGACCCTGCTCTATCCCCTCCATCGCGCCTTGTGTGATCAGGGTTCTTAGAGAGTTGCGAATACGCTCCTCGGGTATGTAACGAAGACAGTTTTCGGGCTCGGCCTGTTCAGACAAGTAGAGGAGTCGCTCGCCATCGACAGGAGCAGCTTGCAGCAGGTCCCACAGGGGCGTCGGCGCAGCATATCGCAAGCGGGGCTGGGTATCTTTCCTGCGAGGGCTGTAACTGATACGATCCCTTCTATGCCGGTGGCTGTATCCCTGTGGGTCGGTCACAAGCTCGACGCCTCCGAAGTCAAGCTTGGTTGCAGCTCGCGCGTCGGCGCCAAGCTCAAGCAATGTCCGGATGGACGAAGAATGAGTGTACAAGCAAGCGTAATTCAACGCGGTACGGCGGACGACGAGCCCCCGGCCGATGGTCCCTTCATCCAAAGCATCGACGTTTGCCCCAGCTTGGACAATGTATTCGAGGGTGGCTGTGGTACGCGGCTCTCCACGATCACCAAGGGGTCTGGATGCGGTACGTTGAAGAACCGTTGTCTTACGTGTTCGCTCGTCGTCATTATAAGGAAGAGACCAGAGCTGATCGAGGTCTGGCCCGTCTGGGTGGCCGGAGAGAAGTGCTTGGACCATGTCGTCACTCCGAGCCTTATCTATTAGTGCTGCGAAGTTGAGCCCGCCGTCTTCTTCTTTCTTAAGTCCTCTGAGCGTGCCGTGCTCAATCAGTAGCTTCGCCATACTAGGCAACTCGTAAAGCACTGGGTTGTATAGCATTGGATCGTGTAGGTCCCCCATGCGCCTCAATAAAGACTTATAGGTGGCCTGAGCCCCCGCCTCGAGCAGATATTTTACTACTGCTGTCGCTCTCGACGTCACCGCATAATGCAGGGGGGTTTGGCAAGAGAGATACCAAGTAAGCAATTCTTGTGGCAGATGAAGACCGCCGTTGGGGTCTGTCCTGGTCCACTCCATGTATTGTTGGACAAGATTCGCATTGTTGGCCTTTATGAAAAACGCCAACGCCGATGGGGTATGGTGGGTTTTCTGGAACCCGTGGTTGTCCCAGTGGCAGCGGATGGTGCTGTCCGTACACGGTAAGGTTTCGTGACTGCCGTCCACACACGGGAGGTTTAGGGATGCATCCGCGACCAAGAGCTGCCTGTATACACTCTGGTGGACGGCTTGGCAGGTGAGGGACAAGTTCAGGATTGTCCCCTGGTAGGATCCAGCCCACAAGTGCTCATTGATGAGGTAGAGGATGTCGCAGTTCAGCTTGAAAGCCGTTTTCGTAAGCTGAATTGGTAGGTGTGTTAAGGTATGGTTGGGTTTCCGAGTTTGTTGTTAGTTTAGTGAGTTTGATACCAGTTTAGTGATGCCGTCCTGCACATATTTATGTAGCAGCTCCGAAAAAGTGCTCTGTCCCGTTAGCCATTCTTCCACAATGCCTTGTATGCAAGGAGCAACATAGAGCAGCCTGTATTGAATCCCGAATGGAGTGAAGCCAGTCCTTTGTACCAGCGAATAATGATGTCACATTGTTCGCTTCAACGAAATAGGAAAACAAAGATCCAGGGCGAGAACAATGCCTCTGACTCATAGCCAGTGACTGTCACAATGTAGGTAAACAAAGCCCCTTCGAAGCATCGGTCAGGGCGTCGTCAAGTGCCGGCGGAGATTGGACCGAGGCTGATGATCTGTCGTAACATAGGGGTACCATGCAAGGCGTTGGCCATTGGTGTGGTACCCTGCGTCTCACTCGGGTGCTTCCGCTGGGGTCATCCCTGGGGTCATCCCTGGGGTCATCCCTGAGCAGGTATGGATAAAGTCATCCTTTGACTTCACCTTTTGTATCCCCAGACACATGCACTGCCCGTCGCAACCGTTTGGAAGGTGAATCCATCATGGACGCATATGAATGTGACAATTGCGGCATCCAGCCTGAAGAAGACGACGACCCGGATCTGTCGCGCTGCAATGGGTGCAAGATCGCGTACTACTGCGACCGAACTTGCCAGAAGGAACACTGGCCCGAGCACAAGGCCGAATGCAAAGATCCGGAGTGGCGCGCCGCGAACGCGAGGTTTGGAGAAGCGAAGGAGAAGAAGGCGGCACGGCGACGTGAGGCGATACAAGAGAGAGACCGCAATCGTGGAGACGACAGGGGAGACGCGAAAGGCATGGGATGCCCGCGTGAATGAACAGCCGAGCGCAAATACTAGCTGGGCTGTGTTCCAGCGAAGAGCCAGAAAGAGGAAGGGGAACCCGCTGGAGTATCGGCGCGCCGATATGCCAGGTGATCAGGTGTTACGGTTTGATGACAAGAACGTCCTTGAGGCTGGCAAGTTCATGAAGGAAATCACCAAGGTCGTGTTCGCGCCCGGTATGGGCCTCACTGAGTGAGCCGCGTCTGTCATGTCGAAGGAGTTGTAACGCTAACGATTTTCAGCTCGGATGTTGACACCATCATGACTGTCGACCTCGACGTACGATCGGGAATACGTGTATTTGTTGCCGGAGACCCATTGTGCCCTGACAAGAAGACAGTAGCGCTCGATGTCACCGATGCAGGCGTCAAGAAGCTCTGCCAGGCCTTGCCAAACCTCGAAGTCGTAAAGCTCATGTCCACACGCAAACTTGGCGGCAGGGCATTTCCTGAAATCATTCTGGGTTGTCACAACATCGAAGCGGTCACCATCACGGCACAGAAGGGTAGCAAAGCCAACCTGGACGAGGGCGACTTCCTGAACGAACTCATCGACAAGGAATATCGCACGAAGCTGCGATATCTCGACTTCCGCGGTGTCCACCTTAATAGGGAACATCACAACTTCCTGAGGTTCCTGACGAAACGCAGGCCAGCTTTGGAGATCGTCTTTCAAGATGGGCAGACTCCCGCGGTGCTTTTTCGGGACATGAACTCGGTGCCGCTCTCCAAGGTGCCGAAGCAGACCGCTAAGAAAGAAGGCGACGATGATGACTCGGAGTCGGGAGACAAAAGCGATGAAGAGGCCAGAGAGAAGCGAAGAAGAAACGCCAGGGCTCTGGAGCTCGCTGGGCGCCGTCATGCACTGAGTGACGCCCTTGGACGTCCCTTGTATGAGGGCGAGATGGACTATGATAGTGGCCAAGATGAGCTATCGGATCCTGACGACGATGGCATCGATGACGAAGAATACGCACAGATGATGGCTATCTTCCGTCAGATGGACGGCTTTGACGATGAGGAGGACGATGATGACTATTATTATTGATCGCAGGAAAGAGGGCCGGACCTTGGGTGTGTTACGGGGTGTTTCTAGTATGTGCAAATCGTGTAGATGCTGGTTGGGTCTTTCCTGTTTGTAGGTGTCGACCTCCATCATACAGGAGGATGTAAGGAAGTGAGAAGGCGTCAAGGTTAGAAACATGGCCAATCTGCTTCGGTGATTCACCCAAGTCATCACCTACCGTCGGAGTTGACTCTATCATTGCGATAAGGGGGAGATGTGATAAACGAGTTGAGAGAAGCTTGGGCCACCCTGCAGGAATACGAAGCTTCGGCGGGGAAGCTGCAAGTGCCGACGTCCAAGCTCCCGTCTCATCGAGCTTTCCCGGAGTGACGGGATTGTGGGGCTGTCGTAGCTGGAGCTGGAGCTTCAGTCTCACAGACCTGACAGACGCCCGACCTCTCTGCCTCTCTAAACACTGACAACATCGGACTACGAACATATGTACAATGCTCTTCTGACATGCTGTGAATCACCACTGTAGAGCGCTGATAGCTCTCGACTTCCCACCCTCGATTGACGCCCATTCTTCCACCGTTAAATCCATTCTCGACATCCACCATGACCCGCAACTACATCGCGAAGCTCGGTCGACTGGCCAGTCGCGGCCTCACAGCCCGCGGCCTCGCTGCCTCTTCTGCCACCTACCGCATGCCGTTCTCGAGAGCATCGAACACCGCCGCCGCGCGTCTGACGTTCCGAAGCCACTTCTCTACCAGCCCGCAGCTTGCCAAGCCTCTGGAGCCTGACGTCTTGAAGGCGGCCCGCCCCGCCGACTTGACCGACGCCGAGTACCACGAGCTGGCCGACGACTACCTCGATCAACTTCTGGCGCAGTACGAGAAGCAGCAGGATGACAGTGGACACATTGACGTCGAGTACAGCGTAAGTTCGCGCCTCTGGCCGTCCCATACTGCTTTCACTACCGCAGTCACTCCAGCCTCTGCCATCGCTAACCCCATCTCGACCCCAGGCCGGTGTCATGCACGTCAACATCCCCGAAATCGGCGAGTACGTCCTCAACAAGCAGCCGCCCAACAAGCAGATATGGCTGTCGTCGCCCAAGTCCGGCCCGAAGCGGTACGATTACGTGGTCCTTAGCGAAGGCCAAGATCAGAAGCAGGACACGGCCTCGGGCGGCTGGTACTACCTTCGAGACGGCACTTCCCTGACGGAATTGCTGGTCGAGGAAACGGGAATCGATCCGATAGTGCCGCCGGTCTGATCGAAATGAGCGACTTTGCAGTGATATTGCAGGGTGACCGGTCTCTGGGAGAGACACTGCGATACTGGCAGAGAGGGATGCCGTTCTCTTGCATGAGTTTACGATACGGACTGTATGATATGTTGCTTCGGGGATTACTACCGAGTCTTTGCCGCAGGGGCCTTTTCTGTGCTTTTACCCACTGATACTCGACGAGATATTCGTCTGAAAACCATAGGGGGAATTACCCAGAACAGCAAAGCCAGATCGAATGGTGTGGTGATGACTTTCAGGTACTGTCGACGTTGGTGCTGTGCGATCTCCTGCTCGTCAGGGGTGTCAGCCACCCCGAAGGCATGGGTTCGTAGTAATCCCCGGCGGTTTTGCCATGGTGCCTACCCTGGTAGCTGAATCTTGGTCGCCTGTCAGGCAACACATCAGGCATGACTTGTCTGGTACTAATCACATGTGTTTGGTAACACGTCGGACATGTCTTCTACTTTCTGCTGTGCTCCAGATATCACTTTCCATCATCATCAGGTCAGGACTCATCCGTCCTACGTAATAGGAGCCGGCCTTGGATCAGCTAAGACATCCGCACGATACGCTACTACCTGACTACCTGGACGCGTGGAAGTTGGAACAACATCGGTGCACTTATGCCCACGCTACCACGAGCAGGCTAGGCACACAGCCGGATACCCTATATGCATGAAATCGGTCCGCACCTGGTCGCGGGACAGTCAGCCGGTGCTGGCAATGACGAAGCAGAGATATTCCGCGGTCCTACAGACGACCTTGGTACTTGTGTAAGATCAGAAGCCATCATATCAATGCATGTGTGACGCGCTGTCACACGCCACACATGCAGAACGTCCTTGGCTCCTCGCAATTCTCTCCGGTACATCGCATGAGGCGTTCTGGTTGTGCAGAAGGCGGCTGTCCATGTGCAGCTGGTTCATTCCAAGGTTCTACCGGTTCATCGTGTAGGTCTTCCGTTGATTGGTTACATAAGCCTGCATCGGGGGCCGGGAAGGTGCTGATGCCGATGAACCGTAATACTAGACGTTCGGCAGCCCGACGGAGCCGTACTACATAGACGTTGAAATATGCCCACGGCCTTGCGCCCGGTTCGTGGGTACCATATCGAAAGTCGGCCGATACCCGAGCCCACCGCAGTCGGGACACATCAGATCGCGCTGATCCAATGCCCACCAGGTTACACGGATGATTTACACATGATGTGGACGAAGGAAAATACAGCCTCGAGACCGGGTCTGAGCCGAGCGCTTGGATGCCGGCAGAGTAAAGTTCGAACGTCAATAGGCTGGCTAGTGACGTGAACTCAACGGCCGCTAGAGTAAGGTGTGAGGCAAACAAATGCGGAGTGTCCTGATTGGCATACGCTTTGACGGAGATACAAGGCTACCTATTTCGCCCACCAGTATGTCACTTCTGCAAGGGGACTGCGGGGCGCCGGTGGGAGACAGAAAGCTTGCATTAGGTACCCGGACCTCTTCCGGCTAAAAGTGGATCGGTCACGGGCAAGAGTCGATAATCGGTCCCGGAGCACAAGCGGCATGCATGCAAGTGGTTTGTCAAGGCAGGTGAGGTATCATAATCATCTACTCGTACAACTAGCTAATGGTACACCTTATCTGCTCTTCTTACCGAGGCCAGCGGACCCCGGTGTGGTCATCCATCAGCGGCGCGATGCATCAGCCCAGCGCGAATCCCAAGCGTCAAGCTTTCGGCTCATGGAGGCGCTCGACTTGCCGGAAGACTGGCCGGTGACGTAGAATCTCTCCGTCGGAACGACTGTGTGTGTGTAGGTGGAGGTCCTGGACTGGCCCTCGGAGGTGCGGCGGGATGAGGAGGAGTATGAGGGGTCCCTTCGGGATGAAGAACTATAGATGTTAGTGTGGGCGAGAGGCGGGTGCGGCGACAGAAGAGACCAACCTAGCAGACCCGTAGGCGGGGGAAGAGCTCGAGGTGTTGTGAGGCATGGTGCCGAAGTTGTTACGATCGGGTGATAAGGTCGAGGAAATGCGAGTGAAAGCTCGAATGATATCAGGATAGAGTGTTTGTTGGCTATGTTGGTAGGAACCAGAGAGCTTGCTCGATGACTAAGATGATGAAGTTCTTTGCGAGTAGAGAGATATCTGGTGACTTGAGGGCGAAGCGTATGGGAGCAGTAGTCTAAGATGATAGAGGATGAGAGCTGCGAATCCAATGTTTGCGTTGCTCACCAGCGCGAAGACACGCTCTTATACATGATCAACCCTCATTATTGACGCTGGTACAGAGCGGCGGGTGCTCCTGCCACGTCGACCTCCATGAAAGTAGAAAAAGCCAGAGTCATACGCTTGTCCACCGAAAGAATCACCTATGATCGGGATGGGTGATAACAAGTTGTTTGCAAGGACAACCCTAGGGTGGAATTGACGACGGATGTAATCTCCGACTTCAACGGCGATGTGTGGCGATACCTGCGCCATACGGCAGCCCGAGAGCAGATGATGGGGAACCATGAACTCGAAAAACATGCAATGAGCGTCAATTGCCGCGTATGTCAGCAGCGGCTGGAATTGACGACGGCGCAATCTCCGACTACTCTGGCGATGGGGATGTTGTGGCGACTCACGGCCCCGTGTCACAGCCCCGGGACAGGCGACGGGGAAAATAAGAAATCGAAAAACATGCAGAGAGTGCCGATTGCCGCGGATGTCAGCAGCAGGTGACGATGCGTTGTCTGGACGAGAGTCTAGGCGCCGAGACCAGAATTGAGATTCAATGTGCTGGAAAGCCGCACAAGGAGGCTCCGCGACTTGCTGGAGGCACCCCCCTGATAAGTCAATGTCAGAAGTCGAATAATGTAAGCAACTTTGCAGAAAAATGTTTGTATCTGCAAGTCATGGAGGTTAGACCATCGTAGATGCTGCGACAAATAAGCTTGGCAGTATGATCTACTTTGCATGTTGGGATGAAACAAAACGAGACGTCAAGACGAGCCGCCGGGCGCGCACCAGTGTGTACGGTTGGTGGCGAATAAACGTGGATAATAAAGTAGAAAAATGACGATGGCTCGTCAATCGCCTACTCCAGGGATGACACAAAGGGATGATGACATCTTGGTTCGTAGATACCAGGCCGTGTCGGCTCCATCAATTGCAACTTCCCCGATCTGGGGTTGACGATACACTCGGCCCTGGTTGGCAACGTGTCGCATCTGTCTTTGTACAACCATTCACGATTCTGGTTGTCTCCGAAAACCCGGTGAACGGACAGCAACCAAGGGAAACTGTGTTGGCTTGCTCCAAAAGCTTGTATGATGAAGGCATGTCAATTGACTTTCAAGCCAAGGGTTCTTCTTCAACGGCTTCAAGCAGCTCTAAGCCGTACCCAATGGAAGGCAGCAAGCGCATCAGCTTCGATAATGTGCAGGGAATGACGGCCGTATCTGGTAGAGAGGTCCCAAGTCGCTGATAACTACCAAGACGGCCCCCAATTCCAGATGGTGACTCTCTACTCTGTGCGGCGGGGTCCTCCGGTCTGTCTGGGCGGCCTCGCTGCTAGGTGCGATTGACCTTGCTCTGCAACATTGCTGCACTTGGAAAGGGTCCATCCCAAGTTGATCTCTGCTCATAGAGGAATAGACAGCCCGAGCCAGAGAGAGCCGAGATCAGATCAGCGACTAGCACCGGCGCGACCAGAGATTGTTCGCATTGACGACTGCCAGACAATTGATTGCCTTGAATTGCCTTGCGGTAGCTCGTATGTTCATGTCGTCAGGCATATAATGGGAAGTTTCCACGGGAATTGGTGCCGACAGTTGGTTCGCGGTCTGGTTGTTGAAAGAGAGCAGGTCTGGAGCGGCCCGCGGCGGGCGACCCAGTTTCTACACTTCATTCCTGCGCTGGCGGGTGATTGGTGCACAGCCTGCAATGTGGGCCGTTAGTGACGCTCGTACCAACTCCACTCAGGTATAGAAGCGACTCAGCCACGCAGCATTAGCAGTGGTAGCAGCAGCAGCACCAACATTCCGTGCATCGGCAGCGGCAGCGGCACCACAAACTCAGCCACAACCTACTGTGGACATGCACCCATCGACACCCTTGCGCCTTGATCACATCGACGAGGCTCGAGGCATGTCGACCAGACAAGTTTTACGTCATTGTCCGCCAAATGAGGAGATACAGCCCAGGCTTCGATTCATTTGAGGCTGGTGTTTCGTTCAAGGTTGTTGCCTAGTGGTAACTTGTTACTTCTCGAGTCCTACACATGGGCTGAAAATCTGACGTTGATCGCTGGCGTCGAAGCGTACGAGACACCCGAGTCGATCTGCTATTGAGGGTCGATGGCCTGTAGGTGCGTCGAATCACGCACCACATAAATTGGACTACTGTTGGTGTGAGCTCGACTCCTATCATGTCAATAATCAAGTCAGCCGCAATCCAGCCCTCAGTTGGTTTTACCGCCAGAGACTTCGTGCACTAACAGACATCTCAATCCGGCCGAGCTGTGTGAGATGATCACGGTCATGATTGGATATACCCCTGCGACTCATCCATGCCGCCGCATGCTAGGCCGTCGAAATGGCGCCTCCCACTGTAACACCCCTCCCTCTGTGTCCCTCCCACGTCTGGCATCTCCACCACAAGCCAGCATCACATCCACATCCACCCTGCCACCCTGGGCTGCTTGGGAACAGCCCCGACGCGACCTGCTAGCCGGCCGTGTGCCGCTTTCTTACAAGAGCTATCCGGTCCCTCGTAACCGCCAGCCTCGTGTACAATGAGTCCATTCCTTCTTAACCGGCTGGATCCCCCCTGAGGAGGCGAGCTTCTTTCGTCCATTCCACATTGCTTCTGCAACCCCAATTCCCCGCATCGTAATCCGGGGGCATTGGATCGTACATTGAATCGTACACCGGCCCGCAGCTCAAGACACCAGCATGGATTCGGCCTCGCCCACCACGACCAGTTCGACGAACAGAGGGGGCCGTCCCAAAGACTGGACAGAGGATCGGAGTCGGAGACTTGTCCGACTTTACGTCTATACCAGGCTGCCCTTTGACAACATCCTGAGTCTTCTGGGTAATGAAGTTTGGAAGCCTGGGTGCGTTCTTTGCCAGCTCCCCTGCTGCTCGTCGCCCTGTTCCAGCCGCTGACATGCATGTGCGTTTACAGCAAGGATGCTGCCAATAAGATCAAGAACAACCTTCTTGGAAACGATCCTCGATGGATGCGCCCCAAAGATGAGGAGGACGAGAAGAGGCGTATTGCTGGACTGAAGAACAGCCGCCGCGCCAAGCACTGTCCGCGGCGGCCAGCTCAGCATGCCGCAAGGAGTCCCGATGAACCGTTATATCCCAAAGAGGAATCTCTTGACGGCATCACCCTCGCTTATTCTGACTATCCGTCGTTCGAGCCGGTAGACGATTCGCCAATTGACCCATCCGTATACGGGACAGCTGCCACACACTTCAGTCCCGATCAGGACTCTTTCCCCTCGGCCTACGATGAGATGGCAATGCCCCGGTTTGCGCCTTGGCTCCTCAGTCGCCGCAATGCCTCTAGACAGGGGACTGGTCTGACCAATTCCACTGATATCAGCATGAGTAACAGCATACGACAGAAGCTTTCATCTGTGACCCCGAGACAAGCCAAGAACGCTCTTCGGATCTTGAAACAGTACACTTTCCCAACCAATACCGACGCCAACCAATCATCAACCTTTTCGCCGGGCGCTTTTCCAGACATTCAGTTCCGACCACGCTCAGAGCAGTTCTACCCCGCCGACGTCTCGGTCATCGGGCATGAGCGCGACTCTAAACATGCAGTCCCCGGCGACTTCCTGAATATCGAACTGTTTGCACAAGGACGCCTATGCACTGCCGGATTATTTGCTCACGATGGTGGAAGTTGCTGGTGCAGGACTCGTGATCAAGTCCAGCCGACACAGGCTATATGGACAAGGCTCGGTAATCTTCTCGACATTTCGAACCCAAACCTCGCTGTGAAAGACGCGTTTGGCAACACAGTGTTCCATTATCTTGCCACCGAAGGCTATCAGGATTCGTTCTTACACCTCGTCGGCGAAGCCTTAATGCGATCAAATTTGCCGGTTTATGATGCAAACACAGCCGGCCAAACGTTCCTACACGTGCTTCATCAGTCCTGGTACCAAGAGGGATCCCGGTTAGACCATCTTCTCGAGGCAATCAGAAGCACTGAGTTCAACGTGCTCGCGACCGATGTCTATGGGCGTAGCTTCTTCCACGTGCTGCGACGAAACATGACGGATTCGGCACGCTTTCCACGTCTTGCCTTCGATCTCAATCTGCTGAACCGCCGCGATGCGTTCGGGGAGAAGCCGATGGCTGCTCGAGCCTCGAGACAAGACTACGACGCCAATCAGCTCCATACAATGCTCCGTGTCGATACCACGAACGCAATTAACCACGGCCAGGGGAACAGCACACAACGTACAACCAGGGTCCCGTTTGACAGCAGAGAAGATTCGCAGCTCGCTTCCCATTGTGAGCTTTTGAAGGTTGTCACCAGCGCTATGAGCGCTGATCTCCCAAATCCATCAATAGAAGATGCAAGCGGGAGGAATGGGTTCCACTGTCTTGCCGAAGCCAAACTAGACCTTGGGCCCTCCCGAACTTCAAGTGCCGGCTCGAAACAGCCGAAAAAACGCAAGTTCAGTGGAGAGGAAGATTTGCCGCAAAGCCCCCGGGCAAAACATCCTAGCCCCCGACTGCAGTATCTGGAAGGACTGCTATTCTACAAAGTCGATGTCAATCATTATGACAAGGACGGACGCACCCCTCTGATGGCCTTTGTTCTCCACGGGCGCGACGAGTTCCGATGGGAGAAGGAGGAGACTGAGAACATCATCCAGAGACTCGTCAAGTCGGGCGCCAAAATCGAGGCACGGAACCGCCAAGGGGAGACAGCTCTCCATCTCTCCGCGAGATCCGGCCAGAAACTAGCCCTGAAAGTTCTGCTGGACTTGGGCGCCAACCCTCACGTGCGCAATGCCCGAGGATTGAGTGTGCTAGAGGTCTTGGACGCGTTGTACTACACCACCGATAAGGATGGGCTGTTCAATGCACGGCTCGAGGCTTGTCGTGCCATACTCACTGGACGTGCTGACGAGCCTGCGGTCCAGGGCCCTACTGTCCTGCAGGAATGGGCGACGAGCAGACAAGCAATCTCTACTTAGCAGCGTTTGGTTGTTGTCCCGTGCTCATCCGTTCATTTGTTCGTCTAACCGACGAGCATCGCTTGCCTCGGAGCAGACCCTTCGGCATAGACTGAATCTTGTTGCTACCTTGTTTGTATGGTGTGGGAATACAATGTTTCCTTGTTGTTTTTCGGCGTAAGGATAGAATACCCCTGTTTTGTGAGCAGAGGAGTTCCGGGATGGCAAAAGGCGCTTCCTTCGCGGTCATTCCAAGGCGGTTGGGATGCCCGCTTCGCAGACAGTAGACTTCATGGCAATCCAGATTGATACAAGATACCGTTTATTATGAACAGGGAGAACATGGACACGATTGCTGTCGATATTCATCAGAACTATAGCATACAGAACTTCATCAGGTTCCCACGGTCCTTCATTCACCCTTTACGTATTCCTAGTAATGATACACTTAATGGTAATGCTCACACCGTCTGCCTCCCGCGACTCTGGCCAGGAACTAGACATCAACCCCGTATCAGACCTCTTGCGCGGGGGAAACTTTTCTCTCCACGAAATGGAGTGTGGAAGCATCTATGATCTATGAGGTTAGGGAGCTGTTCAAGTCAAACGCTAGAGCACTCCTGTCACCACCCAGCAGTTTCCGTCCGGCATCCCTTTGTCAAGTCGCAGATGTCAACGCCCCGTGCGTATGCCATGCAAGATAAATCTATCCTCCGCTTACTGAACGTAAAGTGTACGGAGACTTTTAGAGGTTGAGTGTTTAACTTATAACATTGAAAGTGAAAAGGCCTCTGAAAGCTATCACATGTGATCTCGCAGGATGACACATATGCTGCTCACGGCAATCACAACAAGGCTAAATACGCCACTGTTCTGACATCTTGACAGTCCCAACGCTGATCATGGTGCTGCACCGGGACCTCAACACCAGCATCGTCACAGCGTCTGTCGCCACAGTTCTCTTTGCTCTGGTCGTGGCGGTGTTTGCTGACAACACCACTGGAACGGACGTGCTTGCCACGGTGGCCGCGTATGCTGCGGTGTTGGTCGTGTCTGTGGGTACTAGCATGTCACCGATTGCTTGATTCAAGGAACATAGTTGGGGGAGAGGATTTCTTTGGGTACAGCTATGGTGACTCGTAATGTTCGTTGCAGCCGAGGGTCTCCTGCAGGGCGTGTTCCTGACCTTGACTGGAGTTGCCAACAGGGCCACCAAGATGCTTGAGGCCGGATAAGTGGGAGTCGTATGGCCAATCAGCCAGACAGGGCACAGGCTGCTCTATTCCCCATTGTGTTTGTGCGTCAGCGTTGCCGTGGCGTGATGATGTCTTTGCAGCAGTCTCCATCAGGTGCCTGCCTTCACGATTTCCACCTCCACTGATGAGACCCATAGGTCCATGGCGTCCTTTGCCACGTTTTCCTTCCAGTCGTGAACCCACTTGATGAGGGCTCGCCGGATCTCCTTCATGCATGGGTTTTCCACTGGGTGCCGTCGCCAATACCGAAACAAGGTTCCGTTAACACCGTCCCATGGATGGTATTCGCAGTTGCGGCTTGGCCATGCCGGCGGCTTGTTGGTATTGCATATTGGCTTAATTATGAGCTTCCCGTTCCATCCGGCTGCGCCATCTGATGTCAGTATTCGCACCTTCTCCTTCAGTGACTATGCTCAGGACCTGAGAATACCAGGGAAGCAACACTCACCGAAAGTCCCCGATGTCACCATGGTTTGGTGTGATGGAACCACTAGTACCAAACGACGCAGCGACTTCAGCGAAATTTGGAGTCGTGTTCGGATTCCAGTGATGGTCAGAAGAGGGTCGTTGAAAAGAGCCATGTACTTTGTTTCCCAACCCGGTGGTCCGGGCTCCATCACGACGTCTTTAAGTGTCCACTCCTTCTTCTTCTTCCAATCAAAACTTGTTAGGAGTCTGCTTTTCGGTGGTCGTGCGTCGAATGCCAGATACTTGATCTTCTGCAGCATGGCGTCATCAAGGATAAGGGGGAGCGCAGATGAGTACCACCCTGGAAGTGAAAGAGATCGGTCTTCCAGTTCACAAAGAGATACCGGCCCTTCAAGCCAGACGCCACCGAGGCGGCGAAGAGTTCTTTAGGGTTGCGTAGGCTGGAACGCGTGACGGGCAGGGGTGAGATCATCTCGCGCCCTCGAAGGACGGTGGTTCTTGCTTCGCAGTTGACTTGCATCAGGCATCTCGTGGTCGACAGTAGGCTCGGATCCAGCATGGGTTAGGAGACGAGGCCCGCCTTGCTGGTTTCGTCTTCGTCCGGAGGCGAGAAGACGTGCGTCACGGCGCCCTTAGGCAGAGCGTAGTAATCCCAAACCATCAGGCGAAGCTCGACAGCAAGCCGGGCGAAGAGGGTGAATGTGTTGACCAGCGCCATTTTTGACAACCGGGATGCTCGCTAGAATTTTCGCAGAAATGTGAGTGTGAAAGTTGCCGAGAACGATGTGCGCCGTTGAGATTTGGAGACGAGTGTGGTTCGTGTAAGCCGATAAAACATTAGTCTGATATTATTATCGAGGTCTTCAAAAGCAAGGGCAAAGCCAAACCCCGATGACCTAAAATACGACAACCATCAAGGTCCTCGTACTGTACGCAAAGTTTAATCGAATAAAATGCCACAAGCATGCGCCATAGATAAGCGGCTTTGTGGTTGCTAATACCCAGATGGAATGTGAGGGTACTATAAGCTACATTCCCGTTTAATGCTCGGTATTCTCAGGCTGCGAAAATGACGAAAGGATGTCAATTAATAATGCGGTAATAGGTTATATGAAGATAAGATGTAACTTGGTTGAGGTGCTCACAAACAGGAGTCGTTTCCGTAAGTCGTTGGTGAAAGATGGGGCAGGGGGGTAAGGGAGAGAATAGTCTAATAGAAGCAAGGCAGACATGTGGTAAGGAGGATGAAAAGGGCAGTGACTGTCTCGAATCATGCACATTAAAGACCTCGATTTTGGTGGTCAATGAACTAAATTTGACGTCCGAGAGTCTTCACACGACTGTACATGGCAGTGTACCGAGTATACATAATATTCTTCGTCGATCCTCACGATGTGCCGCTCACAAAACGACGCCAACGAACCACGATGGCCCACGGACCCAGCTTGCCATCTCTCTCTCAACCCTGCAGGCGTTGCTTGCTTCCCTCTTCTATCAGATCCGCTGCATGCAGAGCTAGTTGCTTCACCTCCCCATCCGTAGTCTTCTCCGCCAGCTCTCGGAACCGGTCTATCCAGAACATCCACCTCTCACGAGTGAGACCACTCTTGCCGGAGAACAACGAGCCACCCTTCAGCATCCGCTGGTCTTGCTCACCGAGTCGCGGCTCGGGGCTCTTGGCCAGCCGATCGAGGAGGGTCGGCCCCGCGTACTCGATGTAGACCGCAGCGGTCATCAGGTCCCGATCGAAGGTCTTGGAGTTGGCCTGGTCTTCCTCCAATCCCGCTCGTAGCATCCATATCGCGAAGGTCTCAGATTGTGATAATCCGGCGTTGATGACCCTCGCTTCGAAGGCGTGGAAAGACACCCATGCACGGTCCATTTCTGCTTGCGTCTCTGCGTCGCCGGAGACTCGCGAGCCATTGAGGTGTTCCCGGAATGCGGCGCCCATGAGGGGCAGATCCGCCCATACGCGCGCCTTGTGTTATTGTCAGAACCGTGTGAATCGCTCTCCAATTATTAGAGTGACTTACATCCCAGACTTTAACACCAGTATCGGGCAACGAGCTGAGTTCTTTCAGGAACGCGACCAGCTTGTCTTGGGCCGGATGATTGTGCGGAATCTGTTCCGCGACAGAGATGACATCGCTCCAGAAGCCCCAAAAGAATCCTTCGTCCCAGGTCCTGGTAATATCGTTCTTATCCACTGGGAGGTTCGCAACAGCGCTGGCAACACTTGAGGCGGTAGTCGAACTCTGCGGCTGCAGGTACTCATTCAGGGTGTTGAACAAGTCCTCGCGGTCGTGACCGCCCTTTACTTGGCGCAGTTCGATTTGCTGCGCCATGTCGACGGTTCCGAATGTCGGGTGGACACAAAAGGGAACTAGTCGGGTTCTTTCGATTCGTGTTTGGTTTTTGTTGATGATCAATGTCGTGAGGAATAGTGTGGGCGGAAGCTGTTGGGCGCGGAAGGTGAAGCCGTGATAAACCGCTTGGGTTCTCGATGCACGCGCTACGTCACCAACTAGCGCCCGCACCAAGCTGGTGATCATCTGCAGTGAATCAGATTCGCACGTGGCGTCGATCTGGATTCCGGAAACGGCAGGAAGTGGGTGAAGAACTCCGGCGAGAGAGGGCATCGAGAGTAGTAAGGTGGACTTGATATACCCCAGGCTAGCTGGAATGGGCAGGAAGTGAGTGAGGTCTCCTAATCAGGCAGGTGGCCCTGCATCAGCACCACGGTAGAGCGGATGAGGGGAAGGCCTTCTGGACATCAGTCCAGACATCAGTCCAGACATGCGGCGAGCTTCAACGTACATCTAGACGACAAGGCACAATGTGTCTGTTTTCCTCGTTTCATCCATCGTCCCGTTTCGAGTCGTACATCCGCCATGTGTGTCCTGCGTCTCTTAGCGCACGGGGGTCCATCCCGTAGCAGGCTGGTTCTTGGCATAGTTGTAGTATGTCTGCTGACATTTATGGACCGTGAGGTTGTGCCTCTCCGCGTACCGCATGATACTGCTGAGTAGGCCGATCGGAAACCCCTTGAAGCTGAGGAGCGTCGACGTTAGCCTGGCAGTCCCGTGTGGGCCAATGCAAACACCCTGCCTCTCGAAGAACGGTTCTGTGACGCGACAGTGCATATCCAAGGCGACTAGACTTCCGCCGCCGGGACCGTTTTCTGGCCTGGAAGACACGGCAAGGTCTTTGATCGAGACTAAGAAGATGTCGTTGACCGACTCAAACGACAAGTACACTCGGTCTTCGCCGTTGGAGAAGAGCATACCAGTCTGCAAGAAATGCATGGCTCCTGGCCCTGAGTTAGCGTCTCAGACCGGATGACATGGCTCGACTACTCACCTATGACACCGGTGTCTGTGCTCTCCATACTCACTCGTATGGATGCTGCGCTTGTGACAATTCGCTCCTCGACGTCATCGTCGGTCTCGTCTACGACGGTCGTACCAAAAGGAGCCAGCTGATCATTGAGGACTCTCTTCAAGACCGATAAGTAGGTCTCCTCTGTCCCGTACGCAGCTTGGCCATAGACCCCCTTGAGGCCGTTGCCGGCCGCCTTGTTGGGCCAGCTGAACTCGATGATTTGAGGGAATCTCCTCTTCATGGCAGCGACGCCGGTGGCAGCAGTCGGCACGATCAGTACTCGGTATGCTTCATCACTGGAGGAACTCGAGCCGTTCTGAAGTACTATGACCTGTTCTGTTACACGCGCGTGAGGAGTGTACATAGAATAGCCAGGGCCAAGCGCAGCAGCCAAGATGGGTAGGTACTCACCTACGTGAACCAAAGGCGCCATGAAGGTGAACTCTTCGTTCTCATCACACATACGGATACTGCCTCTCCCTGACCCTTTCAGCCCAGATAGGATCTCGAGCCTTCCATTCGAATCGAACGGGTACTTGAAGGCCACGTTCGGGCTTCCAAGCAGACAAGTGCCGCAGCCAACGCCGTCCAGGTCCATAATGTCAACACCCTGGTAGTACTGCTGCTGCCACTCGTTGGCAATCGTCTTCTCCTTTGGCGACAGGCCTTTCGGCGTCTTGGCGCTTGTGCGGTCGCCATCCTTGCCATCGTCGCGCTTTCGCTTCGAGCACCGCGCTGCCTGTTGCTCGCCACCCTGCGCCGCATCTCCGACATGCTGCATCACGGCACGAGGCCGAGTCGTGGCCTGTGAAATGATATCATCGGCTAGGTGTACGGCGTACGTCCAGATGCTATGAAGTGACAGGAGGGACAATTGATTGATTGATCTGCTGGCCGTTGGGTAATGAAAATCAATGAATCCACCAGCTTCCCTCACCGATCACGAGCAGATGATTGATGCCCACCTGCGCACTGGGCAGTCTCCACTTTCTAACCTTTAACTTACTATTTTTAGTGCCTCACGCCGAAGGACGCGAGCTAGATAGCCGGCCGTATCCACTTAATAAGGGGGCACGTGGTGAGCAGGTTCAGCATCACAAGTCTCAACTTCAAACTGGTGTCACAATCCTTTGAGCGTTCTTGCGGGGGGTCAATCCATCCTTGGTCCATGCCGGTGTCATGTTTCTCTACACATTGAATCCAGCTAATACGGTATCGACTGGAATAAGCACTCAGCCGTTGCCTGTTCCAGTGCGAATTATTTATTCATTCAACCGCTTGCGTATATATGACCCAACTGTCCGGATCTTCAACACGTCGGCGATTGATCGGGTCCGCAGATGGATCGTGGGGTAATTTGAGATCTTCCATGCATGACAGGGGATGTTCAGCGAAGTCTCGGTTCGACTTGGTTCCCGTGTTCCTTCAATGGGGTCTCAAAGCTTCCTACCAGCCGCGGGTTGAACAACAGCCTGTTAACATTCGAAATCTTGAACGAATCATTCATGGAAACCTAGGCGAGTCATGCCCCTATATCTTGGGTTTCTCCCCAGGATCTGGGTCGTCTCGCCTGAAGCAAGCCACAAGATGCACACATGGCTGACAGGTACTCAGCTGCAGATCAAAGAGTCTGGGCCCTTCGACCCAGCGGGCTGTTGCTGCATGTTCGTGCACCTGTAGGTGGCTGCATTGGGCAATCATGCTAAGTACCTTAGTTCTCTAGTGCCAGGATCCGAGACATCAGCGACGGACACCGGTTCTTGACTCCTCGCTAGTTGAGAATCGAATCACGACCTTTCTGGCAGTCAAATCATCTACGAAGCATGTAGCAAGAGGATAGCCTAAGGCCTTCAAGCGAGAAAGCTTCAAAAACATGTCCGTCAATGTCACATACATCCTACGCTGGAACCTGTTCCTTCGACTTTCCTGTCTTGGCCAGCGCGATGTCGTGTGTCAACTTATACGATACTCTGCAGCCCCCATGATTGGTTATGGAAGATCACAACATTCCAAACGTCCACGAGCTCTCCCATGAGTAAGCCTCACCCGGTCCCGTGATCTGTGCGTCGAGACGTCCCCATTCAGGGCTACAGCGGCACCTCATGTCAGCATCGATTACTTTCTCTCCATGTAGTCAAAGGACTTACTGGTTGATCCCATCGACATAATCCTGAGCTTCGATCGCGACACAGGAGCTCCGCACGACCTTCCTGTTCTCAGCCGTGCCCTGTGTGCTCTTTAGGTCAAGCGTGCCATCCATCCAGTTGCACGAGTAGATGACCACCCCCGGCTGGTCCGTCCGCAGATCGGCTTTAATGCCCGAGAAGGTGCTGCCCAGCGACACGACGACGGCATCTTTGGGCGCTTCGTCGATGAGGAAGTAGCCGTTATACCCCTCGCACGCACCCCCTCCACCGCAGTTGCCGGGGAAGCCTGGGTCGGCCTGGGCGTGGCCGAGGAACAAATTCGGACTGCTCCAGAAGTCGTTGATGCTATTAGGGGCCGCGGTCCCGATCACGCCCGTAGGCAGCGCCCCGTCGTCGGCTACGAGGTGACGTTTCGAGTACGGCATGTAGAGCGTGTGATTCCAGATCTTGACCGTCTCGGGGTTCTTGTAGGCGTCGAGGTTGAAGTACGTGTGTTGCGTTAGCATGAGCGCTGTTTGTTGAACGCGGTCAGCTAGGTGGCATCTGTTCTCTGTCAGTCGGCAGGGTTGAGAGTGACATACGTGATTTGGTCTGTGGCGATGTTGCCTGCATCTTGATGTTCCAGGTGCTGTTGGTAACGCTGTAGGTAACGTTCGCCCTGACGAGGCCGGGCATCCCCTGTGACGAGTTGGCCTCATCGCGGATGTTGAAGGTGATCGTGTCTTCGCTGGCAGCGGCCACGCTCCATGTTCGGTATGACCAGTTGTTCGTGCCAACGTGAAGGGTGTTGTTCCCGTCATTCAGCTGTGTGCTGTAGGTCTTGTTGTCGATGGTGTACTTGCCATGGCCAATACGATTGACATACCGTCCCGGGATGCTGTTGTACACGGGGTGTACTGGGTCCTCAGCTATACCACGCATCAGCTTGCTACCAGTGGCAGCTTCTTGAGTCCCGGTCATGTTACCATAGTATTCAATGTCATCGTAGCCGAGAACAATATCCACATCTTCCCCATTCTCGTCCTTGACGAAAAGGTTCGTAAGGGTAGCACCATATGGAATGAACTAAATTGACATCAGCAAGCTGGTCCGGGCAGCATTCAACCACGTACACTGACCTGCGCCTTCAATCCCGCAGAGCTAATGGTGAATTTGCCATCTTCCCCCGGAGCCGGAGCCTGGCCGGCAACACACGTCGTCGCCACCAATGCTCCAATGACTGTAGAGTATCGCATGATGGATGGCCGTCTCTCGAAGGAGTATTGATGAAGCTTCCAAGCGGTCTCCCACCTCGACCGACTCCTAGAAACCAGACGACGACGACACCATAGGTATTAGTACCAGCGACATATGCCGTCGCCAGCCCCGCCTCTCGCCCTCATCAGACAGTCAAATATTGCGGAAAAGGTCATGCTACACTGCGCCTATTGGTGAACATCTTGACAAATACATGCCAATAAGCGAAACACCGAGCGGAAGGAAGCGACCCGCATGGGAGTCTGGGGTACATGCTAGCGAGCGAGTGAATAGCCTGGAATGGCACATGTGACATGTCAGTATGCAGAGTAATATCTCCGCATCCCCATTGCGGTTCTCCCGATTGCTCCCCCCTGCATACCGAGGCCAGACACCAACCTTAAATAGAGTACATGGTGGGCGCACGTGGCCGGGATTCGGCTAGGTTCTTGACCGTGCTCGAGGGGGTTCCTCTTCATTGGATTAGAGTATAACTATTGGCAGTCTAGAATAAAGAGACAATGAATTGAGTTTTGCCAACCTCGTCCGTTGAAACCTGAGTGAATCATGCCTATGGGAAAACCCTTGATCACCCCAGAGCGCTTGGCCCAATCTTGCACAGCATACAGAATCATCATACAAGACCGGATAGTAGCTGTGGCATACGGTAAGCCGGAAGGAAGAGAGAACAAACGGAGGGCAAGACGACAAAGAGTCATGAATGCCATCCATATGGGGAAGCAGAAGTAATCAGTTGGTTCAAAGAAGGGTGTTCTTAAGGAGGCTTGGGCTTGGCAAAGAGTAGACTAAGACACTTATCAATTCATTCAAGATGATGCGCTTTACTCGCCGAGTGTCTTGAGCCAAGATGGCCTGGTGATTCAACGGTGCAGGAATTATACTAATTGTTCATATGATGAAATACAGGCTGCTCCGTGTCATTTGTTCTACTCGACTCCATTGCACTGTCGATGAAGCACTTTTACGGGGTAACTTACTTCCACCCGTCAGGCGCCCCCTCAGGCGTCGTCGCCTGGCAACGGGGTGACGAGGATACCTCAAACTTACGTAATGATTGGTCCCAAGGTGCCATAGATGGAAAGTGGTGATGCATTACTCGATATCCTTGGCGATTTCGGCCCATAGTTCGTCGATGAGGTCATCTTCGTAATCCGCAAACATGGCAATGTCTTTAAAGGCCACTTTGTGCTTGCAAGCAAATCGTCGGCTTACGTACTCGTCTACAAATGTCGTTGACAACTTGTTGGTCGCAATTACTTTTTCGATCTCCTCTTCCCATCGTGTATCCATTTCGCTGGTTTTCTCGATGAAACTTCTTGCGCTTGCCAGGATTTCTTCCTGGCTCGGTGCATACCTCTCCTGCATCGTATGGTATGGACCCGCGGTTTGCCCGTCCTTCCTTATCTGGTCAAAGGAGACACGGATATCTCCGGCCATGTGGCCTAGCTGCACCAACGACAGAGGTCCGTTGTCCCGCCACTCAGCACGAACATCCCTTCATTGTATACGGAGTGATTCCAATATCTCATGGCACTTTGGGCATCTTTTGATTCCGTTGGTTACGATCCCGTATGTAGGCGGATCACACATTGGCTCGTGTGGGTAGCGGTGAGGTAGGCCACATAAATCGGGCTTAAGGGGGGGTCCGTCCGGATCTGCATGACCGCATTCGAAGGCGTGAAAATTGTATCTACACATGGTCGATTTGAATGATTCCCTAGGAATCTGTGTGTTTAGATTGGGTGTTTGTGAATACTATGGCAAGAAGTAAAACCCACCTTCCGAAGATGCGTCGAAGTTCTCTTATATGCAAATGCAGTGCTGACACAGTGAACACGATCGTTGTCTACGTCTTGAACAATACGATTCGAGGTAACAGGCAGAAACATACGACACTCAGGTTCAAAAAGGTCTTGTTATGGTCATCGTGGGCACCAACTTCCTAGGAACAAAGGCACCTTTGTCTGGTTACACGCCGCACCGCGTCGCCCAGCCCTGACTTCATTTTCTGCCGGAACAGATGAGTCGTGATCCCAACAAGGGACTATCTTCAGTTTTGATTGACTAAGCGATCCCCCCAGAGCTGATCGGCCAGTATCTGTCTAATTGCCTATCATTGGCACAATGGGAAGTAAACAATGTCACTGTAGACTTGAATTATACATCTTATTCGTCCTCGCTTTGCAGTTCAATACCTGGCAGGGCATTCCGGTATTCCAGCTTTCCCCTCGCCATCGCCCTCTCCTGACGGGTTGCTTATAGGCACAGAATATGCGCGTCACGATTATTAGAGTCTGAGGTTATGACGAAAGACAGTGTGACAATCAGGCCTGCAGCTGCGCTGGTCAGGGCTGATGGGTTGAAATATCTAGATTCAACGATATCTAAGGAAGAAGAGGCAAGGTCGGAAGAGAACGGGGAAGCTAGGGGTATATATGTACATAAATATGTGGAGGTATTAAGTAATACCGTAACAGACAGTAGCCCAATCGGCTTTGATCATGGTTTGATCGGAATAAAATGTGAGATTTCAAAGTGTTCTATTAAGGAGAGGAATTCCAGCTACTCTGTGTGACGATCAGGCCTACAGTACAACTGGTCAGGACTGTGTTACGAACCAACGAGGCGTACAGGGAATGAGGCCCGCTGGCAGGCCCAACAAGATGGACAGTAACTGGAAGAACCCGGGAGAACGCACGGGCTAAGGAAACGTCTAGGTCACGTGATCAAGACATCACGTGATGGATAGCTTGGATAGCGAGGTTATCCAACATATCCAGGATAGCTTGGATAACAAGGTTATCCAACATATCCACCCCATCAGTGAGGGAGAGATTGGATATATAAGGATGGACATTTCCTAGCTAGACAGATAGACAGTCTCTACCTCAGTGATCAATCTGTTTTGTTTGTTTGTTTTGTATTTAACGTGGGGGGTAGCTCCTCAGTAGTGCAAACCACGCCTCCCAGAGCCTCTGCATCGCAGGGTTGTGGAGGTCTCAAGATAATAAGTACAGTCAGTCCCGCTTACGGGCCCATCCCCGTTGTTGCGGCGGTATGACCTTGGGGTCATCCATCTGGTCCTTCAAGGAAGGTTATCTATCAGGGGCAGATTGTTGAAAAGAACTTGCTCTTCTCCACGAATTTTGTCCATTCTGTGCTCCTCTCTCCCAAGTATTGTAAACAGGCTGTCCTAGGCGAGTACCTAGGCAATAACCGATTTTTCCCCAGCCTCCTACAAAAGAAAATGTGTTGTGGTGTTTTCTTTTCACCACAGCTGCAGTGGTTGTTCGAGTCTGTATGCCCAAAGCGTTCGTGGTATCTGGCAAAGTCGCCATGTCCAGATCTGGCCGCTAGAAGTCTGTGTAGAGTGCTCCTCTTAAAAGATATAAGGCCTCTTTTAGTTACTGCATGTGAGTATACTTCTTGATACTTAGGTTCTGATTGGTCTTTCTACCATTGATTGAACTCTTTCTTGCCCTTTCTCTTGAGATCTCTCTTGACCCAAGAGATTGTGGGAAGGTTTGTTGTGTCTGTTTCTAGCATGGCGCCCTCTTTTGCTAGTGTGTCAGCAGCCTTATTACCATCAATATCTCTGTGTCCAGGAATCCACTTGACGGTCACTCCAGGAGTGTGTGCTGTGGCAAGTTCTTGAAACCGTAGAAAAATGTTCTGTGATGTCTCGGGTGGAGTCCCATTAAGCCCATCTACCACTGATGTGTTGTCCAGGCAGACATATAGCTGTTTTCTGTATCCAATTGCCCTGGCTGCTGCAAGACCTTGGAGAGCACCATGGACTTCAGCATCCACTACTTCTGCTTGTAGAAGTCTGCCCCTTCCCCGGTATACTTCTTGTGCAGTGCCGCCTTTCCTGATGGTATAACCCCATCCAGTGCGGGTTGTGCCTTGGTCATCCAATTGTGATCCATCTGAGTAGATGACAAGGTCAGTGTTCGTATTTCTTTCCTGTAACCATTGCTTGAAGAGCTCTGTTTCTTTGTCCTTGTCTTTACGGACTTGGGCCTTTTTCCATGATGGCTTGGTGAGTGTTGGTCTCTGGAAGTCAGGGACTAGTTGGAAGCTTCTTTGTAGCCTTGTTGGTTCTTTGCGAGCTTGTATTTGGAGCCTGCCAACAAGAGGGTGTCTCTGGTCTACTCTTCCGAGTCGGAAGCCGTGACGTCTTCTTATTGACTCTGCAAGAATTCCTGCTGGAGGAATCTGTGATTCAAAGTGTAGGATATGTCCAGGGTGTGTTTTCCAGACCGGCAGGATAGCTCTAATTGCCGTTCGTAGTACAGCATCTATTGTTCCAAGAAGCCTTTTAATGCGACATGCTGATGTCCCACCTAAGCTCCCAATTTTTTCCATTCCTGGGTACCAGGCCTCCAGGCCATGTGTAAGAATAGGAATAACACAAGTTTTCACAGCCTTCTTGGTTGACTTTACTGGAAGTCCTTTGACTGTGTTGCATAGTCCTCGAATGTGGTTTGCTACCCTACTAGCTTTCTTGGCCCAGTAGGAAACGTGATCTTTGAAGTTCAGTTTTCTATCCAGGAAGACACCCAGCCATCGCATGGAGTTCTTTGCTGTTCTGTTCATTGTCCCGTGGCGGACCGGAGGATTGTCTGAGTTCTTTTTCCGTGAGAAATGCATAATCTCGGTTTTGTCGGGATCAAATTCAATAGCGTTGTCGTGTCCCCATTGGTTGAGCAGGTAAAGATTTTCAGAAGCCTCTTTGGCTGTTTCTTTGAGGTCCTTTCCAATGCAGAGAGTTGCTAGGTCGTCTGCATATCCAAAGCGTCTTCTTTTCATCCCGAGTCGGGCACAGATTGGCTCTGTATATAGCATATAAAGAATTGGAGAAGCTGGTGAGCCTTGTGGTAGCCCACAAGTGAGGGCTTTTATATCGGTCACAATACCTTCAAACCGAACTCTTGCGGATCGTTCAGACATGAATGACTGGACCCATCTTATAAGAAAGCCTGGCCAGCCCTGTTCTCTCATGCGAACCACCAGCCGTCCCATTAGGGCAGCATCGAAGGCCCCTGTCACATCTGCTGTGACTACCGTTGCAACAAGGCCTTGGTCAAGGGCCTGCTCAATATCGTGTATGAGTGCAGCTACCAAGTCGGTGGCAGAGCGCTTTGGTAGAGCTCCAAAATGTTGTGGAGCTAGAATTCCAAGTTTGATAACAAACCAGGCAATTCTTTTTGCAATGAGTCGTTCTAGGCCTTTGCCAAGACATGATAATAGCGATATTGGTCTGTAGGCCCTGGGGTTGGAGTAGTCTTTCTTGTCTGGCTTTGGGATCATCACCACCTCAGCTACTTTGAATGGTTTAGGGTGGTGTCCAATCTGTAGGCAGGTCTGGAAAAGGGCTCTGATATGCTCCCCAATGACTGGCCAGCAAGCTTTCAGAATCCGTACTGTGAGGGTGTCTACTCCCGGGGAGTTGCTCTTGGTCCTTATAGTGCACCCTTCAGCCTCTTCTAGTCCGACATGGTATTCGAGGGGGATGTGTGGCTTGGCTTGTGTGATCTGAACAGACCAGGGGTCGGTGATATCGTTGTCTGGGGTGCTTCGTTCAAGCGTGGCTAAGCGTAGTGCATTTGCTTTGCTCTCTTGTGACTCATAGATTTGGTCCCCAATAATGATTGGTGGGGAACGTAATCCTGCTGACAGCTTGTGCCAGGAAACAATTCTGTACAGGTCTTTTGGTTCAGTCGCTGAATCAATTAGAGTCTGCCAGTACTCTCTCTTAGCTTTTCGGACCACATAGCGAAATTCCCGTCGGGCTGAATTTCGCCCTTCTTGGCTTGTGGTCTGTTTAGAAAGGGCCCTGTATGTCTGAGCAGCTGCTTTGTAGTCATCATTCCACCAAGCAGTGGGCCTAGATTGACCGGGCTTCTTGCCCACTGTCCTGATACAGCCTTGAATCATATTGATCAAGCTTTGTGTAAATCTATCCACCTGGCCAGGGGATACACCTAGCTGGGGGAGTTCATGAATCCTGGTTTGGACATTGTCTGCCAGCTCTTGTAGTTTGTCGTCCGGTACTATCCAATGATTGGCCTTGGGAACTCGGTCCCGATCTCTCTGAATTGGAATGACTATTCGTAATGTCTCGTGATCTGAGGTGCACTGAAGTGCATCATTGACTGAGGCTTCAGCCATGGGGACATCTGAGAACACCAGATCCAGTACATTTCCATCGTCATGTGTTGGGACATCTGGTTCAGAAATCAGATCCAGTCCGTGGTCTGCCATAGTCTGTGCAAGTATGACACCACCGTGATATCCTGGATTGTTCGAGTCCCAGGATGTGTCGCCAGCATTAAAATCTCCAGCTATAACACAGCCAAAAGGTGGAGTCCATACTTCTAGAATGTCATCCACTTCCTGTGGGTTGTCACATGGTCGGTAGACACTGGCAAAAG